ATACTTTATTGTGTTTCACTTATTTCATCTTTTTATCGCTTGTCCCACGTCAAAATTTTGGGTTTTTTTTAAAGGGTTTGGTCCAAATGGTATAATAATTTATTTGTTTTACAAAGTTTCTTCTGGTTATTGAATGGTGATTGTCATACAAAAAAGGAGTCCAAATCAATTGAAAAACAATAATGAATACTTATATTCAAAATTTTTTTGTATAATTATTGTATTTCGCAACATAACTCCAAAGTACTATAAATTAAAAGGTTCGAAATATTACTACTTACTATTAAGAGAAATAAGAAATTTTATAGGGGGATAACTATTACTATTACTACTTTATAGGTTCGAAATATGACTCTGAGAGCACTAAGCCAATCACCTATGGAAATTGGGAAGAATATGAGACATACATTGTTGGAAATTCCTCGGCAAAGCACTAATCAAATATATGGGAATATGAGGCATTTTTGGAAATTCCTTAGGATCAAAGGAACCTTTAATAATATAAATTCCTAGGGCTGGAGAGTGTAGCTCGTCAGGTACATATTATTCATGTATGGATTTTAATAGACATGTATAATATTCTTAAGATAACGCGAAAAATTACAATGATTTGGTTCGTAATTATGAGTGATGAAAACAATATAAAATAAAGGGTCAAATTAAAGTGAGTAACATCAAATATTTGAATATTTCATATGTTAATTAGGAATTTAGGATGGGTTCAATATATAGAAAAATTAATTATAGTAAAAATAAATTTGAACTACATGGAAATTAGGACAACAAACAATTTTTTTTTTATAAGGTGTTTAAAGGACTAATAAAAAAAAAAGGTAACCAGTATACAGGAATACAACACAAATTACACAATTGCACATAAAAAAAAAGTAGGCACAAGCAAATTTCTCTTTATTGCAACTCAAGTCAAATAAATTCGACCAGAATTTCTTGCTTTCGGCATTAACCTTTATAGACCATGGAATATTTGGTGGTTGTTAATTACTTACTCAGTTACTCCCTATTTAACTTGCTAAATATTCAACCACTCAGTAAATTTTTTTTTTCCAAGGCTTGGGTTTTGAATTGAATTAATTTTTGTTAGGGTCAAGGAGTTATATAATGAATTAATGACCAATCAATTGCGGAAATATCAAAGAAAAACAATAAAGAACACACACCAAATTCGTCTCCCAGGCTAAACTTAATTGCAAATTCTCTTTTTTTTGGGGGGGGGTTTAGGATGTGTTCTATTCACTTGATTTTTTACGTATTAAGTCTTTAGTTGTAATTTGAACTGTAATATTCTTATCATAACGTTTTTTCTTTAATTTTTTATCTTATCTGAACTTATAAAACTTTAATATGAAGTAAATGAAAATAATTGATATATCGATCTAAGAAATTGGTTTTTATGAAGCATGAGGTGAGGTGTCGTGTTTGATTTTTTTTTTTTTTTTTTTATTTAAAAAGATTGATTCAGGTGTTGGGGGTGATATTTATAAATCTTGGAATGATTAATCTGATCTTACTTAGCATATACCACATTATTTTGTATACTAAGTACAAGTTTTCGTGGATATTAGATAGTGATGCATTGAGAAAAGTCTAATCGAAATAAAAAGACATCACGAGGATCTGAACGAAGGCAAACAAAACAAGTGATCCCCCCACCCCTTTTTGCCCTTTTTTTCCTAATGGGATTGAGAATTAGAGGTTGCAATAGTTGCAATTTCCATCATAACATACGTTTACTTAGCTAGGAGTATATTGGTTTTCACAAGTCTTTATTTTAATGGTTTATAAAAAAAAATTAAAAAATAAAAATAAAAAAATTGAAACGGGTTTGAGTTGCAAAGGCCCGCAACCTTTGTTTGAAAAAAAAATCTACTTCACAAGGTTAATGGAGTGTCATCCGAAAATCATAACGAAGTACTTCGTAGTAATTAGAGAAGTATAAACCTATACATACTCTTTCTTCTTTTAATCAATACATGAAACACTCATATGCAGGGTGTTCATAAATAAAAATGGACCGGACTCACCTGTCTTCGAGTCTAGAAATTTAATTTCCCATTCTTCGGTTCGGTCCGATCCCAAATCCTATAGAAACAGTTTTGGACCGGACTGATTTTTGATTAAAATATACGTGAAAACTTAAATATAATAGTTAAGATTGTCCTTAATAAGCTAAGAAAACTTTAATTTTATGAGCTTTTTTGTACTAAACACACAAAAAAAAAGACGTTAAAATATAGTTTTTCCTTTACTTTTTTCGAGTTTTTCATAAAATTATTAAAAATTTAGAATTCTCTTTTTTTTTTAAAAAAATAAATAAATCGGTCCAAAGCCGTCTAGTCTGAGCTTTGGATTTATTCTTTGCGTCCGGTCCGGATTCGACTCCAACTTAATCGGCCCGGTCTTTGGTTCTTAAAATTCTAATTTTCGGTCTGGCCTGGTCTTGAACCGATAAACAACCCTACTCATATGTGGTGTCTAGGAAATTTATGCTTCAAAAAATAAATTAAATGGAGAGTCTGTTCACTTCAGCTCCAATCAGTTCAGTTTAACTCCTAATTTTCTTCTCTCGTAAAATATTCATTTCAGCTGTATTCAGTTCAGTTCAATTAAGCTGTATTCAGTTCAGTACAATTCAATTCAGCTCAATTCACTATATGTAAACAAATCCTTAGACATAACAACGTCGTAACGTATAACATCAGAGTTATTTCTTTATTTCAAAAGTTTTAATCTAGTCTAATTATCTCTTGCTCCTTGACATTAGCTTTCCTTTTTATTCACTTCCAATAAAATAGAACACTAGCTATTGAATTATGGTGCATGTATATTTATGTTTTTATTAAAATCATTGATAAAACCAAAGACCAATTTACTTTTCAAAATTATGTACCTTGATAAACGAACACACTAAATTGGTATGAAAAAAGTTAACGCATACCATGATATTTGGTTGGGTCTAATCTAATTATTCATGCATTAATTCAAAATTTTAAATAGTCAATCGTGAAGTAGGTTAAAGAGAACTTTATTGGAGCAAAACCAAAATTTGATAATGCAACTTTGTTTGCATTGGTTATTGAAGGCCAATAAAATACAAGTTGTTTGAGGGAACATTTAAATACAAAGTATGAGTTACACATACTCCTTTTGTTTGTATTCGATCTACCCACGTAGCAGTAAGTTTCTAGGTGTGAAGTGTGTGGGTCAATCACATTCTTTTTAAATTTTATAAGCTAAAGATTATATATCGATCATTATTAACCATTTGGGTAATGATCATAATCCTTTAACCTCAACCTCTCTTTAGTGTACTTTAATTAGCACAATCACAATACATGCCTAAAGTTTTATGATCGATGATTCGCTTAAAAAAAATTAATAATAAATTGGTGAATCATCGATCATAGGTTAAATCAAACAACTAGTTTAATCAAATTCGACTTCATCTTGATTTATTTTTTTTCTATTTACTTTATTTTAATAAAGATAAAAGATTTTAATTTTTTACTTCTTTTTTTTTTTTTTTTTATAAAGTACATGTACTCTAACAAGTGTTAACTAATGAAATTATAAACTACGTAGTATCGAATTGCATGCCTATAATTCTAATCTATCCATTTAAAATTTAGACTATACAAGTATATCTTTGGGCATATCCTATCTCTAATTCATGCCACATTGATTAAAAAAAAAAGTGTGTTCATGTTAGCAAAATTACAAAGCCTTCCTTCATCTTATAATTCTTATCTTGTACGATCATTTTATTTTAAATTAGTTGTCAAGTTATAGTCGGCAAGCCGCTTTGAATACAATAACAAATGAAATAGTAACAACAAATTAGTATGTTTTTGTGGTGATTTATCCCGTGTCAATAGTTGAGACTGTGAAGATGTCTGTAACAATTTTTAAAAATATTCAATTGTACTATTAATCTGTAAGAGCATGCTTAATGTTTAACAAATGAAGTGTGGTTTTTTAACAACTCGATCTACATTCATGTTTGTCTAATATTATAAATTAGGCTTAAATGTTAAAGTTGAGGTACTTTTGTCGGTTTTGTTGCATAACCAGGCTTTTTGTCCTTTTTAATCTGAATTATAAACCATCAAAACATATTGTAACTTATACTTCCTCCGTTTTATTTTAGATGCAACACACCCTTCAGCGCGGTAATTAAAAAGGGTGGGGTTTACATGATAATAAACTTTAAAATAGGATGAGTGGGTGTTAGGAGTGTAATTTAGTGGGCCATGTGCTTTGAATAAGGGATATAGTATAGTTTTTCCCTAAAATAACTTTCCTTTTATAGTGTGTTGCAAGTATTGTGACATTTTCTTTTTAGGGAATTCCTTTTTAGGGAAGTGTTGCAAGTAAAAGAAAACGGAGGAAGTATAAAGATTATGAACTATCTTCGCCTTCCGTGAATATGCTCTATTTGCACAACAACAAATTAATTCTCTAATCCACCGAGGTTGTCTATATAAGAGGATCCACTGTATAAAATTTAGTTGAAGTTTGTCTAGACGAGTTCTTACTTTGACATGTGTTTTAAGCTTTTATGTCTATCTTTCTCATTATAAAAGAGTATGAGACAAACTCAATTGGACAACTGTAAAAGAAATTTGGAGCAATGTTAGTGGAATAGAGGGAATAACTTCAAGTAGAAATGAATGAGATAAATCACAATAAATAATTGGCTTGATTTTGGGTATGATTATGACTTAAACCTAAAAACTCACACTAATCAACCTAATTATTGAAAACATAATTTTAACAAAAATTAGATTTGTTTTTTTTTTACAACCCGATTTAATCTATGTACGAAGATCACCTTCATCGACTCAGTCACAAAATGTATAATGGCCTAATAATTAATAAGGGTGTACATAGTAACATAGGTGTATATGTGTTCCCACGGCCCAACTCCAATTTCTCTTTTCTCTCCACTTTCAAAAGAAGAAAAAGAGAAGTAACCAAAAAAAAAAAAAAAACCCGAAAAATTCGAAATTTCACAAAAGTACTATGGCGGGAATATTACACATTTACACTTGCCACATCTCAATCAAAAAAACCTAAACTACTTCAACTTCTCATTTTTCATCACTCTTCCCGCTCTTCCACCTTTCTCTCTCCTCCATTTCCCCCCTTCTCTTTCTCTCTCTTCCATGGATCCTGCAAATCCTTAATCGTCAACTCAATTCCTTCCTAAACCCTAACTTCTTCAACTTCCTCATTCCAGATCCTTCCTCAAACCGCCATGAAAACTCAATTCTCGAGCTCAAACTCAAGCTCAAGCTCAGACATCGCAATTTGCAGAAACTACAATTACATTGAGAAGGCATGGCATTTGGTTTCCATTCTTCTATTACTCGGTCGTCCGGCTTCTCCGGAGGAACTTTCTGGAAGATGCTCGTTGTTCCGAACTACGCCGGAGTTCGTCCATTATCTATGCTCAATCCCTAATTCGCCGCTTAATTTGATTTCGAGGAACTTCGTTGGGCTGAAGATGTCGGTTTTTATTGCTTTTGGTGAGTTCTTCGCTCGTTCGATGCCGAAGATTGAGCTCCGAGTGTTTGGAGGAGAGAGATTATTCCGCGGTCGCAGTGATGTGGCGAGAATGTATTTCAGGAAGAGGAAGAAGTCAGAGAATGAAATTATGCCGATTATGAAAAAAAGAGCGGTTTTGAGATCTATTGATGGTGGTTTACTCGCTTCTTCTCTATTATCTTTCCATTTTTATTTCTGAATTTGTTTAAATTAATTTAATTGAAATTTTGATGAATTGCAGAAAATGTGATGGAAATGGCATGTTCGAGTTCAAATCAGAAGTTAGTAACCGCTTGTTGTGAGGTACTACTGGTTTTCTGAGACTTTTTCTATGTTTTTCTTTTGTTAGAATGTTAATAATTTGGTTAATATGCCACTTCTAGGGTTTCTAATTTAAATTAGGCTGTAACGTTAAGGTTTGAGACTGGATAATTGATATTATGTGAAACTGAATTGCACAATAAGTTTGATGACTTTGGTGTGCAATCTTAAGCAGACCTAGGCTTCATATTAGCTTGTATATGGAGAGGCTTGAGTTATTATTTGGAACTCTATTTCTATATGTTTCGTTTGTGGTGATTGGACACTCGGCTATAACTATGGTTGCTTAGAGCTAAGTTTGGACAATGATCCAATCAAATGCCCGTATGTGGATTTGTTTAGCGTATTTCTTCAATGATTAGTTAGCCTCGTAATCATGGCTGCTTATAGGATGGTTTATCCAAATGTAGCTTAAGGACATGTTTAGTTTGCTACATCCAAAAGTTCCAATTCTTAAGTTAGCATCTTAGATCAAGAGAGAGGGAGAGTGTTTGTTATAGTCTTGGTGCTGTAATGAATAGAGGATGTTTTATAATACTGACAATTATCAGGAGAGATCCCTAGGTGTGAACGTTAGCAATTGACAGACAAGATACAGTTTAGTTCTATTTCTTGTACATGAGGTAACTAGAATCACTGTGAAATAATAAAGTCCTAAGACCCTCGTGAGGTGTAAGTGTAAAATATCCGAGTGACCTTTTTCACCAATTGCAGGAATGTCACCTATTCGCATACAGGCATTTGATTGGTGGTTCCCTTGGGTCATTTCTCACTACTATAATCACGGAATTCTTCTCTAGAAAGGATAAAATTATTCTTTGTGTATTGATTGTAAGTGGATTTGACTGAATTGGTATGGTATGATTATTATTGTTAGCATACATGAATTTGGACACAAATTGGCAAATCAGATCCATACAAAATTACAAGTATACTTCACAAGCTCACGGCCTATTGTTTGGGGACAGTTTCCATTACTTCAATTTCTGTTTAACCTTTTTATGAGGGTGAATATAAACTTGAATAGCTAAACCAATCTTATGAAGTGACAAGTATCTGTCAGACCTTTGTTCCATTTTTTCCTATCTGGTCATTTTCCTTGGGCATTTAACACTTTCACTGAACTTGTAGAGTTGTCATCTTTGTTTTCTCCTTTCTTTTCGGTGCATAGACATCTATTTTATAATTTCTATTCCAACCTTTTTATGTCTTCAGCTAATCACCTGTTGCAGGGAATTGATTTACCAAGATATCATCCTAGTGTATCCTTTAATGCACCATCAATTATCAGATTTCCCAAAGAAGCTAATTCTGTAATCATCCCTGACATGGTTGCTACCACATCTATGATGAAATCCAGTATTAAACTGTTGGAATATCAGTTAAATATTGATGATCAGGAAAGTGGAAAAGGGCTAAATACATATGCGGTTAATGACATGGATACATGTGTAGCAATGGAGAAGGATAGTCACTATACCAACGAGGTATTATCAGATTTGCCTTGTTATTATAATAAAACGTTTAACGATGCTCTTTCTGAGAAAATGGCAGAACTTTCAGCCATTTTAAAAGGGCCTAATTATGACTTGACAGATATGGAGTGTAATACAAACACTGATGGTCCTTTACATGTACAGCCTAATCAGCATGATAAAAACTCATTGGTGAAGCCTATGCCTGCCATAAATACTGCTTATGACTTCAGTCACAGTAAGAAATGTGAAACAAAAATGCTGGACTTGAATGAGGAGCCATTGATGGATGATAATAGTCCTGAAGAAAAGGTTGAAAATATTATGCTTGGCTCCTGCACTGAGGTTTTTTCTTCTGTGGACAAATTACGAGAGCTAGATATGGAAATTGTTGATTTTAAAGAGGAGGTGGCAAATATCAAATTAGCAAGTCTGCCTTTGGTTTCTGCTGGTCCACAATCTAGTTCTCATAAGTCACCCACAAAATCTTTAATGCTGAAAGATGTTCCTCAGGTTGAGCTGACAGAGAAACTGCAAACTCCGTCCAAGTTAGTGCAACATAATAAAGTTGATATCATCCATAAAGAACAGAGAGGTCAAAAAGGTCAAAATCATCGGATAATAATGGCCATGATGGACAAATCCAAGCCTATTGCTAGGAACAATGCATCCATCCAAAAAAGATGTGATGACGTTCATAAGTCTTCCAAGGTAGGCATCTTTATGCATATTATGCTTGTAATATCGCTTTACATACTCCACTCAAGGCATTACCTTCCATATATTCATAGTATTCCAATACTGCATTTTCAAAGTTCTGGAATTTCTGGTTTGACATTTAGTTGACAGTGGGATATGGCAGCTGATGTGTTCATTTGTTGCACTTTCAAAGTTTTCTAAAGTGAATCTTATCCTGCTTCAAGTATTCAACTATCTTAGCAATTGATGGATTTGTTGTAGGATCAACAAAAGTTAAAATTTCCTGCGTTCAAGCCGTACACAGTAGAAGCAGAAGAAGGGTCAGGTAAGATAGTTGCTATGCTTGTGTATGGTTAAATGTACCATACATTCACTGATTCCCATTTTCTTCACTTTACAGGAGGTTATGGGACTGTATATAGAGCAAGAAGAAATAGCGATGGATCAGTATTTGCAATAAAATGTAAGGAAACATAAAAAATACATACGATTTGATATTGTTGTTAATAAAATGCTATACCTGTATTATTGTTATTTAAAAATGAATTCTTTTGTTTCAATTTCTCTGCAATAAAATATTTCTGTGATTTGCTGAAGAAGTCATTATTAAATTTATGTTGCTTATGCTAGGAAATCTTGTTCTCATCTTAAATGCCACATTGATAGTTTGATTATACAATCATATTGACAACTGCTTCTTGATGGTGCTGAAGTTTAAAAAAATTGATCGATTTATTCTCTGTGTTATTCATTTTGAATTATCTATTAAACTTGTGTCTTCAGAAATACAAAATTCTTGTCCATTTTTATCGGTTTCTATTTTGGAGATTGGATTTTTAATATGGAAACTACTGGAATTTATTACTTTCTCTTGTCTTTTTGTCATGGTTGTACATTAATTTCAATTTTAAACAAAGTAAAGAAATAAAGATGGCAGCAACAAGGGCTAGCCTTTCTGGTGATTGAACTTTCCTTTATACATAGCATAGTAAGATTCTTAGTTTGTGGAGTTTGTTCCTTCCATGAGTTAGTCCAGGATGCTTTTTTTTACTACCTCTGTTACATATTATTTGCAACGATTTGACATAAAGTAGAGACGAAAAATGTCTAATCGTTGCAAATAATGTGTAACGGAGGTAGTATTCAATATCTGTTTCAATACCTGGATGTTGCAGTCAATATACATTTTCATTATGCAGTGTTCTAGCAACACTAATATTTTTGGAGAACAGCAGTATACAGTCTGAATTGTTTTTTGTAAGTAAGCTATAGGTAAAGGCTGGACAATTTAGTGTTTGGAATGCATTGCTGGAAATCTCAGCTCACCAGTTATTTTCAGTGTATTAACTACAAGTATAAAGTTGTTTACAACAGACTTTCTCCAACATTAACAATCTCTTATGTATCCAGCTTTTGGTAGGGTTATTAGGCTGTATAACTGTTTGTAATTTATTAATCAAACCGGTGTAAATTTTGGTTGTTTTTATTGAAAAACATAATACAAGTGGATGTAATATTAAATAGGTACCCTATATAATCTTCAAAGGCAAAGGCTCTGGTAGTTTGAAATTGCAGAAATGAAACAATAGAACTTGAAGTAAAGTTTAATGTCAGGGCTAGTATTTACTATTTAGGGGGCATGCTTATAGTCATTGTAGTTGCTACTTGCTAGTATTACCAATTGCTGCTTCTTCTTTTGTAGAATTACTTTATTAATGTGTCTCCACTGCTGCACAAAATATTCAAAATAATATCCTACCTGATGCAAGGTGCTTTTTTTTTTCTTTTTTCTTTTTTCTTTTTTTTTTTTTTTTTTTTTTGTGTGTGTGTGTGTGTGGCAATGTAGGTCCTCATGAAAATGCTCATAAACACCATTTGAAGAATGAGCTTAGGATGCTTGAACGATTTGGGTATGTGCTGTCTAGACTCTGAAGCTAATTGCTGTGAGATGAATTCCTGTATGAAATAAAAATATTCGAGATCTTGTTTTTCAGGGGAAAGAATTATGTGATAAAATATGAATGTTCCCTAAAGAGCGACAGTTCTGATTGCTTTGTTCTTGAGCACGTTGAGCATGACAGGCCTGAAGTAAGTTAATTGTTTTTGCAATATTTTCCATAGCTTTGTATATTTGTATCTTAGATGTTTTTTATTTTAATTTTTTTTGTCTTTCTGACCCATGTACAATCTTGTTTCTACTGCAGGTTTTGAGAAAGGAGATAAATATATTTCAGCTTCAGCTGTATGGTTACTGCATGTTCAAGGCACTTGTTAGTCTTCATAAGCAGGTACACCATAATGCTGCCAACTAGATGTATATATTTGTAGAAGTTTATTTTAGCCTAGTGGTAGGATGTGGTTTCTTACAGAAATAAAGGGTAGTCATATGCTTGTAGGGAGTGTTTCACAGAGACATCAAGCCTGGAAACTTCCTGTTCTCACGCAAAACCCTGAAAGGGTATCTGATTGACTTCAATCTTGCTAAGGTGAGTACTGCAGCATATATAAATGCTTCCCAATGGGGCCTGCACCCCTCCATTTATCAGTCAATTGTTGTTTTTCATGTAAGCATTTGGTTTACCAATTTTCTTGTTAATTTCAGGATTTGAATCAGAAGCATGGGAATATAGGTGAGTTTTTCATCAGCTCTTTTTGTTTGATTTTTTATTTTAATTTTTTTACAGGTTCAGCAGCTCTTGATTCAAATCAACTTAGTTTCATTTTCTCCTGTTTTAATTCCCACTCTTAGTTAGCTGCTTATAATAATGAAAGTGATTGTATTAAAATTATAGAATTTGCTCTTTTTATATTGTTGGGAAAGATAAACAGATTAACTTTGAATGAGAAGTTTGCACAATCTAGCTGACTTTCTAAATTAAAGTTTTCACCGACTTGAAGTCTTAGCTTAATTTTAGATGCTTTGTCAACTTTGTTTGACAGCATAATTCTTAATCATGCCTTTTAACAGTGCTGTTGGTAGTTATTTCCAATTTATTTGGTATTTGTTAGTTGGGGTGACATTGAACACATAAGAGTAAATGTCTGAGCAAAGATCTTTTTGTCATGACAGAGAAATCACAACCTTGCAATGTGGCAGATAATCAACAATTTCCATCAGCACATTTTAATTCTACTTCCCCCAACAAACGAAAAAAGATTCTGGGCGGAAAATCCTCTGAACTGTTCAAGGCAGGGGCAGAAAGTGGCGCTAATCGTAGCCTGGAGACCAAGGCACTAAAGAAGAAGGATTTGGGCAAGTTTAAGGGTTTTGAAGATATAGGTCGTTGCACTTCGCTCACAAGTCAAGGTGCAGAGGGGTCTGGCATAACTTCTACAAGGGACATGACAAGCACTCGAGCTCCTTCAGCAGAGAGACAGAGGAAACCCCAGCCCCTTTTTAGTAAAGGTCGCAAGGAGCTGATCAGCCTAGCCCAGAAAGCAATGCAAGGCCCAAATCTTGGAGCAGCAAAAGCTCCAGCTTCTAATCGTAAAAGGGTGGCTGCTTCACCTGGGATCACAGATAGAAAATTCATTCATCCTACTCCAGCTCCAATTCACTCATCTGGCATTGCAATTCCGGGTGCTGGGTCACTGAAGAATAGAGGTTTGCTGCATAAAAAATTGTAAAGAGAGCTGTCCTTGTTTGCATGCTCTTATACGTGATGTGTAATCTTTTTTTTTTTTTTTTTTTTTCAGGAGAAGTTAAGCCTGTCAAAGATGGCCCATCAGCTGGAACAAAAGGGTTTCGTGCTCCGGAGGTGAGTTTTGTAAATGCCTTACTGTCTTCCTGTGGTTTCTTTTGCTTGTAGCTTTCTTGTTGTCAAAAACTTTTGGAATAGGGAAGATAAAAGGGTTTACATGTGAGAGGATCATTAGTCTATATTCTTCTATTATTGCATAAAAATCATTTACTTGATTGCATTCTTTGTCTTCCATATCTTTGCAGGTCTTGCTTCGGTCTGCGCACCAAGGTCCTAAGGTTGATGTTTGGTCAGCTGGTGTTACCTTACTTTACTTAATAAGTGGAAGAATGCCCTTCAACGGGGATCTAGAGCAGTAAGCATTTTTCACTCCTCATATTCAAGCATGTACTGCAGCCCTAAACTAAACTGTTTTAATAATTGTAGAAACATGAAAGACATTGTAAATATGAAGGGCAATGAAGAGCTATGGGAAGTGGCCAAGTTACACAACCGCGAAGCTTCTTTTCCAGCGGTAATTATTTTCATATACCTTTGAATTTTTTTTCCCTAATCTTTAAGATATTTTTTGGTTATTGTCTTCACTAAGCATATGAATGCTTAATACTATAATTGGATGTTGCAGGAACTTTTGGATATAAGATACTTACAATCAATAACTATTAAAGACTGGTTTATGACAAACACGAAGAGACAGGACCTCCTTAAGGTTATTCCTGATTCTCTTTTTGATCTACTTGACAAGTGCTTAACTGTGAATCCGAGGTTGAGAATCACAGCAGACGAAGCTCTTAATCATGAGTTCTTTGCGCCAGTTCAAGATGCCTTGCTTAAAAGAAGAACAATTAGACGGAGTCAAAATGAGGATTCTAACAGCAACTTGTTGCCTTTGTTATGTGAGCCTGTAAGACAAGAGAAGTTAAATGCTCCTGTAAAAGTTTGAAGATTCTTGTTGTAATGTTCGGTTGTATAGTAATCCATTTCCCTAAAAAGTTATATGGCTGACTGATTTATCATAGAAAGCGTACCTATTGGAGATATCCAAAGCCATATTAGGGAAACCATTTTTCTCATACATGCAGGAATTTTTATGTACGGAGTAACCTTAACAGGCTAGGATTATCGAAGGGATGGATTCAATCTGCCAAGAATGAGACTTGATCACACATTACCTCCTGAAACCGAGGGATGCCCTATCTATTTGGCCAGCCCTGATGCTCAATATATGCAGAACTTGGAGCTTTGGAAGAAGCACATTGGCGTCTCGTTTGGCATAAGGGTAATACACAAAGGAATTATGATGAGAAGTGTGTTTTGGTTGGAAGTATGTCAAGGTAATGCATCTTCATCACCATATAATTTGAATGAATATTTCTCATCAATTTTCACCTCAAATTAATGGTTAAGTGGTAATGAAAATTAATGGGGGATAAAACTCTTCACATTTGGTAATGGAGAATCATTGCTTTAATCTTTTACTCAGTGAAACTGTGAAACCAGCCAGTTAAAATGTGCAGTTGTCACTTGTCAGGTTTAGCTAGTTAGTGTTTATATTCAGGGATCTTACACAGTTCCACAATAGAGATGTTATGAACACAGTTGAATATGACTATTAGGAGTTGGATACTGGCTGAATCAGAACTTTAGTTTGTAAATTTCTGTATTGAAATATGATAGTTTACGTTAGGTATTTAGTTATTGTATAATGATGAAAGATGCAGTCCAGATTCTACAGCCTTCGTTGCAGTTGCTAAATTACTAACACCAGGCTCTATAGCAATCGTTGAAATTGCTAAATTATATGGAGTAATACATCAACATCCATAATTACTGTGTTCTCAAATTTTTGTGCAACTTCATATCTTATGTTGTTGATATGTACCATATGCAATCATGAGTTGTCCATACTTTGCTAACCATTTGCAAAAGGTTGCTCCTTAAATAGGAGGTTAGGAGGAAATATGGGTCTCTTTCAGGCTTACTAATTGATCCTTTACCCTGAGACGTATATGATTATTCATGTATCACATTGACTTTGCATTCTCCAATGGTCCTTCCACTGTCTGCACCATTCATCTTCAGACAGATAGTAGCCTTGGCAACTGAGTTTTAGCTTAGCTAAACGAATCAGGATCATGAAAAATATATAGTGGCCAATCAATTTCCTGAAAAAACATAAACTTGATCTACTAACGCCTTTATACTGTGCTTTGAACAAGAAATTTATACGAAGTACATGTTTTGCATATCTGGAGGATGGGAGGATACTCATGTTACGATGTTATGTTAAGTATAAAAAGTCACTGCAATACCATTGTTTTTTTTTTTAAAAAAAAATATTGATAATTTTATATTAGAATTCAGTTCTCTGTTTATGCTGTTTTAAAAAAAAAATTCTCTGTTTATGCCACGGTCAAACAGAGGATTTAATGACCAGTCAACTAGGACAGTAGGATGAGTGTTATTCCAAAAATTGTATAGTAGCAAGAAATATAGTTGTTACAGGTAGGTAGAAGCATATAGTATATGAAAAATTCTTAGTAGGCTGGTAATATGACAGTGACACCAAATTTTACTTCATGGGATCCCACTTTCCTCTAGCTTTTCTAGACGTGTGCCCCAGTATCATTAGCACCAATCCTTCAAATTTTAGAATAACCAGAGCATTGGAAATGCTCAACCACCAACTCTTAGCAACATCAAAAATCATCATATCCTTTCTTTCCTTTACCTAAAGTTCCATGTAGTACACCAATCCTCCAACAAAACGTCAGTCGCTAATCGAAGGCCAACTTCTCTCTTAAGCAGTTAAGCTCAATCATTAAGAAATGGGACTAAAAACATTGTTTCACTTCAAAGCCAAGGTGATTGAGCCCTGTAGTAAACTTTTGTCCATCTTCAAACATAAAAGTCATGATATTCCTTCGAGGAGTCCTACGTTCCGTTTGCCAGCCACACGACGGACTAAACCCAAAAAAGTCAGAACCAAAACAGTCAGGTTTAGGAAACCCTTCTCCATTAAGTCCTTCAGCTTCCCTCGTTGTCGCCCCAAGAAGAAACTTCGGGTGAGGAAAAGCCGGTCTTCACTCTCCTCTAAGTTCAGAAAAACCTTTCGTCGAAAGAAGCATGCCAAACCATACAAGAAACCTGTTCAAAAGGTACGCATTGCTGAGTACCTAACTGTTCTTTTCTCCCTTAGAAAGGCTAAAGACTTAGACACTGATAGCTGCGATCAGGTGATGGTCATGGGTGATGTAACGAGTGTGAGTCCGTCATCAGGAGGAAGAGGAGGGCACGCGAAAGAGCCTTTCCCATCACCTATAACACCGGGGTATGTACATGTCAGAATAAGCGACGATGATGACAGCAGCAGCAAGAAAGAGAGCAGTTCCGATGATTTTGTAGATGTACAAGATGTAAGCAAAGACTTTGAGAATTATTTAGTCGAGATGATCGTCGAAGAAGGGAAGGTGAAGGATTTGATGGATGTTGAGGAGCTTCTCTATTGTTGGAGGAATCTTAAAAGCCCTGTGTTCATTGATTTGGTATGTAGGTTTTATGGAGAATTATGCAGAGACCTGTTTTCTCCTTCAGAAGAAGAGACTCAGAGTCAACTAACAATTACTTCATCGAGTGATAACATCTAGTGTTATTCTTTTCTAATTCAACCTTTTTTTTTTTTTGATGTCTTTCTACTCTTTTGCAAGTAAGAATTCTTTGAAGGTACATTGTTGTTACATGTGCAGTTTAACACATTTGTAATCTGTGGAAACAAACATTATAGATTTCCTCCTTTTTTTAGCAATGAAACACAAATTTGGTTCATATACTTCCTCTATTTTCGATAGGTTGTACAAAAACGTGTCATTATATTGTCATTTACTATCTTGCAGGCCTTTTCTCATCTTTTATTGAAACTGTTAAATTTCGGGAAAACTCCTCTATTAGAATGATTTCCATTGATCAATATTTATAGGGTTACAATCAGAAACCTAATCATATTAGGTAACTATAAGATATGTACATATATAAAAAATAATCTTATACAAAATATATCCTAAACCTAGGATGAGAATATTCTATGGATATTCTCTATCACACCCCCACAGTCAGAGCGGGAGAAAATCGGATGCTCAGACTGGATCTGAATCACGCATCGAACGGTAAGAATAATATAGTAACCCATGATCAAAAGAGAAGTAGTAGACGTGTGATGGTGATGACGATGAGAAGCAACAACCACGACCTACATATAGTAGAGATATGCGCTTTTAGGCCGAAGGAGAAGAGTCACGCATATACTTGGGCCAAGTTGCAGATCCAGAGAAGAATAAGTTAACGGATCAAACCATCATCGGGGAGAAGACACTACACTACTACGTGAAATCACAGTTGAAGAAAAACAAAAAAAATTGCGCAAGAAAAGATTAAATCCCACCGCTTGAAATTAATCAATTCTCAAAAGAGAAACCAGGTAGCAAGAATTAATACTCCACAAAGATTCCAAGTGCTGCAACAATTAAAAGAGCTAGCTTGATAGCAAAAGAGATGTGCAAAAGTTGACCTTATTGTGATATACCACCACCAAAACAAAATCTATGCGATTATGTGTAAAAAAAAAAAAAAAAAAAAAAAAAAAAAAAAAAAAAAAAAAAAAAAAAAAAAACCAATGAGGCAATGTAAGAATCATTGTTGGTCATGGGGAGGTGGAAATAGAGTGTGGCACATGGAGTAGGTTGGCAGATGTGGTTACTACTAGTAGTGGGAGGCGGTAGTGTATGCGATTGCCAACAATGATGAAGGAGGCTTTCGCAATTGCTACTGTTGGTAGGAGGCGCAAGGTTATATAAAGATTCTAAAAAAAACTTTGAGAAAAGAGAAAAAAAAATCTATATGTGTGTTTGGAGAAGCATAAAAAACTTTGTATATCCCGCCGGTGGGTTTAATTTTCTAACCCACCGGCAGGGTGAGAATTTTTGTATATGATTCCAAGATCTAACCTAAGCTGTGATACCATGTGAGATAATATCAACTCCTCTATTAGAGAGATTTCCATTGATCAATATTTATAGGGTTACAATCAGAAACCTAATCATATTAGGTAACTATAAGATATATACATATATCAAAGATAATCTTATACAAAATATATCCTAAACCTAGGATAAGAATATTCTATGGATATTCTCTATCAGAAACATTGACATATTAGGATGTTATAAAGTCGTGAAACATCCAAGCGATTGTTAATTTTGTCATTTACTATCCAGGCCACAAAAATGTGGTAAAATTTAATGGACAACTTAACGACTATTAATTCTAGATAGAAAGAGTGCTATGATTTTTATCACTCTGCAAAGTGCAAACACGCTCACTAGATTTTCGGGATGGACTGCACCAAAGGTTACTAGCATTGTAATAATGGTCTGGTTCTGAAGAAAGGCTTACCAAAAAAAGGTTGATGGCTTTGAATAATTGTTTCAAACTAACTAGTCGATCCTTGTATGTTGTCTTTGTATACAAGTAAAGGCCCCAAGAAACAACCAATAAATAAGGGAATAAGAGTAATAGGACAATTTTGTATGAGATGCATGACTCATGTCAATGGGAGCCTCTTTCCTTGCCCCATGGCCCTTGATATGGTTTTTTTATTTTTATTTTTATTTTTCCTTTCTCATGAAATACACAAGAAAACTGGAAGCCGCCTGGAAGGGATGTCAAAAATTATCTAATCTGTTTGACCCAACTTGAAATATTGGTGAATGGTGATCTTATTCAAAATTTTGGATGTTCAATTTGGTTTTTAATTTTAATTTTAAAATTTTTTTAATGGATATCACGTAAAAATATAGGTTTTGGAGAGCTTGTGGTAAATTAATCATACTAGTATTTGTATTAGACAATTTATACATTCATGATAACAATATATTTACCAAGTACAAACAAAGATGCTTGGCATTTTTGAACCCATAACCTTTACAGCTTTGCTTATAACTATATAGCTTCTTGATGATTGAATATATTCTAATATGTATGCATTGTTAAACCATTTTTTATAGATCTTTTTTTCCAAGTCGCATATGATGAACAGGCAAAGAGCTAATGTTTGTGAAGAATTGGTCAAGATATAATTTAAGCTCGGGCTTACCTCGTATTTTTTTTTATTGTAGGACGGAAGTGAGCCATGTTTGGTAAATAGATGATAACTGATTGATATAGCTTGTTGTATCAATTGGTTTTGACTAGGTGGATATACCAAGCGACTATAATCAACTGTTTGTGTGAAAGTGTGGGAAATAATCGTTGATTGTTAGTTGTTTTTAGTTGTTTTAACCCTAGTATATTTAGAACCTGTTCTCTTACATTGAAATTCAGTTCAATTCAGCTCCTAATTTTCTTCTCTTATAAAATATTCATTTCAGTTCAGCTCAATTCAGTTCAGTTCAGCTCATCAGTCAATGAGAATAGACCCTTAGTGTATTTAACCGCCAAAAAACCAATTATTCAACATGCTAATTTCAAAAACTCTTATAATGACATTTTTCTAAAAGAGATTTTTGAGTCCTAAAAGCTCTTTTAATACTACTATTAATTAGCTATTTATTCCATACCAAACACCCAAATTAACTTTTTAAATTGGTCAAATATTTAATAGAGCTCAATAAGCTAAAAGCTCTCTCGAAAAAGCTTTTTACCAAACAAAGCCGGATCTCTTTCCTCTTTCACTTATGCCTTTGTAGTTTGTAGCATTCCACGTTTACGCTGCACTCCTCTCTCTCTACCGCTGTAGCGTTCTCTGAATCTTCCATTTGAGCGGCTTCAGAGCTTTCTCTCCTCCATTGAAGCAGCTTCTCAGGTAACATGTTTTGACTTTATTTTTTCTTCTTTAATCGTCGAATAACAATTTCACAATCTAGGGTTTATCGTTAATTTGTCAATTAGGGTTCTTCTAAAGTGTATTATTGAAGACTTTGTTATAATTACTGAAATTATGAAAAAGGGAGCTTTTCTGAAACTGGCCTGGAGCTGCCCATTTAATGTTGCCTGCCAAGTGTTTGATTTTATGCCCAACTTATTGTGAAGAGTTTCTCCAATGTTTGAGAATATGTAAATGCTGGAATCATTTTTGTTTATTTCTTTTGTTTCAGATTGATAGTGTTTAATAATCTTCCAAGATTATGTGGGTTTCTAGAATTTCAAGTTTTGGAGCTCAGGCAATCAAGAAATTGACTCAAGGTTTGGTCTTGAATCCTCAAATTTCCATGCTTTTTCCTAATTTTGAATAGTAATAATCACTATTGGTTAGTGCTTTATAAAATTCGCTCGTTTGGCTGAAAAATAAAATTCGCTTGTTTGGTTGAAGTTTCTGATATTTGGTTGATGCTATTTTTGTGCTTCATTGAAGTGTTAATTTCCTTGTATGCATTTTTTTGGTGCAAAACACTTTTTATATGATACTTGTACATTGTTGAACGCCGTCTACCTTAACCTTAGCAACACCGTCTACCTTAACCTTAGCACTTTGGATTAGAGGAAATGGAGAGAAAGAGATGGAAGGGAAAGGGAGGGGAACATTTTCCTTTGTTTGGATAAGGGGTTGAGGGAAGACAAGGCAGGAATCTATTTTCCATCCCTTAACAAACACAATCCCTCCCAATTTGAAGGGAGAATGGAGCTCTATGGCTCTACCTTCCCCTTCAGTCTTTTGGTAGGATGGTGAATGGGAATATGTTATGGTTCTAGATACTCAGAGTCAGTCAGAGATTTAGAAGTATTCTTGTATGCCAATAGTTTTTCCTCGAAGGTGAAAATTGGGGTTATCAAGTGTTAGCCTTGGATTGGAATTCTGCTTTAACAGTTTGGAGATTAGTAAACATTAAGAGTATTAATACTAAGTTGTTACTGTTACAGAACGTCTAGATTGATTGGGATGTTTCGGCACTAGCACTGGTGTTTGTGCGTAGAGGAAGGGAAGGAAAGAGAGGGAATGGATGGGAGGGAGAACTGTGCTTGTCTTTTCTCTCCAAATTCCAAATCCAGAATGATTTTGTTTTATTATAAGGGAAACAGAGTTGGAGTCTTCCATTTACCTTCCTATCTCCCCCCATTCTATATGCAAATGAAAATGGATCCTTTATAGTCCTCCCCACCTCTTTCTGTTCAAATCTTGTCATCTAGATACTGAAATATATTGTCAAGAGCTGGAGAAAATGTAAATAACCTCAGCTATTTGTTTTATGAACTGAGAAGGGCATTTCAATCCAGGATTTTTCTACCCATTCTACTTATATTTGGCTATCAGGCTCAAAATTAACAATAAAAATGCATCTTCGATTTGATGGAATCAGCAGAAGTGTCAGTAAGATTTGAGAAACAAATGTTGGATAGACAAAGTTAAACAAAGATTAGATGCCTGTAGCCTATAAGTCCGGGTGGCATTGAGAAGATTTCTTTAGTAACTCTTCATTGCTGCCTACTTTCTGTGCTTAATTCCCCCCCCCCCCCCCCCACACACACACGGTAAGTCAAAAAGGAAAGATTATGTACATAAAAACTTTGGTGTGCTTCACTAATGAAATCACTTTATCTTTCATTATTTATGTTTAAAAGTGGAAAGTCAAAGTTTTCTGTAATAATGCCGAATATTAGTTGTCTTCCTAGAGCAAGGGAAAGAAAAAAAATGAAAAACTACAATAGAAGGCCTGGTGAGTTGAAGTTCAAAGTATTAAAAATATCATGGGAATCCTAAAACACATTTGTGTTCTTGACTAGTTATGCTTGTGGATGAAAGTACCTTCCGTGTGCTCTACACTTAAATGAGTTTCTGCAATTATCTTGTTTTGACATGAACTTTTTTGCTAGGGCAATTATCACATATACAAAGAACACCATATCTATATGCATCTTCAAGCAGGATGGAGACTTTGCTTCAGCTCCCCCCACAGGTATCTGTTATCGATATTTTGAAAACTTGTAAAATAAATAATAGTACAGGCTTGTTTGTTATATTTGTCCAATTTTCAATGTTATCTGATCGCCAATGCTATAACAAGCTCCTCTTTCCTTGAATCTTTAGTCCTTATAAGGCCGAGATTTTTATGGTTTAAGGTTCGTTGGTTATCATGTGAAAGATTCTCTTGGTAGTTAAGTTTAATTTAAGGTTTTGGTTTTTGGCTTTTGGTTCACTACAACAAGGTCAGCTTCATATACCTATGGCTGCTAGCAAGTAGCAAACTGGCTACTACTTGTTGCTTTGCTGTATGTGTGTTCTGTCTGGGCCTCTCGCTCTATGCAAGAGATACTAAGTTGTCTGATTTGTTAAAATGAACAGATAAGAAGATTATATTATACTGCTATATGTGTAATTTGAGAATTACAAGGACTGTATTGTTCCTACTTTTATATTTACTCATATGCATGTGTTGGATTTTTGTTCAGACTCATCGATATTTTTGTACCACTGATTCCAGCAAAGATGGAAATGAGGAGCAACAGTGAGCATTCTTCCCTTTTTTACCCCCACTTTTAACTGCCATCAGAACAATTTCCCTTGCTTTTCCTTCACATTTCTGATTCTATCATTTTAATTACCTTTCTCTCTTGTTGATTCTATTTACTCTCATCCTGCAGAATAAATGTAACATTTGTTGAAACGGATGGTTCGGAGAAACAGGTTAAGGTTCCGATTGGCACAAGCATGCTAGAAGCTGCTCACTCGAATGACGTTGAGCTGGAAGGTAGGCATTCCGCTTGTCTTGTTACACTCCGTTCTTGAATTTGAATTTCTTTGTCGTAGACAAGGCTCAGCATCATGAAACTCTACAGTGCCTTGATATTTTCTTTGTTTGTCTTCCATGGCTGCTCAGAACCAAGTGTGCATTCCGCTGACATTTCTCTCATTTTGTATCTGTAGGAGCATGCGAGGGGTCCTGTGCATGTTCCACATGTCACGTTATAGTAATGGTAAGGAAGTCCCTCTCTCTCCTTTTGCTTAAATATTTGTTACCACATTGCCCCCCAATGGCTTCAATGTTTAACTTATTTTGTTTATCAGAATGTGGACTACTACAACAAACTGCCAGACCCATCTGATGAAGAAAATGACATGTTGGATCTTGCCTTTGGGCTTACAGAAACGTAAGTATATCTTCTATACTTTATTCAATTACTCTTAAGTTGTCTCTCCTGGTTCTAGACCTCAATGATTGCTTATTTAGGTCTCGCCTTGGTTGCCAAATTGAAGCAAAGCCTGAACTAGATGGAATTCGCTTGGCTCTGCCTGTGGCCACCAGAAATTTTGCAGTTGATGGATATAAACCAAAACCACATTAGATTGTTTTATGACCCCGATAAAGAGGTACAAAAGCATAGTGCAGCTTTAGTTGGACATTACCAATGAGTAGAATAGAGTTACATCAGGCATATGTCGTGTCTGATAATTTATTTCTTGCTAAACCGACAAGTGGTTATTCATTGGAAGTGTAATAGAGTGAATGCCCCATTGTATTTTGTAACATGAGGCTTGGTAGCATACAGCTATAGAGCTATACCAATTTTGCTGAATAATGGCTACTGGAGAAAGTACCATAAAGAATCGTTGAGTTTCTGCATGTACAAACTTAAGATATCACTCAATGGAAATTTTTTTCAGAAGGATGTACTACATTGCTCTTGTAGTGTTTTGCATGTTCACTATCTGTATTATTCTTTTCTTTTGTCGTAGTCGTATTATTGTGCAACAAAAGTCGTGTATGGGGAATAGAGACTGATAAACAGATAACTTGATCACTTCCACACTTCCCGTTCAAAGTCCTTCAAAGAAATAACTACAACTCTACAAGCAGTGAAGCTTTATCACCATCACAGGAAACAGGAAACGATTACAAAATATTTAAGTATTAAGAAGGTGCATTTAGCTTGTAGATTTGGTTATGCCTATACAATGAAATTTGGGCTAATTTTATTATACTCTTTATTTCAAATAAATTAATATCTCTATTAAAAAAAGAAAAAAAAATGTATATATATTGACTCACTATATACGAAGTACAATTGAACAGAGGTGGTAAAATTTTGAAGTATAATAAAGATCGTATCCAATAATATTTAATTACAATACCCCTAATACTGACGAAGGAGATTAACAGAGTTTCTCCTACTAAACAGATAACGGAGTTTGTTAGTTTGGTTACTAGGAGATCTGAATCCATCAAGTAATTTTTTGCCTAGGATAACACGATATTTCTACTGTCTATAACCATCAAGCTTTCTATAGTTATAAATCTTATAATAGTAAGATGATTAACTAAATACTTCGTACATTCACAGTAAAGCAATCAATGAATTTTGATCATAATAACATACTATTAGTATTCCGTAATAAACATGGTATGGATTAATCACACTAACTCAATTTCGATCTCTGGGATTTTTGTTCAAGATTTGTCAAAACCAAATTTGTCTAAGAATTTCACATTGATGCCAATAAATTAAAGTATGATTTCTTCAATTGATTCCAGTTGACATGAGAAAGTTTGTCACTCCCGTTCTGTGTTCCTGTGATTGTAGAATTGAGGATCAATCATGTATCTAGCACACATTGAAGTCGAATAGAATCAATTCGAAGTATGTATGGCGAGCAAAATATGCAAGGGAGGACCAAAATGACTCTTTAAGATCAGAGCTCAAATCAGAATTCAGATTTGAGTTAGCATCCACACATACAAATAAACTGAGAAAGATTGATGTGGAGCAATGCTAAAATACTCATAACAAAATTTGACAGAGTTTACACACCATCTTCAATGTTGAACTCAGCATTCTAAGGCTTTAAACTGCAGTCTCCAATTGAGGACTCTGAATGTCTCCATAAACAGGATGAAGCACGTGTCCATCCTTGGGCTCAATGTGCACCCACTTGCGACCACTCAGCTTATGTGTCTCGAACTTAATATTTCCTTCCTTCAGGGCATATAGGGTGTGATCCTTGCCAATGCCAACATAATTTCCAGGATGGAAACGGGTTCCTCTCTGCCGAACAATGATGTTACCAGGTATAACTCTCTGCAGGAAACCGCCAAAATTCAGTTAATACAATTTCTAACAGCTTTGAGGTGAACCAACTTTCTTCAACTTCCTATTTGATAATCTATTTACTATCAGTACCAAAATTTGTTTATTTTGCATGAAAGGCAATAATACCCTTGGTTTTGTTCCAAAACCTCCACTTATTTATCATTTTGCATCAAATTGAAAGGTATCAATACAATAACACTTCCTTCTACAATGAGTATGGAGGCTCTGAAGCAACCCAGCCTGAGAAAAGGGGGGGGGGGGGGGGGGGAATGGCTGTTCAAAAGCATCTTCTGGCAACAAAACTACGCTAAACAGAACATATGCTATTAGTGTTTCTGATATGTGACAAACCTTCTTATTGAATAGAGCATGTTACAAGAACAAAGTTCTAAAAACACAATCTTTGGAGCAACAAATATACTAGCACAAAAAGTTGCCGAGTTTGAAATATGTCATTGCACACATCAAACAAAGAAAGTCTATGAAACACCAGAAAAATCATTATCTAGCATAAACCTTGGTCAAATAAAATTTGAAGATCAAAACAAGCTGTATAAACACGAACTTGCTAAATGTTGAACTGAAATTGTGTATATTGAAGCAATTTAAATTATAGCAAGGCACGTTTTAGAGGGATGTTAGCACAACAAGGGAACAACAAAAGATGTCAATTGTCAAATACATGTTTGCCCTAACAAGATTATTGATAGTACATTTGTACCTAGTTTCTAACTTTCTACAATAAAACCATTGCAAACTTTTTCCAGACAGTAAAATTTGATGAAAACAGGAATACTTGAAGCATACACATCAATTCCAATTAATTCTAATTATACAATTAGAAAACATTTTTCCCTAAAATGACAAGATGTGTTATACCTCGCCTCCAAATTTCTTCACTCCAAGGTTTTTAGGCTTGGAATCTCTTCCATTTTTGGATGATCCAGCCGTCTTCTTAGTAGCCCACCTCCTAAACACTAAAGCCAAGCCTGTTCCAGATGCATCTACATTCGAAAACACCAAATTCAAACAAAACATAGAAAACGAAAATGGCGACTCATTACTTGACTACACTGAAAGGGCCATACCAGCTGCACCTGCATAAGCAGGAACATTTGTGACCAATTCTCTGAGACTAACTCTTTTGCAAAATGATGCAGCGAAATTCATCGTATTTCAATCGATTAACACCGATTACACGAAACCAATCACTAAATTTCCTGCAGCTAGACATTGAAACAGCTCAATTACTACAGATTGCAGTATCAATTTCATAGTTCCGTTCTACAATAAAAAAGGGTTCAGCAACACATTAGCAACCAAATTTGATTCAATCATCCAATAAGGCTCGAAAAATCACATAATTTTAGGGATATTTGATTCATTTTTCGATTAAGCTCATTATTATAATTTTAGGGATATTTGATTCAATTATCAATTAAGCTCATTATTGTAATTTTAGGGATATTTGATTCAAGTACCAATTAAGCTCACAATTTTCTTTTCTAACAACATAATCGCTGGTTATGATGTTTTTAAATTCTTAGTAATTAGAACCAAAAGTTGAGATTTTCGAACCCTAAACCATTAAACTAAATTAAATGAAATTAGATGAAAGATAAACGCTAGATTGTTAAATTGATATGATGATTACAAAAAGAAACAACTTACCTTAGCAGCTGCTTCAATGGGGTATACAAGTAATGGAGAATGTCAAGTGCGCTTCAACGGAGAACGAACAGAGAAAGAGAGGTTATTGGCAATTAGAGCAAATCAATGGGTTGGAGCCCATTAGGCCATTACAAGCCCTGATCCGCCCCAATTATAAATGGGTCAGATGACTCAGATCCGTCCAACTAATTCATGGGGCGGGTCTTAATATTTTTTACTTTTCAATGCGTTTTAACGGGCGTTTGGTTCGCAGAGTGGTATGAGTTTGAAATCAGGAATGTATTAAGGTGGTATCGGATTGAAACTTGATACTTAATACCATATGTTTGATACCTAGGTGAATGGAATGGAGTTTCCCCAAGGTTTTTAAACCCCATACCTCATGAGTTTGAGGCATGAGTTTAAAATTCATACTTTTAACAACCAAACATATGATATGTGTTTTAGTCATTCTAAACCCATACCTTGTACCTATATTTCGCGAACCAAACACCCCCTAAGTTTGGTTGGATTACTTTTTCAGGATTTACCTTGTTGGTCAAAGGTGACTTAGTTGGGGATTACTCGGTAAAGATTTAATTGGTCAAGAATTATTCGATTGGTCAGAGATTACCCAGCCAGAGATTACTTAGTCGGTTAGGAGTTATTCGGTCGATAATTTGACATCGGTAAATAAGTAACCTAAGGTACTCCGTGGTATTTTCTTTTCCAGAAAAAATACGTTATCATACTGATATGTATTACGGAGTATCCAATATATTGATGCTGCTGCTGACTTGTCCAACTCTCATAGGTTCCACCATGTCACTAGAAAACCTTATCAAATAAAATGAAACAAAACCAAGTAATTACTTCATTGCAAAGTCTTTTATTAAAAGAATAAGTAAAACGCAAATTAAGTGGACTTCTATAAAATTCGAGGTCATTCTAGAATTTAAAAATTGATCTTAAATTCTTAACTACTCGTTTCTTCCAAGAATACCCTCCAAACCCAACAAATTTCCTGGAACCCAGAAAGATCATCTCAAGGGTAAAATCGTCCAAAAACACCCAGAAATTTCCAGGAAACGCCAAATACCCCTCCCCCAAACAACCCTATAAATATCCATTTCCCCTCTTTACGAAACAATATTATCTTCGGTTTTTTAACAAAAAATAAAAAAAGCAATATTAATTGTTCTGCGAAAGAAATTCAAAGCGAAGAGAGAGAAAGAAAGTAATGGATTCATTCTTCCAATCCCAATCGCAATCGCAACCTGGTTATGGAAGTTCTTGGAATTTCGATGCTTTCAAGAATCTTCATGAGATTTCTCCCACTGTTCAATCTCATCTCAGACAGGTTTTCTACCTTAATTTTTTTTTTTTAAATTATTTTTTTCCTGTGATTTTTGCTGTTTGATGGAAAGATTGAATTAATTTGGAAATAAGTTAGCGTTTTGGTGTGAATTTTTTTGGTGTTTGATTAGGTTTTTTGGTTTTTGAGGTTAATTGGATAAAGTTTTGTGATCTTTATGTTGAAATTTAGGGTTTAGGGTTAGGGATTGGAAATTTTCCGATTAATTTGCATATTTTTGTGTATAATATAATGATTATGTGATGATGATGATTAAACTAGCTTTGAATGATACCTTCCTTGACTGCAACCGTTTGATTTGATTGTTTTGAATTATTTTGGAATTTTAATTAAAAGCCTTAATTACCATATTTACTGCATTTTTGGTGAAATTCTGTTAAATTTCTTATTCATATCTCACCTAATTTAACCTTCCTGTAAATTATGATAGTTGTATGTTTCCAAAAAAAAAAAAAAAAAAATAAAATATTATGATAGTTGTATGAAAAAAACATCATACTGTGCATAGTGAACTAAGTAAATATTACCAATTTTGAAAATAGATTTGGTTTATGCAAGGTAATCTGTAGCTTAAATGCCAATGGAAGTATTATGTCGATGTTAGCTTGATTCTCATTAAGCTATGCAATGAGTCTTGTAGCATGGATGCCAACTAGCTTAATTAATTGAAGTCAAGGAAATTTCCGATTAGCTTAATTGATTCCCGTTGTACGTTAGTGAAATTGTCGCTCCTAAATTGGCTGCGCTTTGGTTTCAGGTATACTTGACATTATGCTGTGCTTTGGTTGCATCGGCAGTTGGGTCGTACCTGCATATCTTGTGGAATATTGGTGGTCTTTTGACTACTCTTGCTTGTTTGGGCTGCATGGCTTGGTTACATGCCACTCACCCATATGAGGAGGTAATGTATATGCTTGATCTTCTCGTGTGTTCGCTTTGTTCTTGCTAGCATAGGTCTTGTAACTTTGACATTTCCAAGGGTGTTATAACTAACTGTTCATTCATTTGGCATGCAGAAAAAAAGAGTTGGCCTGTTAATGACCGCAGCCGCGTTTGAAGGAGCATCTATTGGTCCTCTAGTTGACTTGGCTATCCAGGTTGATCCAAGGTATGAATATATGATGCTTGAATTGCTTGATGGATTTCTTGAGTTTTACTGATCCTGTTTGTTGTGATTTATTATATGAGCTGTTTGATTTAGTTGTGCGCGAGATAGTTGCATTATATTCATATTCCTTACTCTTTTGTATGTGATTCTAATTATATCTTAAGCTATATACTTTGGGTTGCCTAATTGTTGTGGAATTGTCTAAATAAGTTATAGGCCATCTTGTTCTCAGTGCCAATACAATTGTTATATGGTATCTGTGTGGCATTAATACTTACGGCATTACACATTGTTGCTTTACAACATGACATTTATTTGCTCAGAAGTCATCTTGTTTGAAAGGCTAGTCAGATTTTTACTTGGTGTGGTGGGGTTGGAGGTTCTTATGCTTCTTTTGTTGGTTGCTTTTATGCATTTATTATGTGTGTCAGGTTCCTATTAAGTTAGTGTTGTTCGTTCTCAAATACGAGATTATTTAGTAGAATAGTCTTTGCAGCCTTTTCCATTTACTGATACTTCTGTATGGTTGACAACGCAGTCTTCTGGTTTCTGCATTTGTGGGTTGTGCGATAGCTTTTGGCTGCTTTTCTGCAGCTGCCATGTTCGCAAAGCGTAGGGAGTTTCTCTATTTGGGGGCTTTGCTTTCATCTGGTGTCTCCATCCTCTTCTGGCTACACTTTGCTTCCTCTCTTTTTGGAGGCTATGCAGCTATTTTCAAGTTTGAGGTATGATATCAACTGGATTTCTATATATATAATAAATACTGGTCACATGCTTACTGCTGACTGGAAAGATTGGCTGTGCGTAAATTAGCTTATGGAAGTCTGACTTTAGGCTGGATATGTTAATGAGTTCTCTTATAATTTAACTTAAATTATTTGGAGTTTTTTTCTTTTGTGTGTGTGTGTGTGTGTGTGTGTGTGTGGAAATTAACGTCTCCGGAAGTAATTTCTAGTGGCATATCAGTTGTTATGAAGTTGGAAGGAGGGGTTTATGTGGGCAGTGCTTTGGTGTTTTTTTTCCCTGTTAAAAGCTTTGTACTGATAGATTTTCTTCTTTGTGATGTTGCAGTTGTACTTTGGCCTTTTGGTCTTTGTGGGATACATTGTTTTTGACACCCAACAGATCATTGAGAAAGCTCACTTTGGTGACCTGGACTACGTGAAACACGCCTTGACTCTCTTCACCGACTTCATCGCTGTGTTTGTCAGGATCTTAATCATTATGGTATGTTACCATCTCTGCTTTATTGTCAAAATTATCTAGCTTACATCTTCCACCCCCATCTACACAGAAAATATGAGTTAAGGAAAATGCAATAAGGGAGATTTAAAAACTCGTATTGTCCTAGTTATTTGGAGTGTGATTGCTGATTATAAGTTGCTAGTTATTCTATTAAGTTGTCTTTATTCATTGTTTCCTAAATTTTAATGTTTGGATGGAGCTAACGGTGAATTGTTTTGTTGCAGCTGAAGAACTCAATGGAAAAGAATGAGAAGAAGAAGAAGAGAAGGGATTAAGCTCATATGCTTTATTGCCACTGTCTATCATGTGGAGTCAGCGCGTTTTTGTTAAGCCTCAAATTTCTGAACTCAGCATTATAGATGTAATAGTTTGAATACAGTCCTGAGTCAGATAGCCAGATTGAAACACTTAACATGTAGATATTTGGACAAACTAGAGCTTTGTGTCTTAACAAGTTAACATACTTATAATGATGTTTGATCTTGGATTTCTTAGTATTGGTAAATGGTAATGACAGTCATGCATCTTATGTGCAGTTACACATTTCAGATATATCTCTAATCAATGAAATTTTTAACTGTGTATACACTTGAAATTGCGTCTGTACTATGTTTATATTTTTATCAAAGCAGTAATGTACTATGATGATTGCAAGAAGAAGTATTGCTAATGATGGATAAGAATCTTGCTGCGTGAGCAAGGAGGATCTTAGCTTCAGCTCTAAAGCAATTACTCGAATGCCGTAACAAAGTTCCGGCTCGAAAATAATTATTCGTAATATATGACTATATGAGCTTTTCATGGTTAAGTTTCAAGGTTTAGATCATACGGAGTACCTCATTGCTTTTGCTGTTTTATACTTAGCACATGATTTAGTCACTTAAGAGATGATGTAAGCTCAAAGAAGTCTGCCGTAACAATCATTATACTATAGTTCTGTAGTTTGGTTTCAAATTGCATATTTGAGATTAATTTTGATAATTGATATCTATCACGTTTGAGAATAACCATGAATACATGACATTTATATCCTGTCTGAAGTTCTCAGTTGGTGAATCGAAATGGACGAAATCGTACAAGTACTAGTTAGAAACCTTCTGTATAGGGTCATTATGTCAAAAATTATTCCTATACCTTAAAAAAGAGCACAATGTTGCAATTTTTAATTCAAGTAGACACTATAATGACAGAAAATTACTTGCCTGATAATAATTCAACTCGACACAAAAAACACTCCCAGGATTTCATTTCAATTGAACTCCAGGTCTGCTGATTTGCTTTGTCAACATGCTAGAGTGACAAAAATAGACAAGAAAACTAAGCTACTATGTTTTTCACTGCAATCATTAGATCCTTAAACCACAAGTAAATCCTATTTGACATATCAAGGGCAAGGATACACAGGAGATGAATAGATGACGGAATCGAGCGCAATGAACAAATTTCGATGATCAATATACAGAAAGCAAGGACCACCCTGAGAGAAGATGGGGAAACTTAGGTAAACCATGGCTAATGATACAGAGAAGAATCTGTTTCCTGCACTGATGAAGACAACTATGCTGTAGCAGGTGGAGACAGAGAGAGTTTTAACAGGATGCCGAGCATAATCCCTATTATTGCCACAAAAAGAGAGAATTTGCATGAGAAGCCAGAGTTACTTTTGCGCTGTCTGCTGCGTCTTCTCCATATTTCCTGAATCAGCCCAAAAAAAAGCAATATAAGTGAATAAGTGATTGCTTTAATTTCAACCAGCTAGGTGTTCCAATACTCATTAATGATTAGAATAACAAGTGTGCAGATAAACTATTAAGATCCCAATTAAATTTAAGGAAAGGAGTAAACTATCAAGGTTTGCAACCTAACTTTCAGTGCTAAACATACATTTTCCTGATTTATACATCAAATAATTATCAATGGTGTGAGAAGTTGAACATTTTAATGATTTTTATCTTGTTCATGCATTATTAATTATTAATTACTGAACAGTGAACACAAAGGGTCATGACCATTCCTGCATTCCAAAAAGAGCTTTGTCAACCCTAAATCATGCACTATAAAGGCATTGGCATATAACCCAAATCATTTTTGAAAGCATAATGTCATACTACAGCTTAAAGTAACATGATGATAAATCAGGTCAATGAGGATTGCTCATCATTCATATATATATAAAAAAAAAATATAAAAAAAAAAAAAAATCAACACCAAAGATAGACCCCTGCATCCCCCCCCCCCCTCAAAAACCCCAACACACACACAACAACAACCCCAATAAGTGAGTTCAGAATCTATGGAGCCTTACTTCATACTAGTCTATTAGTAGAAAGGGGAAACGATGTCTGATGCAGATTGATTGCAAACCTGGCGGTTAAGCAACAAATCAGGGTATCGTACTCTGCAAATTTAAGTTTAACTGGCTCAAATAAATAGTTCCACACCTCTATCCCAAAAGTGGGGAGATGGAAACAGAAGAAACATATTAACATAGCCTCAACAATGCCTATTTTCTTCCCATTTTTTCACTTGAGATGGAAGTAATAGCATATACCAAGAAAAAGAAGTGACAAATTTAAAACATCCAGCAAATCAACGCTAGTCGTATGCTTACCAGTTCCTGTTGGAGTTGCTGCGTTTGTCGAACGGCTGCATCTCTTTCTTCTTTTATGCGCTGCAAAGTCTGTTTCTACCCAAGTGGGAATAAAAAGGTAAGCAAAAGGGGACAAAAAAAGTGAGGCTAAGGAGGAGTTAAGTTTGTTCTAATGCGTTACTAATACCCTAGTTCATTCATTATGGTGGTACATAAAGAAAGCCAAATCAGGGTAGTTATCTGAGATTATGTGTCCAAGAAATCACCCTCCCACAAAAAAAATGCAGTAACCTACCCATTTAACCCACATTGTAAAAAAAAAAAAAACTGTCTATTTTTGGAAGCATTACATTCATGTGATTTGGTTGCTTCTGTGGCAAAAAAAAAAAAAAAAAAAAAAAAAAAAAAAAAACAATAGTAGTGAAAACTTGCAAGTTCAAAACAATGAATCCTTCATTATGGCAACCCTATATAACAGAACAGTAAGAAGCTTTAAGATGGTAACTCACATCTTCGACACTTTGATTTCCCTGAGCCTGAGATGTAGAAAGAAGAAAGATATTACATTAAAGAAATGCTTCTGGATCTAAAATTTAAGAAGGAACGCTTAAATGTAACTACGCAGTTGAGAGCTAGAGACACATGTAGAGCAACATCAACTCCACCACTTGAAAGGGAATCATAAAGGAACACAGATATAACAGTGCAATCTAACGGCTAAGAAGTAAGAACTCACATTTAAGCCTCTTCCAGGCTTACTAGCTGAGTCGTCTTCAGCATTACCCTGAGTTGAATTTGGAGAGACGTATACAACCCTGAGTTTGCATTCCTCAATTGTCCTTCCGCTATCCTTGTTAAACTATATCAATATTTTAGATGAATCAGCCATGATATGTTTCAACCTCTTATGTTAGATAAATGGCAAGTAATGTCCAATTAAGTGTGCTTACAGTATCTTGTGGAAGATCATCCACATCACTATTTGGAGACACTATTGTGCTCTGAAGTAGAAACTTATCCTTGCATTGCATATCTGGAGGATATTCCTGCTGAGCCTGGAGAGTGACTGCAATTCCATTATTATCCAAAAATCAATATAAATTCTAAATTCCAGGTAAGAACAATATCAAAAAATAGAAAGCAATAACGTTAACCAAATCAAAGCCACAAATCAATATGTTCATGAACCTCTGGCAACGAAATTTTCTTGCAGCAAGTGCCTTCTAAGGATAACTAAGAGTTCGATATTAATTATCAAAAAAATCCTATCCCAAGCTCATAACCCACTCAGACACTTCTTAACATTTGTTTGAAGCTCTTTTATTTAAACCGAACCTAATATGTGTACAATCTGTGCTGCGAAAGACATGAAAGGATTAAGAGCATAAGAAGACATTGTATCTTCATAAAGTTAAAAGCTATGCAAAGAAATCAAATGGAGAAAAGGCTATCATCCATCATTAAACAAATTTCAAGGGCCCCATGCCATAGTCTGAGTACTGAACAACTGATGAACAATTCCATCATAGTCAATAATTTATTTTTTTTTGAGAAAAATCATAGTCAATATTTAAAAAAACAAAAAAAAAAAACAAAAAAACTATTGGCAGTGAAACTGTAACTTGCTAAGTGAAGTTTTGCTGACTATTGCAAGCAAGAAATTGATATTTACAACAGGAATATAACTTTTGACCTGGAATTTTGGACTTTCTAATACTAGTCTTAGCAAGTAAAAGTTAAAATTACCTCTTATAACACATGAATCCCAAGGATGTAAAACACCAGTATTGGGCCGTACGTAGTACCTTTTGGGAGAAGTGGTCTTCACCTGGCAAAAGTGCATCAAGACTCAGATCCTGCATAAGAAAAAACGCGCAGGGGGGGGGGGGGCTATTTTGTCCTGTTTTGTTTAGAGATGATTGAATTTTGAAATCTCATCAGTAAAATTTGACAATTGATATTTAATACCAAGGATTTAAGAAAATATACAGAGTATAATTTATTACTATAATAAAGTTTCAAGATTACAATGATGTAGATAAAGAAAAAAAATTTAAAATAATGTAATAGCAGTTTTCACTTCTGATTTTATAAATACTCATATTTTTAAATAAATCATAAACAAGAAAAAAATTGACATTTAAATAAGAATTAGTTCCCTTCAAAAAAAAAAATAAGAATTAGTTGCAAATAGCTTTGGACAGATGGATTAGTATTTTTACCTTAAAAGCAACATTCTGATCTGTGTTGTTCGTAACTTTCAGGTCACAAAAGCTTTGCCTTTCCAGTTCAACTGAGAGGAAAAAAAAAACCAAGATAGGACTTAGAATTGAAATTTTTAAAGATAACCAAATTAAGCATGTAATTCTTTCCAAACTAAAATATAATAAAAAGGTGCATTTGCTAAATTTCATTTGATTTCACAGAAGCATGAGTCAGTTGTTTGCAAAACACTACTACACCACTCTGCTTACAGCTTATATTTTGCTACTTATAGCTCAAGCACTATTTCATCCCCCTAAAATAGAGAGAGTGAGAGTTCAACAGCAACAACAATAACAACCAATTTCAGCATGTGCAAAAGGATTGAAAATCATGCTCTCAAAGACAAGGTTCAGGTTGTGGTCTATATTATTATCAATTTATCATCAAGGCACTTCAACAGAAAAAACAAAGAACTGCTAAACTGGATTGTTCCACAAACTCTTCTTATCCTATTCTCCCTTAACGATGACACAACTGCAGTTCTAATAGCCAACAGCAGCAGAAAGACCCAAAACTCTCTTCCACCAAACGTCCCAAACAAATAGTTTCTGAGATAACAAGCCGCAATCACACAGACAATCATCCCTTTAAATGGAAACCATACAACTTACTATCTTAGAAACCTGGTCCCATTACCTAATATAAGTTGTCTGCTTTAATCTACCCAAAACAAGGTCCGGGCAAAGATCAAAGTAATTGTGATCCATACAAACCTATTGATTTCAACATATGACATATTCTGTAGTCTGTAGACTCTGTATTCTATTTGTTGCAAAAATAAGCGGTTCAGTCTGGTGTTATCCAGGGTCTAACAGAAAAATTCACAGGTAAGGTTAAAATCTAACCAATCCAAAGATTAGCCAACTTCTATGGGTGGGGCATAAGTACATAATGAGAAGTTAATGCTACGTTATACTTCATAGTCCATAACATGGTTCCTTTTTTTTTTTTTTCTTTTTTCTTTTGAACTACATCTCAACATAAACGATACAAAGTCATCCAATAAATTATATACATATACTATTATACTACATATTTGATTATAGTTAATCAGTAGATGCACTTTTCTTAAACAAGAGGCTCTAACCCTATACTGAAACTAAGAAATACTATGTACTCATAATTATGCATTCAGCATTTTAGTTTATTTTCACTGTTCCATATTTAATTTCTATCAAACTTACTATTCAAATCACTACATTTCTTGAATCTAAAAGTTCAAGAGCCTCCTTCAGAAGAGAAGTCCAAAAAGAAACATATAAAAAATAAACAAAGTAGTGCAGTTCAAGTTTCTGAACTACTAGCCCACATAAGGATCTTTTGACTAAGCACTCCATCACAAACTGATTTGTAATAAGTATAATGCAGCATAATTCTTAAACAAATCCCAATCAAATATCAGGTCTGAAATAGCTTCTCAAATGTATATCATATGTCAACTGTCTACATAACCACACAATACTAATAGCAGATGGTCAGAGACCTGATAGACACAAACAAAATATAATACTTGTACCAAATAACTCCCTCAATTTGTCGCCATCTCAACACTTAAAAACTACATTTTCCTACACCTTATTGTACTCGAATTCATACAACGTCGTAAAATTGGTTGCCCTTTTAAACAAACGATGCAAATCTATCAATTATGGATTCCTACAATAAGTAACAACTCCTTAGCATAGTAAAATTGCCTCCACAGTTTCATATCAATCCTATACATGACACTATCCTGTAATCGAACTCATATGCTAAAAACGAAACCTTCTTCGAAGAATATTACGACTTGTATCCACAATCAAGGCCATTCAAGTACTCATCACCTCAAAAACAAGATCCTCATCATTTAATACTCTAGATTAAATAAATTAATCACAGCAGCATATTGCCTATTATGATGAAGTCTTAATTACATTGTTAACTTAATTAATTACTCAACTAATTAATACAATAGCAAAACAAGACAAATCAAGCAACAAAATCATACTCCGTACAAAATAACCACAAAATAAAACAGCAAATTAATAGAAAATTACGCATTCAACAACAAACACAAAAGTAAAATCAAAATCAACGAAAAAAAGAGAAGAAAAATTACATTGAAATTTAAGCTCGTCAGGATGAACAAAGATCAACTGTTTACTGGGAACATTCATGGTTGTAACCACCATTAATTCTTTCAAAACCTATCAACAACACTCCAAAGAAAACCTGTTCAAATTCATCAAAAAAATCGAAAAAAAATTCAAAAAATCGACAAAAATTCTGAACAAATTAGAGAGAAAATAGCGAAAAGATGTAGAAATGAAAGAAAAAAAAAACTAACATATAGATGCGAGTGGAGGAGAAGAAGAAGAAGGTGCGAGAATGGCGGATCGAACTCGCGTCAATGACAAAGAGAGCGAAACAAAACTAATTATAGCTTCCCTCGCTAAAAATTTCAACCTGAATTTTTATTTTTATTTTTAATTTTTTTTGAATTTTTTGAAATGAATTTCAACCAAAAAAAAATTTATTAGGAGTACTACGGTTGAGAGAGAGGAAGAGGAGGAGAGAGAATTCAGGTATTTTTTGCAGAAATTTGGAGGAGAGAGAATGAAGAAGAAGTGACGCGTGGCATTTATATGATGTCAGAGGAGAGAGAAAGAGGGAGATGTTATTGGGTTACGGTTTGTGGGTTGGAGTTTGCTGGCTGGATTTGGGACCCATCTTACTTGGTGGTTACCCGCCTCTTTTCTTTTTTCTTCAGTTTTTTCTACTACCACTCCGTACCAGTTCTCTAAAATCGATTTTGGTCATGGTCAATTGGTCCTGTTTCATCAAATGTGTCATGCCGTATCGTGCCGTTTCTGTATTGGTTTTTTTTTTTTTACGCATTTTATCAACCGTGTTGAAAACCTCTTATACTATTATACTAACCCTTTTTTTTCGTGTTCATTCTATGTCATATTATATGTAAGATAGTAAGAGTGTTATTATGGGAATGACGAGAAGAGAAATATTTAACATTTTGAGAGACTATATTTATTATAAATTCCATAAATTATAGGTTATATTTCTTAAGCAAGTTGATTCGTGTTAAATTCGTGTTAGATTTCACTACAATAACCCGACCTATTTAAATAAACGTGTTGTAAACCTTTAACACTAACTTGATTTTTTTCGTGTCTAATTTGTTTCCTGTTCTTTGAAATGTGTTAGCTTTTGCTAGTTGTAGGTCATGTTATGTTCATGTTAATTTCACTTATTTAAAGGTAAATAAGTTTAGACAATGGGTTGTTATTTTACATGTACTATGTCTTCATTAGTGTTAATGAGGTTTAATATGTAGATAAATATAATGACCCTGTGATGATATTGGTTCTAATGGAAAAATATAGGTGACCTTTAATTTGTATAAAAAGAACAAAAACTTTTGTATACACCCGGTTTACACTAATTTTATTGTACATCGAGCAGTATAAGGGTAACTTTTACCTAATTTTAGGGTAACTTTTTGCTTTTTTTGGGGTAACTTTTAACATAATACAATTTTTATATAAATAGACAATAAGAAAAGTTATATAATGGTAATTTAATTACATTTAATCACAAATAATTGATTTTTAGTCATTTAAAATGCGATTTTTTACTAATAATTTTTATTTGTATTGGATTACTTTTATGCATATTAGGGTAACTTTTATTTATTTTAGGGGTAACTTTTGATCAATCTAGTCTATCTTTATAGTGGATGTACAATAATTATTGTACACCCGATTTTTTTAAAGTTTGTATAAAAAGAAACGATACTATTTAGTATTTACTACAGTACACTATACAATATAGTTTTTTTTTTCATACTTATTTTGTTTGGAATAAAATTATTAGTGTAAATAGTAGGTTAGGAAATTTTTTTATTTATTTCATTTGATCTTTTAATAGTAAATTAAACAGAACAAGCCCTACTGTTTTGTTCGATTTTCTCCTTTTGTTCTCATGCATGCCTTGTCCTTCACTTATCTTTGGTAACAATTCCTTTATTATTTACCCTTAATTAATAAGTTTAGTCCACTTTCATTGATAATACTCTTCCATCTTACATTATTATTCTTTTAATTTGGTTATTTTCTCTACAAATACAAGGTTGTATCAAGGTTGAGTAAGTTTTTAGGTGTTAATCATCTTGAATAGATTTGGTTATATTATGGTCTACCAACCACATGTCCACATTGCATGTACTTATGTAAGGGCCTATTCTCATTGACTGAACTCAGCTGAATTGAACTGAACTGAGCTAAACTGAACTGAACTGAATTGAAATGAATATTTTATAAGAGAAGGAAATTAGGAGCTGAACTGAACTGAATTTCAACGTATGAGAACAGACCCTAAGTGTAAGTGTTAATTATCGTGAAATAGATACGGATTTATTATGGTCTACAAAATCACAAATTATTATCGTGTAGATTCAAATATATTGAAATACAAATTCACATGGTAACTAGTGTAAATGTGTAATTGATGTTTAATTAGGCTTAGCATTTCACTTGTAGCTTTGTTATGTAGTCCTAAAAGCAATCTATATTGTTATTCAATTTTTAATGTTGTCGAAAAAGCATAAAATCGTAATAAAGGAGCTTTAGCTTGATTATTTTTAATGATGGTAGGTGAGTAACAGCCTAGAGTTCCATCATTAACGTTCAATAATGATTGCTTATTAATGTAATCATCATGATCAAGGCGTTGCTACTTGCTAGTGCTACTTAAGCATTTTTTTAGTAATTTAAAACAAGATAACACGTCAATGTCAGGTAAGGTTTAGCAAGAAATTTAGAGTAAATTTCAAATATATTTGATTATATTATGGTAGAAAGTGAAGATGATAACATCATACCTTGATACCTACATAGGGGTAACAAAATAAAATTATATGAAAAAACCATGATTGCCAAAATTATGAAAACATAGTACCTCTATCCCTATTTAATTTATTTGCCCTAATTGACTTTTCAAGGTTTTCAAGACACGTCTTATAAGGTCTGAGTACATATTTAATTTCGTAAGCGTAAAAATTGTAAAAACTTGATATCAACTAAAATATACAATAATACGATTCCAACAAGATTACATATATATTACGAGTAACACTTATAGATTAAAATAGAATTTATGGTCGAAGTTGTAAAAGTTTAGCCTAAATACATGACGGAGAGAGTATCAATTTTACCATAATATAATGGAAAATCCATGATAGATAAATATGAGACCTAACAATTGTTACAAGTCTGCATACCTTCTTATATTTTACGAGAGGTTTATCAATACATGTTACTCTATTTTCAAAATAAAACAAGTGATTGTTGAAAATGAATAACAGTCTCAAATTATCATCAATAAATTACTTTGTAAACAGAATTAGGAGTATTTTGTATGATATTATATTTGATTTTGTAGGGTTAAGTGGGTTGGTGAGTCATGCAATAATAATAATAAAGCTATAAAAGTAAAAAAGCATACTGTTATTAAAAACAAATCTACGAAAAAGGAAGGCTTTCCTAGAAGGTTTCTATTGTTCACTTAACTGTAATGTCTACACTTTAGTTTTTGGAGGTTTCTATGTGTTGTAACTATGATTAGTATTCATGTCATAAAAGCATTGCTTATCATTAAAAACAAATCCCAAAAAAGGCTCTTTTTAAAGTTCTATTTTATGGCTGTCCTTTTCATAAACCTTAATTTTGCATATTATAAAAAATAGCTCAATGATATGGGAGATCAGTGCTCACAAAACTGGTTCAATAATAATGTGAGTTCTTTAGATGTTTTCACTTGCACTTGTTTTCCTTTTGCTGAAAGACTCTATTGGCACTGCTCATGGGCTAGTTAATAAGGTCGATGAGCCATATTCTATGATGCTTGCGCTTATCTAATCTACTCGAACAAGCTTCTCGTAAACACATCTGAAAGAGTTTCCATCTTATGCATAGTATAGATTGTATCAACAAACATTAACAAACAATTGGCATTACTCTGATAAGTATTCTCGAAGATATTATACATTGCATATTTCGATCTACTCTACTACAAAGGAAATCAGGTTTCCAGCACCAATATTACAATTACACAGTTTCCCTAAAAGATATTAGATCTTTTAAAACAAAATTCTTACAATATGTAAACCATAAACGATGACAAAAACATGAAGGGCTTCCAAGATGAAATTGCTTCAGCAAATTTTATGTTTTCACTTGAAAGTGGAGAGCCTGGGAAGTTTGTCTCGTAGATAGTACAGCCTCGCCTTCCTGACTTTCCGGTGAGCAACGACTTTTATCTCCTTGATGTTTGGTGAGTACCTGTACAAGTATCACATAGAAGCATGTTTATAGAGATGAAACCCAGAAGCTAAATATTGTTACACAGTATAATGAATTCCAGGATGCAAAGCACATCCAAATAAACTCCAATCTTCAGCAATCACTACAGCATATTTAATATAACAGAGTTTACCAACAGTCCAAATGTCTAATACCCTTGGTTACTTCTAAACTTGACTAATGCATTTCGCAGCAATAATTAACACAGCCTAGCTACAATAACAAGATGAGAAAGGATCTTCAAGGCTAATTATCTTGAACAACCAGCCAAGGTGCATCAACATCATTAATTAAAAATTCCTAATACGATGTATCTCGTTATACAAAGTCAAGCCACTAAGCCAGTGATCAAGCAAATACACAAAATTAATATTCTGCATGCCAAATAATTCTAATTCAAGTAAAAAAAGTAAAATCACATGCACGCCAACCCATTATCACACTTCCCTTGCAAAAAATTCGAGCTTATTACCTTTCAGATCAAGGCATAGCTGACAATCCCTTGTAATTTATGAGAGAAATGCAAAAGATCCTCTTTACAAGCAATCATTATTTGCATGTGTAAGGCTATATGCATTTCCCTTAGAATAAAAGGCTATATATATCTTTATACTGCTGCAGGAGCCTTGTTACTTGTAAAGTTGTATAAGTATATGGGTAAAGGTGTTGTATACTTGTGTGACATTAGTCAGGGTAGTAAGAGTCAGGAAGTAGCTTAGTAGCTACAAACCCCATTGAAACATAGAAACTCTACAGTGATTGTGATGTTCTTATCAATATACAACAAATGGAGGAACATCAAGATTTGGTTTCAGAAAAACGATGCATTTCTTAATGATCTAAGCGAGAAAGACAATTATGATATAGTACTAATTAATGACGCACCCAAACCTTCTGTCAGTAAAGCATGCAACCTAATCCTAATCTTACATGTTGCAAAGATGGACAGCGATTTTGCTAATTCAAAATTTGAAAAAGATCTGGTAGCTATTGTTACTCAATAAAATACCTATCCGACAACATTTTAAAACAAAATGTAGAACACTACTGTATTCCAGTAGCATTTCTTAATAGCTACAAACCCCATAGAAACATAGGAACTCTACTGTATTCCGGTACCAACCCCCCCCCCCCCTCCTCTTCTTCCTCTTCCAATGCAGATAGCAAAACATAATTTATAGTGCAGGGAATTCATGAAACAAGCACAAGAACAATACTTATACTTACAGAGGAAACACAATCTCGACACCAATACCAGCAACAATCCTTCGAGTCCGGATGGTGGTATGAATACCTGCATTCTGCCTAGATATCACAATACCTTTGTACACGGATAGCCTACGCTTGTTTTCTGGAACTTCCTATAAAGATGAACCCAGCAAAGAAGTCAACAGAGCTTGAGTAAGCAGTTGAAAATTCAGTGAGAAAAAGTGGAACCACAGTCACTACTAACCAATTTGATTTGCACAATGTCTCCAGTCCTGATGTCTGGCACAGGACGCAGCTCATCTGAAGCCTCAACCGCTCTCTTGTTCAATATCTAAATTAAAAAAATGGAATCATACTATAAAATCCAAATTTCAAGCTCAAGAAACTCAAACTCAAATTTTAACTAATCCACAATTATATTCATTTGTCATCTCAAGGCCTTAAACTTTTCACATTATCATTGTTCTTCATTTATCTACTCTTCGTCGCAACACAACATCGATATCTAACAGCTAAAGCCAACTATAATTTCCATATCTATATTTACATAGTTTGATCACAGTCAAATAACCTAAGATTCCACCAATACATGAAAAAATTGCACCCGAAGTTTAGCACAAATAAAATAAACAACATTTGATTAACACTTTTGGAACCCTAAACAAGCAAATTCCAATACAACAAATCATGATCTCAGAAAACAAGCATACAATTCAATTAAATTGACAATATAGCAAAATTAGAACTAAATAATATCAATAAAGTAAATTATACCCCCATTATATCTCCCATTTTGACCCTAGGCTTCCATGGCGGCCTCGCTTCGGCTTCAGCTTCGGTTTCGGCTTCGACTTCAACTTCCGGCAATTCCTCCTCGGCAACGGCGGCTTCACTCTCAGCCGAAGCGTCGGAACTACCCTCAGCTTCCGACCTCACAACGAACGAATTTCTCGCCGGAGAACTGAACATAGAGCTGAAATTGGAGCTAAAGAGGTTAGACAAAGCCCTAGAAACCGTAAGATTACCTCTGGAGTAGGAGAGAGAAAATCGACGGTTAGACTCAATTGGAAACCCTAGCTGCTTCTTCAATGGAGGACATTGAAGTGAGTGATTCGAAGGAATTACAAAAAGTGCCTGTAAATGAATAATTGGAAGATAATTTAGCTAATTGGAAGAAATTTCCAGAAAAATAATATGGAAGAGAGAGAAATAGAGAAAAACCTGTGGAAGAACCTTGGACGCCATTGATGATGATGAAGAATAAAAGAGGAGAGAGAAAATGGTGAAATTGATTGGTGTTGAATAGTTGCTGAGCAAAATTCAAGTCATTGGAGTGAAAGAGTTTGGTGCTCTTAGAGGATGGAACTCCTTATCTAGTTCTCCATTTCAGTTTTCTGCGTTATTCAATCTCATATCCGTTTGCAATTTTTATTTTATTAATATTTTTTTTAATCTACAAACAAAATTGGGCTTTAATAGGAAATACGGACTATGTTCTCATTTCTCAATCTATAATCTGGCCCATTAAAACATAAGTTGAACTGATGAGCTTCATTTTTTTGTTTTGGTTGTATACTTTTTAGTTCTTGTATCCAAGGAAAGGAAGCCATAAAAGTTATGGACAAAATTTAATCTCAAAGGTCCAACATATTAGAGTAAATGAAAAGAAAATTATATTTTCCTCTACAATAATACTCAAAATACTTGCATTGTATTTTGGGGATGCATGTAAAATGTTTATAGTCTTCAACAACTTTTGTGTACGGTGGTCACACACACGCCAATTTACATACACCAAGTAACCTTTAATCGAAAAATAACTTCTGACTGAGTAACCCTTGATCAACTTTAGTAACTTCTGATCAAGTAATTCCCGGTCAATTTAGTAACCCCCTGATCGAATAATCCCTAATCTCTATTCACCTAATTTTTACTTATTTGAACTCATCTGATCTTATCTGAACTTATATGCCCTTATTAGAACTTATTTTAGTTTTAAATTAAACTTATATGCCCTTACCACAACTTATCTGAACTGATTTTTCCTAAACTTATCTTATTTGAACTTATTTAAACCTGTTAACTTTGAAATAAGTAAAAATAAGGTGAACATAACATGGCCTTAGTAACCCCTGACCAGGTGAGTATCCCCTAACCGAGCTAGTAACCCCTGATCAAGTGAGTGACCCTTAACCAACCTAGTAACCTTAACAGAGTAAGTAACCCCTATAGCACTAACAAAGTAACCCTCATAATGATTGGTTACACGGTATAATAAGCCACTTATAAAAGCTTATGTAAAAGCCTTATACTCTTATAGGCAAAATATAAAGATCCCTAATATATTTCCTATAACTTTTATTATTTTAAAATAAGACGACTTTTTTTTAAGACAATGAAAAATGACTTTATACGGAACTCTAAGAATTTCAATTGTTCACATGATGATGATTGATGAGTACATACAACATAATGAAAGTACAAGTACATATTAGTGTAGTACGGTGTATAATAATTGAGATATTAATGTATCTAAAATAAATTGATTAAGCTATTCAAAAAAATATAAATTGATTAAAATATAGGGGAAAAAATAATTTTGAAATGTTTTCTTTGAAAATCTATATAATTTGAATTTAACAAAGTTTAGATGACATGTCAAATGAATGTACTTCGTATTAAAAACAAAATAACCCATTTTTTATATGGATAGTTAAATATGAAGCGTGGTATGCCACATTGCCACTAATTGGATTTGATCTTGTATTGGCTAATGAATGTCCAAAAACGTGCAGAGTAAATCACGAGATAATGAGTTCTACAGATTCTAGCGATACTAAAATATGAGATGGAAACAAATCACCACCTCTTTGTCGAAGCCAATAGACGTACGTGTGTATCAAACATAACGAAATTCTAATAAATTACTAATAGAACAACATAATATCGAACCTATTAAGGGGCAAAATAAATAAATGACAGAAAGTACATTTTATATGTATATATGTGAATTAAAATATTAATGAAATAAGTAGAATAGCAAGAAGTAGAAACAAAGGACTGCCTCTTAATGTTAACCAATTAGCCAATAAAGAAAGGAGAGAAATAAATATTGCAATATCTAACTATTGATTTTCTATTTTAGTAAAGTTGTAGTTTCAATAACCAATTTACTTATGGGATAAATTTTTAGGGCCTCTTAAAAAGAAATAAGGCAAATAGAGAGATGAATACAATATTTTAAGCTTATGAAGATAATATTTGTTAGGCAAAAGCTAATGAGCGCCCCTAGGACGTTAGATAAGAGAATTAAAGTGCAAATATTAGAGTAAAAATAACATTAATTACACCGAACGACGCGTGATTTTATCATGAATTCCTAACTTAATACCATTTCAACCAATATAATTTATTCTAATCTAACGCACCACGACGCTCGTTAGCAAGATCCTATTTGTAATATACTCTGTATTCATTTGTAATATACTCCGTATTCCCTATCAGTTTGGAACTCTAAAACCTCATATGGAAATAGAGTAACACATTGCATATTAAATATAGAAAGATGTCTTGAAACCAATATTTCAAGAGATTTTCATTCATAACACTGAACTCCACTAAAATTTAAAACAATTAAAATTTAGTAAGATCTAAATCGATCTAAATGATTCCTTAAAAGTACTTTGTATTAATTATCAAAATGATTATGTTGCATTATTAATGTTAATAATGTAAAGCATTATACAAGTATAAATTTGGATATTGGATATAGGATCTAAGCAGTGGAATATTCTCCTACTTTAAGTTTGGTTGGGCCAGAAAACAAAACAAGAGAGCACCCCTTAACGCAAAACAGCAGACATGACGTGAGTAAACTAATGAAGGAATTGTTTCCATTCACAAATCACAATTACTAAGTTACTTAAACCTTTTTTTGCCAGCGTGGCACCGGAGTAAAAATAATGTAGCCTCACAAATAATCCACGTGTCCATCTCGAAACCTCCACCCGTCTCTTATTTCTCTTCCTTTCACTCCCTCCCGCCAACACCGTTCACCCTCTACTCTCTCTCTCTCTCACTTTCTCTCTCCTCTTTTTTTTCCTCTCTCTCTCTTCGTTTTTAGCCTCTCTTCAAACCGTCTTTCTCTCTCCTCTTACTTTTATCCTCAATTGAAATTTCGTCCAACAAATCGGTTTTTCGATTTCGTTTTTTTTTTTTGTGAAATTTTGATTTTGATGTCAGAAATTATAGCTACAATGTGTTCATCTTCAAATTGTTGTTGATTCATTCATTCATCTGTATTTTTGAATAATTGGTGAGTTTTTTTTTTTTTTTTTTTTTGGTTTTAGTTTGCTGTTTAATTGAAATTTTTCGTACGAGGTGAAATTGTTTAACTACTCATTTAATATTTAAATAATTCAATTTGTTGATTTTTTTCCTTAATTATGTTGGTTTGCATAATTGAAGTTTTTCTTATTTGTTTTAGTGATTGTAATAGGTCTCAATTTTTAATTTTTTGATTATTGATTTATTATTGTTGCCATTTCTGACATTTAAAATTCAAATTATGAGAATTAGTTACTATGGATACAGTAAAAATTATGGTATAGTGTATATAATAATAGAGAGGTAGAAAGGAATTAGGGTAAAATAGTGATGTAGACGGAATTCGATTCGAGATATTGGATATTACCTGCCCTCGTATTTTACCAACTTAGCTACTTGACATCCACGAGTAGGCCGGTGACTAGAATGAATAACTGTTATAAACTGAAGATTTAAAATATTGGTGACTTAGGTCTAGGTGGAATTTTTAAAGCAAGTGATAAAATAATTTGTATGCAGAAAATTTAATGCTCAAATACCTGAAAGAATTTTAAATTCAGGATTAAATTGATTTATAACAGAAGTTAGGCTTTATATTAATTGTGTTTGATGCAGCATTGACTTAATTATTGTCATATTAACACACCTAATTAGCCTATATACTACTGGAGAAGGAAGGATGCTAATTCACTAATTAACACCATGTAATTTGCAACATATCGAATTCATCATGTTAGTATGTAAAGTTCTTAAATTTCCAAGATGATCGATTTCACCGGCGAATTCTATCCTATATGCAATGTATGGAAAGTAGATATCTGTTGACATTGTTGGTTACTTGGTTGCTCAATTGATTTGTTATCTGTTGTTCTTTGTTATGTTGTTATTTTCCTTACAATTTCAGGAATTCTTTATACAAATATTTTTTTATTCATTTGGTAAGTAAGCATAATAATTGTATTACCACATTAAAAAATTCACTGGTTAAATCTAGACCAATGCAAACTTTCTAGGAAGGACTGCCATGAGTTAGGAAGCAGAACAACCAGGCTTAAGCTTAAAACAACCTATTTACGATGTAAAGCATCGAACTGATTTGTATACCCGTCACTTATCTTCTGAGGTATAGGTAGGGATGTCAATGGGGCGGGCGGGGCGGGGCGGATCGGATGTTGGCTTCCCTATCTCCATCCCCATCCCCATCCCCATCTCTGCCTAACATTTTAATTCCTATCCCCACCCCTACCCCTACCCCTACGGCGGGTTCAAATTCATCCCCATCCCTATGTGGCAAGTACAATCCCAAAACCATCCCCGCCCCACCCTCCACTTAGATATCCATCCCCACCTAAGATCCGTCTAATCCCCACCTTCCAAATACAACTATACTACATAATAATGATTTTTTTTTTTAAAGAAATGATTTTTTTTAAAAAAATATTGTTAAGTTGTGCATTTTTTTTTTGTTTATAATATAAGTCTGTTACTAAGTATTATACTTTTACTACTACCTCCGTTAACTATTATTTGCAATAAAGGGGTATTATTTGTGAGATATAAAATATTCCTTTGTTGCAAATAATAGTTAACGAGGTAATATATTATTTTACTTAAATTTTTTTATAAAATGGTATAAAAGTATTTTTTTTTTTTATGTAATTATATGTATGGATGTGGGTACGGGGCGGATATGAGGTGGGGATGGGGCGGGTACAACCTAAGATCCACTCCAGCCCCATCACCCATGGCAGGTATGGTTTTTTATCCCCATTCCTGCCCATCACCCGCCAAACCGGGATCCAGTGAGACGGGGATGGGGCAGGTCTTCTACTTGACCCGCCCCATTGACATCCCTAGGTATAGGACTATGAAGTTATAGATTTGTTATAACGTGTCGTTGAACTTATATTGATTGGTTTACGCTTAGAGTAACGATACTTGATTGGTGATGTAGCTCACCATGTTCTTAGAATCTCTTTGGTGGTTTTGGCCAAAAGCATCATTAGCTAGTCTTTTATAATTAATGTTAACTTTATAAATTGAAGATTGAAGTATCTTATAAATTTTTTGTGATAGATGATTGATGAATATCAGTATTCTAAGTTGAGTTGATGCTGAAAATTTTGTTATATGTGACGTGTAGGTTTTTTTTTACCATAAAGATGGCTCGTGGTTCAAATGTGTTCAGGGGGACACCTCCTCCAGGGATTTCTCTTATAAGAAAATTGAGAGGCAAAGATTGGAGTTTTAAGTCATACAGATATGCTGTTCTGTTGATTACCTTTATTGCTTACACTTGTTATCATGCTTCCAGAAAACCTAGTAGCATAGTGAAGAGTGTTCTGGATCCTGAACGAGATAAATCTACACTGTCAAGTATTTGGCCTATTGGGAATGTTTTTTTCAGGGAAGAACTATTCGATAGTGATGTAAACAGATTAACAAAGAAGGGCTGGGAACCCTTTGATGGAAAAGATGGGACGTCCAAATTGGGTGAGATAGATGTTGCATTTCTTGCATGCTATTCCATGGGTATGTATGTTGCTGGCCACCTGGGGGATAGTCTTGATCTGCGTCTGTTCTTGACTACTGGCATGATTGGTAGTGGCATATTTGTTGCGCTTTTTGGAATGGGTTACTTTTGGAATATTCATGCTTTTTGGTTCTTTCTACTGATGCAAATGATTGCTGGATTGTTTCAAGCTACAGGTTGGCCCTCTGTAGTTGCTGTTATTGGTAATTGGTTTGGTAAAAGAAAGAGAGGTTTGATAATGGGTATCTGGAATGCTCATACATCTGTTGGGAATATTACCGGGTCCCTACTTGCAGCTAGTGTTTTGGAGTATGGATGGGGTTGGTCTTTCATTCTTCCAGGAGCTTTAATTTTTTTCGGAGGCATTTTGGTTTACATGTTCTTGGCTGCCTATCCTGAGGATGTGGGTTTCCCTTGTCCTTATGCTTCGAAGAATGAAGAGACAGGGCCGAGTAAGCTAGAAGCACAAAGTGATAAACTTGAATCAAATGATGGTCAACTACATGTTGCCCCTCAATCATCTTCAACTTCCAGGAGAAGTGTCGGGCTCTTTAAAGCATGTTTAATACCAGGGGTGATACCTTTTGCCTTGTGTCTCTTCTTCTCGAAGCTTGTGGCATACACTTTTTTATATTGGCTTCCATTCTATCTTAGTCAGACAGGTTGGTCCTGCCATTTTGAATTCACCTTAGATGTAGCTCTTTGTTTAAATCAAAGTTTTTTCTTACTTGGAAATTATTCAATCTCTTATCTCATCTTTCAACCTGTGCTTCTGTTTATACACAATTCTTTTATGAGGTCAGTAAATTAACTTTTTAGATATTATCTGGATGTTGGTTGATTAATTTTTTCTTCCCCCCACCCCACCCCACCCCCCTTTTTAGTTGGGGAAGAAAGGATATAAGGCTGATAAACAGACATGTTGCCCGTAGGACTTGCATGAAACGGATCTCCTTTTTATTTTGGGGAAGAGGGGTTGGGGGTTGGATCTGTGCGTAGACAAAAGGTTGTGTAATTTTTTTGACGTGCTATGAACTTAGGAAATTAATTTCACTTAAGTACATTCAATATCTTAATAAGCTGTTGATAAACTTAGCTTCATAATGTTTGAGTGAGTATCTTTTTAAATCATCGTTTTGAACTATGATTGGGGGATAGGTCAAGGGATTACTTGGTGGCTTAGGATATGGTTTCTTGACTAGGATATTAGCTTTGCAAATATAGTTAAGATTCAATATCGTTCATGTGTCATTTTTCAAGTTATATGACTTAAATATAGGTTCCAGCATTCAAAGAATGTTTTGACCCTTGGTTGTCTTAAATTGTATCTATTTTGCATGTGATGAACTTTTCTTAGTTTTCATGAAATTGAAAAGTGGGCACGGAAATCTGATGTTTTCTTTATTATTTGTCTATGCAGCAATTGGTGGAGTTTATGTATCTGTTAAGTCTGCAGGAAATCTTTCCACTCTGTTTGATGTAGGGGGCATCGTAGGTGGCATAGTTGCTGGCCACCTCTCTGATAAACTTAATGCTAGAGCTATTACTGCAGCCACTTTTATGTACCTTGCAATCCCGTCAATGCTGCTATATCGTTTTTATGGCGGTGAATCCATGACTATGAACATTGTCCTCATGATGGTTGTTGGATTGTTTGTCAATGGACCGTATGCACTCATAACTACTGCAGTTTCTGCGGATTTGGGTACTCACAGTTCGCTGAAAGGGGATTCTCGTGCACTGGCAACTGTTACTGCTATTATTGATGGTACAGGCTCAGCAGGTGCAGCATTGGGTCCTCTTCTGACTGGATTCCTTTCAAGAAAGGGATGGGATGAGGTCTTCCTGATGCTGATGATTGGAGCCCTGATTGCTGGCCTTCTGCTGTCACGGCTGGTAATAACAGAAATCAGTGATTTTCTCAAAAGGAATCAATCTAATAATGCACAAAGCACCACAGGTAACTTTTCTGCTGTTTTAAATTGCTGTAATATTCTGAGTAAAGTTCCACCTCTTTGTCTGATCTTTTTGGGATCAAACCAAAATAATAGGTTGTGGATCTTGAGAATAAGATTACTGGTAAATATTATTGATTGTGAGCTAGATTTCTATTGATGAGGGTTTTTACTTTTTAGTGTCCATTTGCTATTGACTTTTTGCTGCACGCAAAATGTTTGGTTCTTTCGTGTACTTTTGTTTCTTCTTTCATTTGTTCTGTTTGTAGCTTCTTTCATTTGTTCTGTTTGTAGCTTCTTTCATTTTTTCTGTTTGTAGTGAACACATTTTGTGCTCACTGACCTGTTCTCATGACCTTGTTCTGTTAGTTCTTTTGGGATGCTAAGCTTGGTGTAGGACAAGTGAATCAAGCAGTGCTTAGAAAGATAGGCAATATGGCTATTTGATTTCAGATGATCTGTCCTCATGACCTTGGTTTTTCACAACTCTCCAAGTTTTGTAATTAGTATCGTCATGTTGGCCTGAACTCAGGCACACAATGATGCTCTGCTGTGTTAATACTTTGGTAGAGTAGATTTGCTTTGGTTTCTTCCATGGGTGAATCAGAGTTGCATGCTGTGATCCTTCTTAGCAACTTCTTTTGCAATTCTTTTTCATTTTTGGAGGACAGCGATTAGTCTGGCATTGTTATATACAGGTCAGAATGCTGGGCATTTAAGATGAGTGTATCAGAGAATCAGAGATGCATATGTTTAGATGAATGGGTGTGGGTGCACCTTGAGGGATAGAATGAAAATTTAGATTTATGGAGGAATGTTGGAGTTTCCAATGTTGAGGATAAGGTAAAGGGGAAATCAGCTACATTAGTTTGGGCTAGTGAGATGACAACTGGAAGATGCTGCAGTTGGTAGAGTGAAGGGTTGGTATAATGTAGATTTCTATGGCCAAAGATGATCTGGATAGAGGGAGTTCAAATAGACACGGAGAAAGTGGTTTTCAAGATCTTTGTGGATGACCACTAGAGAATAAGAGATAAATACTTGGGGAATGGTGCTTTGGATTTGTTGTAGCATTTGCATTGAAATTTCACTCATTTCAGCATACTGTAGGGTTGACAGATTGGTAAGGGTTGATTTTCCATGAAAGTCTACCCGTTTACCGTTTTTTTTTTTTGTGTCATAAAGCAAACATAAATAATATCAGGGTGAACTCATTTTGTTTGTAAGTGGTGGAAAACTTCTTCCCTATATGAGGAAGAAGTGCCATATTATCCACCTCAATACCCCATACCTTACCTTTAACCTCCTACCTTTGATATCCCTGCTTCCCGTCCTCTCTAATTTAAAATAAAATAAAGTTTTAAAGCTGACTTCTATTGAAATGTACTATGCATAAAACTTATTTTGATTTATATATATAATTTTTCTAAATAATCTCACCCAATGAGCAAGTGTACTAAAATTCTGGAAGAGTAGGCAATAGAATGGTTTTAGCATGCCATGCATCTCCGATGGGTTATTCCTTTATGGGAAGAAAGGGTAGTGAGATCAGGGTTTACATAGGTAAGGTAGCCGAGACAATTATGTTAAATAATAAAACAAGGTCGCCTGTCGTTTATTCATTTGGGCAGAGATCACGGCTTGATATGTTGTTAAAGATGGAGAGATATGAGCCCACAGTTTGGGAGTGATGAGAAATTCGAATTCTGTTTATCATCTTGCTGAGCTGTTGGCATCAACATTAAGCTATAAGAAGGACTAAATGCACAATTAAGTAATTGACCAGTTTTTGTGTAAGGTGTTTGAGAGTTTGAGACTGCGTTGAAAATGTATCACTGATCTTTAGTGCCTGATAACTCATCTTATTTGATCAATATGTTTTTTTACTCTGAAAATTCGAGTTTTATATAATGTTGGCTGTTATAAATTCCTTATGAAGATTTAGATTTATGGGTTCTGTATTGATTATGACAGGTTCTGAATCTCAACCTCTTCTGAGTGATCAAAGGTGATGAATGGGACCAAAGGTGAAGAATGGGTGTGAGATATGGCACTCTAAACCACCGAAGCCTTATCCGAGAACAAGAAGTTGAGTCCATATGTCAATGCTATACTGCAACAGTGGTCCAATAATTTTTTTTCATGAATCGGTCATTGACCTTTTTGAACTTGCAGCTATGATACTCGACAATGTGGTTCGTTTTAGCTGATAGGCATAATTTAGGGTCTTTTGTTTCACTTGATTTAAGTTTTTGTCGTATGCCAATGTATGTAATTGTATCAAAGCCAAGAGCTTAGATTTTGTTTTGTTTTGTTTCGTAGGGCAATGAGTTTGCCTCTGGTGGTACCATATAGGATTATTATTCGAAAGTAGGGGCACTAGATTTTTTTGTGCTTGAGCTCAGAGGGTTTTGCCGCCTCGGTTTCTGGCTTTCTGCAACATGTCGCAGATAGATTGTACCTTAATAGAGTCATAAGTTGATAGAATTGGTCCTTGTTAAATTGAAGATTGTATTCCTTTCACTTTCAGCTGGTAATTATTATCTTTGATAAGAATAAAAGAAGTTATTGGAGCAACTTTTGTCTTGGATCAATGCAAAGCGCATATGTTTAAATACCATTCATGGTTTAAAGATGGATTTTACTGTGAAACAAATCAAGTTACATTGTATGTTCTATTTCAGTGATCGATACTAATAGTTTTAGTTTAACACTCTATCCAATCAAATACCCTTGCTTGGATTCAGAGTTGTACGAACTAGGAAGGAGGGTTTCATTTTCCCTCCCTCCAATTAACATTCTCTCCGAAAATGGAGAGATTTGGAGGGATCCCTTTCTTGTTCTTCCAAGATGTTATCCAAACATAACATAGAGTAAAGAGTAGGGATGTCAATATTAAGTGGATATCCACTAACCCGCTCCACCCGCAATAAATAAATGGATGAAAACCCGAATTAAATGGATAAAAAGCGGGTGACGGATGATGGATCGGATCGGATATGGATGATACTTTTTCACCCGCTAATCATCCACCCACCCGTTTAACATATATTAATTTTTTAATCTAAGAATTTTAATAATAAAATATGAAATGTGCAAGAAAATTATATGTATTTTTTTGTTGCAAATTAATTTTTCAAACAATATATTGTTATTGTTTCCTTTTTAATTAATAAAATTAATAAAACTATTGTACAAATAACCGAAAATTAAAGTTATGTGAGTTTTTTTCAACTTTAATACTCATCCATTAGTCATCCGCTCCACCCGTTTCATCCGCGGATGATGGACGGATGGATATGGATGATGGGTGAAGCGGATGATGGATGGATGTGGATGGAGCGATTAGAGTAATGGATGGATGCGGATGAAGCTCCACCCAATCCGAATCCGATCCATTGTCATCTCTAGTAAGGGGGGGAGGGGAAGGATTAGCAGATGAAGCGTAAATTGGATAGGTCATAATATTTTTTTGTTGGACCTCTTTGGACTTTAACATGAGATCAGATATATTTAGGCCAATCATAATTCTTTTGGGCTGCCATCGGGCCATGCAACAAGTTATTAGAGGAGAGTTTAACTATATATAAGCTAAAAAAGGTTCCATCCTAAAACTAACTAGCAATAGAAGTAGCCCACTAATCTTCTTCGACAATTATCATTTCTATATGTGAGCTACGGAGTATAATAGATAAGCTTAATTAGTCGGTAAACAAGGCTACATCAAAGGAAAAATTATTGATAGGAGTACCCTACTATTGTACATGTAAGTCATCATTCCCCTAATTCAACTCAAATCTATCTATCTATAGTATATACTAAAGTAATCACTAGAGTTATCCCTTAAGTACACATGTCACATTCACAACAAAAATTTTCCCGCCCAAATATTTTTTAGCTTTTTTTTTTAATTTCTTTTTTTCCCTTAAAAAATAACATGATAAAAAAAATTTAATGAAAAAAAACTTACAATAATTTATAAAATATTTTAAATAATGTATCTAACATGAGAATTTTAAGGATAGACATGATATGAATTCAAATTCAAAAATAAAAAATGTTGCATATAAGCCATTTCATTTAAACTAACTCCATTTTAATTGAATTTTATTAATTAATTTATTTATTTTAATTTTCAAGTCTTATTATTATAAATCCGTGCATTTGCACGGGGATAAAACTAGTATACATTATTTTCCTAACAAGATAAGACATTGATTTACAATATATTGATGATTTCCTTAGAATTTTTCTTTGCGTAAACCATTCATAATAACTCAACTGAATTATTACGGCAATATAGCATTTACATACTATGCATACTAATTTAATGGCTTTTACTCAATTTAGCTTTTAAATAATTGTATGCATGAAAATATTAAAATTATGACTATACTAGCTTCTTTGGCTTGAAAGTTTTCTATTAGGTTAGTTGAATATATAACTTGCAGGATATAAACTATCTCATCAAGTACTTCATAATTAAGTCATATGTTGTTCCCTCCTTCAATTATTTTGATGGATACGATTTCCCATTTACAAATGAATTTTGTATATTCTGATTATTTATTGAACTTTTCTCATATACGAAGAATATAACTTAAAAAAATAAATAAAAAGAAACTGCTTCTCCACTAAGTTCATAATTTCTTAAGATATATTCTCCAATCAATTCCTTTCTTCCCCTAACGTGCATGACAATTATCCCACTAATCCTATTATTGTAGAGTATAATTATATTTAAAATATTATTTAATAATATGATAAGTAATCATCCTTTTCATTTGTTTTGCTATAAATCAAGCTCCAATTCCACATTCATTTTCAAAAAACCAAAAAAAACTAATACACACTCCTCCCTATTTCCTTTTAACACACCTTTGTTTTTTTTGTAGGGTGGTGTGATAAACCAATAATTCCAAAAAAAAATAAAAAATTAACTGACAATGGGTCTTTCACGCGTCACTCTTGCCCTTACTCTTATCGTTGTCCTTGTGGGGTCTGCCATTGCCCAAGGACCCGTTATGGCCCCAAGCCAAGCCCCCACCACATTGTCCACACCTGTGGCACCCGTCCCAGCCCCAGTAGTAGTTGTGGCTGCACCTGTCCCAGCCCCAGTGGCCGTGACCGCCACACCCGTGGCACCCCCAGTAGAGGCAACTGCTGATGCCCCTGTAGCGGAAACCCCAACCATGGCTGCTATGACTCCAACTGACGTCACCATGGACGGCCCCTCCATGGCCCCCGCCCCGGGACCGGATGGCGTTCATGATGATCTCGATGGTCATGATCATAATGGTGCTTTTCTTCATGGAAGCAGCTTGGCTCTCATTGCTGCCCTTGGAGCAGTTGCTGTCTTTGCCTAATTCATCATCAAATTACAAGCATCAAATTATTTTATTTAAATCTTTTATGGTCATTTATTTATAAAAGAACTTTGTACCCTTCATTAAAAAAAAAAAAAAAAAAAAAATTATTGTGTGTTTGTTGAGGGGAAATTCGAGAATCATGCATACTTGTTCTTCTGTGTTTGTTTCCGATGACAGTTTTACACATGCTACGTACTTTTATTGTACGTATGTTATGGGTTGACTTTTGGTCATTATATCTTTTCTTCAGCAATTTATTGAATTACTAATATTAAAGCTCCAATTTTTTCAATTGTTTGTGTTATTTAAATTACATATACACGAGTATTCTAATCATTTCTTCTTTTAGTTTTATTTTTCTTATGGAAGACAACAACAATTTATTCATTACAAATACGTGTGGTAACATTAATCCTTTCTTGATTTTCATTCGATTTTAAAGATCTTATCATTTAACATTCATCATGTGGTCAAAGTTATAAAATTTTGACAGTTTATTTACAAAAGTAGTCATTTATATATACGAGTACTTCGTAAAATCATTTATTTGGATAATCGGTTTGAACAATTTCATAGCACTGGTATTAAGTTGGGAGGTGTTAAATACCGCCAACAAAAATTATCAAAACCGCCAACAAAAATTATCAAAACCGCCAACTTTTTAAGCAAAATGTCATTATTGCCCTTACTAAAATACTAAACCCAAACCCATCTTTCTCCACTTTCTTTTTTCTCTCTCATCAACAACCCCTCAAGATCCCCAAAAACAGCCACCACCACCACCACAGAGACAACCGACGTACCAGTCAGGTGGTGGCGCGTATATGGGTGACGGTGGTTGACGGTGGGGACATGGCGGGAAACCGGGGAAGGGTAAATTTGTCGATTAGCCTTTTGTTTTGAATTTAAGTTTTTTTTTTTTTTTTAAATTCCTGTGGCTGGTAACCGGCGCTCAAAACCGGTTGAACGCCACCAGTAACCGACGGTCAAAACCGGTTGACCGTGCTGGTCAATCGGTTTGATCGCCGGTTACCGGTGGCGGCCAACCGGTTTTGAGCGTCGTTAGCCAGCAACTTTTTTTAAAAAAAAAACTTATTTTTTTTTATTCAAAACTTATTCTAATTAATTGTTATTATTATTACAAAATAATTATAATTAATTTTATTACTATTGTTGTAGATAATTATATTGATTAACTGTTATTATTCTTGGCAATCTGGTGTAGATGGTGGTGGTTGACGCGGTGGTTGTGGGTTTGTAGTGGTCGACATGGTGGCGTGGGTGGTACCGGTGGTGTGATTGGTGGTGGTTGATGTGGTTGCTTTAGAAGCGGTGGATGGAAATCATGGAATGAAGTTAAAGAGAAAGAATATGGGGAAGATTTTAGTAAGGGCAATGTTGTCCCTTTACTTAAAATGTTGGCGGTTTGATAAATTTTGTTGGCGGTATTTAGCAATTCACATTAAGTTTTCATATTTTTGACTAACATGAAAAGCTTTAATTTTTGTACCGTAGGAAAATTGACTATTATTTGGTTTTTATCATAAAGTCAATCAAAAATACACCCCTCAAATTATGTCATACCTTTATTGTCATTTTATAGAATGAAGCTAGTTTACTCATTACAAAATATATTTAATCTTTTATACAATATAATTTGATAGTCAAACTAGCCATTGCATTTAGATACTCGGTACACCAAGCAAAGCTTGCTGAAGTTGGTGGAGAACTCACTTTGTGACTTTGCGGTTACAAGTTCGAGCCTCACCAACTACAGAATGCTTAAGAGTAGGGGGATTCCCTTACCTCCATCTCAAGCGTCGACCTACAAAACAAGGTTGGTTAAACCATGAGAGTAGTCGATGCCTCTATTAAGGCCTTGTTCGTTTCAACCAAATCAATTAGTTTCTAAAGGTCGGCGCTTAATATTCCACTTGGCTTAAACAAATACTTAAAGTTTATAATTAGTTTATATATCGTCTCACACGTACTCCGTAAGCCGTAACCGAACGTATTAATCCATTAATAGCGGACAACTTAGCAACATGGTGGGCAACCATGTTATAGAATATTGGGTACCTTTATCAATCTTAAAACCTTAAAACTTGGCACACCCTCTTCTCATGTAACAACCCTTTTGTGGGATTGAAAAAATGGAGAGCAGAACTTCAACAGCAAGCACAAGCAGCAGTAGCAGCAGCAGCATGAGTGATGAAGGTAGTACCATAATCGTACGGCAAAGTCAGAGTATGAGAATCGAGTTTCCCTTTACGCTTAAAGTGGGTCAGGTCTTTACTGGCTTTGGCGTTGGTTGTGGTCTTGGTATCGGCGTTGGTCGCCCCATCAATTTAGGTACTTTCTCTCTCCTCATTTCCTCATTTCACATAGTAAGTTATGGATTTGGGCAATTTGTTCAAAGGCAAAAATGGGGATAACCCACCTCAATTACCCCCTCAAAAACCCTGTAAACTTCCAATTTTGTGTTTTGTTATCTTTAATTGCAAGTTCATGTACTAGTTTATATTGATTGTTTGATTTATTTTGCTTTCTGTACTAGTTTTGATTGATTATGAATTAGCCCCATAAATTGTTGATTGTTTGAATTATATTAGTTTTGATTGGTTATGAATTAGCCCCACAAATTGTTATTTGTTTGAATTTTTTTTGGTAATATATAGAGTTATAATTGTGTATGAATTGCCTATTTTCAGGATCAAATGGGTGTTAATGTATGATGTCAAGGAAAAAGGATAGCAGGAGCTTTAATGTTCCTCAAAATTCATGAAATGGCACTTAATTTTTTAAAATTTGAATTGGAGCTCTATGTTTTACTTGTTTTGTATGTATCTTGTTTGTTGTGTTAATGTAGAGATGTAGACATTTGTTGGTCTTGTTAGTGGAGCTTCAGGATGACTTTTAGATGTTGGGGTTTGTACACATGCTCATTGATACATTGGTTGAACAAGATTTTTGCGGAGGGTCTATTTGTCCCTTTGTGAATCGTGCTTTCTGTTGGTCAGTTTTTGTAGGATGGCTGTAATTTGCTTGATGAGATATGCATTGTTGCATACATTATTGGACTTTTTCGAACTTCAGGTCATGATAAATTTCTTTCAATTCTTTGCCTCGATTGTTGCTGGGGTTAATGGCATTAAGGTTTTGTAATGACTTTACCGTTAATGAGATCCAAATTGGGTGTATTTTGTGGTCTAGAGGCGAACCTGTTACCTTTAAAGGAAGAAGAAACCAAGTCTGAGTATGTGCCCAATCTAGGAGATTTTCCACCCAATAGCTAGTTCAGTTGGTAGGAAGGTTCCCAGCATTCATGCAAGTAGTTCCATCAGGCAAAGCTTTGGTCTTGATCCTACCACTATCATGTAATTGGATTGGGCTATATGATATTTGAGCCATTGAGTTTAGGCTAGATTTTTGCTTTGTTGTATAGGTTGCTCTTGGGCTTTGGACAATAATCTGTTTGACTGCTTATTTTTACCATAGTTACATGTAATGATGAACGAAATATGTATTCTAGGAGGATTGTCTTCTCACTTTTTTCTTTCTTCTTCCACTAGGGTGTATTTACATTTTCATCAACTTAAGCCAGAACTCAGTTGTTTTGAAGCAGTAAAAAGTGTTCATATCATTCTGCAGTTTTCATATCATTTTATTGCTTTGTGGAATGAGTTGCTATGAACATTGTTAATCAATTGACCAATCTTGTTAGGTGCTATCCCTATGCTGAACCAAGTAATGAGTGCTGCTAGTGGTGCTACACAGGCTTTCTCTGGTATTGGAAGACATGTGAACCATTCCGTATGTAATTTTTTTCTCCTCTTTGAATATAGTTTTTAACTTATTATTCTGATATGTTACAATGACTTGCAAGTTATTTTCAATTTGATCACATATTTCTCTGTTTTTTTTTTCCAGTTGAAGAAAGTAGGTGCAAAGAACATTGAGGCAGGGATAGGATGTGGAGTTGGTTTTGGTCATGGTTTTGGAGCTGGTAAGTGACTTTCTATGATAGTATAGGGGACAACAATTTACTTTACTAGCTTGCTGCTGATTTGGTTTGGCGATATCTGAGTTCTGAGATACTCTCTGTTGAAACTTTATGGCGTATAGTTGAACTTTATGGCGAAAGAAATCTGGGCGCAAAATAATTTTTATTTATAATTTTTTTTTTTTAATCTGAGACCACTGTTGGTGACATTATTGAAACCATACTTATGTATTTTGTTCCTCAGTGGCTAAAATTATTCTGTGATTAAGATGGCCAGCCATCATTATTGAAACCAGTTTTTGTTCAATTGCTAAGTCTTCCAAATCAATAACCAGCTTAATGTATACTTCCTCCGTTTTTATTGTATTTATTTATTGCAACATTTCTACATTATACACTATTCACTACTCCACTTTAATTACACTTTGTGATTTATAATGAAAAATGTAGTCATATGGGATCTTGTTAGATCTGTCTCAAGTGTAGTTTATTAACTTATAAGTTTATAATTTTTACAAATGCATAATTAAAGATATTAACGGTTGAAGTTATGAATTGGAAAATTTGAAAAAAAAAAAAACAAAGGAAGTATAATATACTTGTACCCTTTTGTTCATGATATCGTATTATTGTAGCTGTCCTTTTAGAGTCTTTATCTTTTATGAGGTACATTTTCCTTTGCTTTTGATTTCTGTATTATAACAAAATGACCTGTGAGAATGGCAACATGCAACATGAACTCATATCATTAAGGATTAATGATATGCTAAAAAAGGATGATGAAATGTTCAAGTCAGTGTTTCTGTGACAATGGCGTATATCTATGAAAAAGATGCAATGTAGGCGAAAAGACTTGGCATTATTTCACAGAATTTAACATGTAAAAGGTGTTTTCTTTCTGTTGTAAATCTTGTCTACCCCACTCCCCAGCTGATCTAGCTGAAAAATATAGCTAGAAAGTTGATTGATCCCTTCCCAGCAGTGGCGGAGCGAGAATTTTAAGCAAGGGGGGCCAAAATTATACCTACATACTACCTCCGTTACAGGTTATGTGCAGCGATTTGTCATAAAGCAGAGAGGGAAAATGTCTAATCGTTGCACATAATTTGTAACGGAGGTAATATATATAATTTTGCAACTATTGAATCGATTACATTTACTTTACAAAAAAAAAAAAAAAAAAAAAAAATTGTTAGCTACAAGACTTGATCCCTTGACATCTTCCATACTATCACATGGAAAAAAACCAACTCCTCTACACCAAAATTAATGACAACTAAAAGGAAATTTAATTAATATCTTGAGCCAAGGGGAGGCCTCCCCCCCCCCCCCCCCCCCCCCCCGGCTCTGCCCCTGCTTCCCAGTGAATTTTCTCAACTGGGGAGTAGTGTCTATTGAGGACATATTTTGGCTCAATTGGAGTAGCCACAAGACCTTGAAAGTAGAAAATTATATACTCGCTATTTCTCATGTACATCATGTAAAGTGATTTTCCATTCTGTCTTCATTCTAACATTTGTAATTGGGGATAAGGTTGTTGGTTTCCAAGGCATTGAGGTAGCAAGTTTCCCAGTTTAGGACCTTTTAGCCTTTTTTCTGAGAGGAATAATGTGCCAGTAGAACTGATCTCCAATAAGCTAGAATCAGGGCTGCAAGGTCAGTCAATAGAGATTGTAGGTAAAAGGACGATCTAACTGATTCAAAAGAGAGATTATTAGGTCAGTGTACTCTGTACTGAGACTCCAATCATTTAAACTGTAATGTTATTATCTACTTTCTGCTGTGCTTCAAAGACCCAGAAAACAAGCATTTTTTTGCTGACATCTATATGCCTCCTGTTCTGAATTCTGAACTTTGGGAATGGGGATTTGGGCTATGTTAGTGGTTTCTGTGGAATGGTTAAGGCAGTTAGTAAGGAATAGTAACAACTAATAAACTTTGAGCTTTGACTTGTGGTGCTTCAGTTTTACCTGTTAATGTATCAACATGCATCTGTGCAGGTCTTGCTCTGAAGCCGGGAGTGGTTCAACGTATCCAGTTGTCCATGATAGTATGTATTGATTTTTCTATAATCTCTTAAGCTCCCTTTGATTTTGTGTAAAGGTTTAATATTTGAAATTATTAGGAAATAGTGAGCAAAATGATGATGAAATTTGGAGTAGCCCCTGATTTATCTATTGGGCAAGGTCTTCTCCCTGCATCTGTGCAAAGTAGTATGACTGCTATTCAAGTTTCAGCTCAAGATCCTATGGGAAGCATTGCACAATTTGGAAAGAAGATACCAGATGTAAAAAACCAAGATCCACCAGATGGAAAAGTGAATTTAGGGATTGAAAGGTTTGGATCAGAAGATGTGCCTTCAAAATTATCCTTGGGAAACCGAACTGAGAAGCTTATCAATGGCTTTCTGCAAGATCCAGTTATGATAGGAGAAAATTCTGAGCTACATGACAGGGTATGTATAACTAGGAAGATTATATGCTAGTACATAATTACCTACTTTTCAATACAAAGTTCTCTATCACTACATTATGATGTCCCTAAAAAAATGTTCCATTTTCAATTTCAAGGTAATAAGGTTTATCTGTTTCCAAATGGGATCAAATATGCCTTTCTACTGGTTGATTGTTTGGTCAAAACATGTTTAAGGTTATATATATTACGTAGCGATATATTTTTTATTGACACTGCTGAATTCCATTGGCTGGTTACTCTTGCTTGTGTATTCCATCTACAATAGTAAACTCTATTATGGCTCCCACGATTTCCAATAATAAGTCGCCAAGCTATAACTTGTAATCTCCCAGTCTACTGAGTTGATATGTGTTTAGTAGTTTGGTAGCTAGACGTTACAATTGTGAATGACATAAAGTGCTGCTAGGGCAGCAGTGACTTAGGTTCCTCCCTATAGGGAACTGCAGGGTTCTACTAGAATGATTAAATGAGTAAAGTCTTGTAAGATGTAGTCAGTTGAAACACTTTAATTATGCTCTGGTTTAAGCTTCTGTGTTTGAATTACAACTGTTATTTTGTTAAATTTTTTGTATAACATATATTTCATTCAATATTTCAATGTTTTAGAAGTTCATACTAATCATATTGGATAGCTCCTGCAGGATGAACAGTTGGAGTCAGAAAACAGGATGCTTCGAATGGTCAGTTCTGTTATTAATCTTTATACAACCAACATTTATTTTCAAAATTGTATATTAATATAGGCAAAGGGATAGAATCACTTAGCAAACCAGTTGCAAATCAACAAAAATGAGAACAAAAAATGTTAAAATACAGTACTTAGTAAAAGTTTGTTGTGTTTTAAAAGTACATATCAGCTTGGTAAAAACTACAAGAAACTAAATCCCGAGGTTAATTCTTTCCTCTTCAATTTTGGTCAGGTTGTCAAACATCAGCAAGTCATTGAGGAGCTTATGGAAGAGAATGAAAGACTTCGTCAAGTATTGGTTGAAGACTTGAAAGTTCCATCTAGTAAGCTCCAAGTTAGACATTCTTTTAGAAACGAGTCTCCCTGTTCTGATTGTTTCAAATGTAGAAGAAAACAACGGAGGAGATAGAAATTTCATGGTGATCTACATGCATAAAATCAGTTTCAACTTAGGTTTAGCGATTAACCTTTTGAGTTCTTAATTAATCTGTATCAGGTTCCTTGCCTTTTTTGTGTGTTCATGTTTCTGAAACTGTTGATCTTGGTACGTGTATCAGCATATAGTATAATATACACACTACAATTGGAGATCATAGAGAAATGAATTAACATCACAGTACATCAAATGAGAAAGAGAAGGGCATTCTTTTTTTTTTTTTTTTGTTCCTATCATCCCAGCCTTCATCATTTGTTAGTTTGCAGTTTATTTTATACGAAGTATTATGTAGTGATTGTAGTCTAAAGGTCTAACAGTAGCATATCTTCACCCTAATTCTTGTGATTTCATCTTATATTCTTATCATGTTGCCATTACTTCATATACCAATACACTATGAATGAAATGTGTGATGGGATTTGGTTACTCGTGTTGAGTATCACCCCCAAGACTTGTAGCATAGCATCAAGCTCGATTTTACACTAACTGCATCTCAACATTAATGTTTCTGAGCTATAAATTGATAAGATTGATTGGGACTGTGATTTGATGTATACGAAACTTGGAAACCTCACTCTAGTAGTCTAATACAATATTTATTGGGTTTACATTATTGTTAATACAAAATAAATTCACATACTTATTGTACACCCGAATCAAATGTGACCTCTTTCGTGTGTCATCTCATAGTACAAAAAAGCAAGACGCGTGAACTTATAGATCATAGGTAGGCCAAAGGTCTCTTAATGAGATTATGAGACTTGGAAATTAGAACCATCAAATTATCAGGAGCATTTAAAAAAGCCATAGATGGGATCAACAACGCAAGAGTTACAGCACTTGGCGTAGGGTTCACAAGGATAGCCTTTTCGTATACATGCCTCTTTTTTCTTCTTCTCAGTGTCTACAAGTTGATCTTGTAGTATGCCAACTTCTTTTGTATTTAGAACCACTTGGCTAACCCTACCTCTTCCTTTAGCCGGCTCTGTCCCTTTCATGCTATGGACTCTCTGCCCACTGGTTGTTTCCGACATTCTTGCATATACCGGACCTATATTAGCATAACAAACCTCGATTATTGTTGGTTAATTAGTTGTTATAGTCTATTGACATTTGACAAGCAATGAGGACGTGATTCTAGTGATTAAGACTGAGGACATATGTACGATTAAGTCCCCCGGCCTCCCTCATTTGTAGCACAAAATTTAGTCAAAAAAGAACAGTAAGATTCTTATATAAGTTACTAACTTGGATCATCTATGATGATACAAAATATGCTTTGTAGTATAAAAGTAGCTAACCCTCAAATTTAAGCTGTTAAAACTTACCTTTCGGTTGTGGTTGTAGTTTATACTTCATAATATACATCTCATAATCCAAGTTAATTAGCAGTAGCCAGTAGGTAAAATTAAACTCGAATCAAAGATTTTTAGACGGAAAGTAAAACTAATTATGGTTATGTACAAGAAAACCATTAGAATAAGTTAAATGTAGAAGAGTGAAATGCATATATGAACTATGAAGTACAATAACAGAAATGAAAATTAACCTGTTGTAGCAATTAGCACAAGAATAAGTAGGATGATTAGCTTGATGCAATTGAACAAAACTCTCCCCATTAAAATAATTTTGGTGGTTATAATTAGCTATCAAGTCGGTATTAAGATCGATCTTTGATTATTGATAGCTCAGTGAGGTACTTATGTCATGATCTCTATTTATAGCCTAATAGTTAGTGGCATGTGATAATAAATAGAAATTATAACGTGAATGAGCTATTATTGATAACAATTTTCTAGTGCGTGGTGGAAGTTTGAAAATGTAAAGTTGTTATTGGGGTCCTTTGGCCAATAGCAAAAAGTGGTTAATTATCCATCACATAATAAATAATTGAATAAATATGGATTATATTATGTCAAAACAAAATATCTTTGAAAATTGGCAAGTTGTGAACTATTATATCATATCATATCACTAATAAATAAAGTCAGTCTTACAAACGGGCTACGATCGAGACGACACTTGACTTTCTAATCATTCGCCAAGTGTCGAATCACGTAGGTGACAAATAGGTATTATTGTAACACATATGATGTTAAGTAAGCAAATTTTGAATACATTTTTTAGACAAAAATTTTGTATAGAGTTTTTTTTGTTTGTTTGTTTGTTTGTTTGTTTTTTTTTTTTTTTTTTTTTTATCGATATACTTTTAATATTTCATATATACAACATTCATCGTAACTTTTAATAAATATCTTATAACTTGGTTCCATCCCATTATAACTTGATTCCATCCCATCGTAATATTCGTTTATCTTATTTATAAACAAAACTACAAAAAGCATACTATTTATATAAATATAAGTGATATGATATAATTAGCCTAAATATCATTTATTATCAAAAGGGATTATAGAATCGTTGGTCGTATTTGAATAAATTTTTTCAATGGGCATCGCCTGGGCACAAAACTAATAACCAGTATATAAAGCTAAACTTTTACCCAAACCATGAGACAATGACACTTGACGCTATAACTTTTTGCCAAGTGTCGCGCCACATAGGCAACAATTAAATATTAGTATGACAGGTAGGATTTATTTGAATGTAATGTTTAGTTGTATTTTGTAGGATAAAAAAAAATAGTTTAGTGTTCTATTTTCAATTATATTTAATTTGGATAGGATTTTAGGATAAAATGATTGGTTTAGAATTTTATTTTCGATAAAATTTCAATATCTTAGAATTTTGTTATTTTTACATAGTAAAGTATTATTAAAAATATTTTCTCATCAAGTTCATAAATATCTCACATTTGTAGAGAAAGTGTCAAATTATTTTTTTTTCCACCAAGTGTCGAGCCGTAGGCGACAAAATAGGTATTATTATGACGCATCGGATGTTAAGTAAGCGAATATTGGATAGATTTTTTAAGATAAAAAAGTTGTATATTGTTTTATTATCAATATACTTCTAATATTTCATATATACAAAATTAATTATGATTTTTAATAAATATCTTATAACTTAGTACTATTTTCATTATAAATTTCTTTTAAAAAGTTCTTTTAATCCATTTATAATATATTTTAATAAAAAATAGAAAATTAGTTTTAATAAAAAAAATAGTTTGGTAAAAATAATTTCAGTTCATTAGATTAATCTAAGTGCAATAAAAAATATCAAGTTAATAATAACATAGATATCTATTTACAAACAAAACTAAAAAAAAGTACACAATTATATAAATAAGTGATATGATATTGTACGTCTAAATACTTTACATTATCAAAAGGGGTTATATAATTGCATTTAATCTCAAAATGCGTGGATATTCACCTTCAAGTTTTGAATTTTTTGACTTTTTTCGCCCGTAAATAAAAATTACCGAAATGTTTACCATGGCCCATAATACCCCTCCCGGAGTCCAATTGGGTAGGTGGAACCATCCAATTTGCCTTTAAACGACTAATTTACCTATTTACAACTTGCAACGATTTTATTAATTCAAGCCTACCATGAACATTTATGACAACATATAATGATCATATGGTTCCAAACGGCATTATATGACTCCGAGATGTATCCCCTATAATCTCAAGTCTTTTCGACACTAGATCCCGAAACCTCAAAAATTTCTCAAAAAGCGCGAATATTATATTAGCTTATAATTTTTGAATTTTTTTGACTTTTTTTCTCCCGAAAATAAAAATTGCCAAAATGTTTTCCATGGTCCCTAATACACTCTGGAAATCCAATTGGGTGGGTGGAACCATTCAATTTGCCTTTAAATGGCCAATTTACCGATTTACAACTTGCACCGATTTCATTAATTCAAGCCTACCACGAACATTTACGACAACATATAATGATCATATATGGTTCCAAACGGCATAATATGACCCCGAGATTTATCTCCTAAAATCTCAAGCGTTTTTCGACACATGGCCCCCAAACCTCCAAAATTTCTCAAAAAGCGTGGATATTAGCCTTCAATTTTGGAATTTTTTGACTTTTTTTCGCCCGGAAATAAAATTTGCCGAAATGTTTACCATGGTCCCTAACACCCTCCGAGAGTACAATTGGTTTGGTAAAACCATCCAATTTATCTTTAAACGACCAATTTACCGGTTTACAACTTGCACCGATTTCAATAACTCAAGCCTACCACGAACATTTATGACAACATATAATGATCATTTATGGTTTTAAACGGAATTATATGACCCCGAGATGTATTCCCTAAAATCTCATTTCTTTTCGACACCGGGCCCCCAAACCTTTGAAATTTCTAAAAAAGCATGGATATTAGTTTTCAATTTTGGAATTTTTTGACTTTTTTCGCACGGAAATAAAAATTTCTGAAATTTTTACCATGGTCCTTAATACCCCCCCGGGAGTCCAATTGGGTGGGTGGAACCATCCAATTTGCCTTTAAACGACCAATTTACCGGTTTACAACTTGCACCGATTTCATTAAGTCAAGCCTACCACGAACATTTATGACAACAAATAATGATCATATATGGTTCCAAAAATCATATGACCCCGAGATTTATTCCCTAGAATTTCAAGACTTTAAGACACCGGGCGCAGAAGATTCCAAATTTCTCAAAATGCGTGGCTATATATTGGCCTTCAAGTTTTGAATTTTTTGACTTTTTTCGGCCGTAAATAAAAATTACCGAAATGTTTGCTGTGGCCCATAATACCCTCTCGAATCCAATTGGGTAGGTGGAACCATCCAATTTGCCTTTAAACGACTAATTTACCGATTTACAACTTGCAACGATTTTATTAATTCAAGCCTACCACGAACATTTATAACAACATATAATGATCATATATGGTTCAAAACAGCATTATATGACTTCGGGAAGTATCCCCTATAATCTCAAGCCTCTTCGACATCGGATCCCGAAACCTCAAAAAATTCTCAAAAAGCGCGAATATTAGCTTATAATTTTTTAATTTTTTGACTTTTTCCGCCCGTAAATAAAAATTGTCGAAACGTTTACCATGGTCCCTAATACCTTCTGGGATTCCAATTGGGTAGATGGAACCATCCAATTTGCCTTTAATCGGCCAATTTACCGATTTATAACTTGCACTAATTTCATTAATTCAAGCCTGTCACGAAAATTTATGACAACATATAATGATCATATATATATGGTTCTAAACGGCATTATATGACCCCAAAATATATCTCCTAAAATTTTAAGCCTTTTCGACACCTGGCCCCGAAACCTCCAAAATTTCTCAAAAACCGTGGATATTAGCCTTCAATTTTGGAATTTTTTTTACTTTTTTTCGCCCGAAAATAATAATTGCCAAAATGTTTACCATGGTCCCTAATACCCTCCGAGATTCCAATTGGGTGGGTGGAACCATCCAATTTGTCTATAAACGACCAATTTACCGGTTTACAACTTGCACCGATTTCATTAACTCAAGCCTACCACAAACATTTATGACAACATATAAGGATCATTTATGGTTCCAAACGACATTATATGACCCCGAGATGTATCCCCTAAAATCTTATTTCTTTTCGACACAAGGCCCCGAAACCTTTGAAATTTCTAAAAAAAACATGGATATTAACCTTTAATTTTGGAATTTTTTGACATTTTTTCACACGGAAATCAAAATTGCTGAAATGTTTACCATGGTCCCTAATACCCGCCGGGAGTCCAATTGGGTAGGTGGAACCATCCAATTTGCCTTTAAACGACCAATTTACCGGTTTACAACTTGCACCGATTTCATTAATGGCATGTTCTCATACGTTTATTTTTGGTCCAATTCAGTTCATCTCATCAGTACAGTTCAGTTCAGTTCAGCTCAGTACAGTTCAGTTCAGTTCAGTTCAACTCCTAATTTCCTTCTCTTATAAAATATTCAGTTCAGTTCAGTTCAGTAAAGTTCAATTCAACTTATTTCATTCTATTAGACTAGGCCCTAACGCAATCCTACTACGAACATTTATGACAACAAATAATGATCATATAAGGTTCCAAACGACATTATAAGACCCCGATATGTATTCCCCAGAATAGTTTACCATGGTCCATAATACCCTCCCGGAGTCTAATTGGGTAGGTGGAAACCATCCAATTTGCCTTTAAACGACCAATTATCTATTTACAACTTGCACCGATTTCATTAATTCAAGCCTACCACGAACATTTATGAAAACATATAATGATCATATATGGTTCCAAACATCATTATATGACCCCGAGATGTATCCCCTAAAATTTCAAGACTTTTCGACACCGGGCCTCGAAAACTCCAAAATTTCTCAAAAAGCGTGGATATTAGTCTTCAATTTTGGAATTTTTTGACTTTTTTTCGCCCGAAAATAAAAATTGTCGAAATGTTTACCATGGTCCTTAATACCCCCCGGTGGTCCAATTAGGTTGGTGGAACCATCCAATTTGCCTTTAAACGGCCAATTTAATTATCGGTTTACAACTTGCACATATTGCATTAACTCAAGCCTACTACGAACATTTATGACAACATATAATGATCATATATGGTCCCAAACGGCATAATATGACCCTGAGATATATCCCCTAAAATATTAATATTTTTCAACACCGGACCCGAAACCTCCAAAATTTCTCAAAAAGCGTGGATATTAGCCTTCAATTTTGAAAATTTTTGATTTTTTTCGTCCAAAAATAAAAATTGCCGAAATTTTTACTGTGGTCCCTAATACCCTCCGGGAGTCCAATTGGGTGTGTGGAACCATTCAATTTTCTTTTAAACGACCAATTTACCGGTTTACAACTTGCACCGATTTACCGGTTTATAACGATGGCCAATTTAATTAACTTGCACCGACCCGATTTCATTAATTCAAGCCTACCACGAACATTTATGGCATCAAATAATGATCATGTATGGTTCCCAACGGCATTATATGACCCAGAGATGTATCCCATAGAATTTCAAGATTTTTCGACACCAGGCTCCGAAACCTCCAAAATTTCTCAAAAAGAGTAGATATTAGCCTTTAATTTTGGAATTTTTTGACTTTTTTTCACCGGAAATAAAAATTGCCGAAATGTTTACCATAGTCCCTAATACCCTTCGGGAGTCCAATTGGATGTGTGGAACCATTCAATTTGCTTTTAAATGGCCAATTTACCGGTTTACAACTTGCACCGATTTACCGGTTTACAACGGCCAATTTAATTAACTTGCACTGAACTCGACTTGAAGACCTTAACCCGTCAAAACCCGAATTCAACCCGACTTGTTACTAACCTGACCTGAATTCAACCCGACCCGAAATTAATCCGACTTGTTATTGACTTGACCGAAATTCAACCCGACTTGTTATTGACCCGACCCGAATTGTATCTTACCTATTACTTACCTAACCCAAAAATTCAATCCGATCTGTTACTAACATGACTCGAAATTAACACGATTTGTTATTGACCCGACTTAAATTTAACCCAAATTGTTCCTGACCGGATTTCAAATCACCTTAAATGCAATTTAGACCACCTTATTATTGTTGATCAAAGCCTTTTTGTCTTGGGAGACCAAGTCGGTCCAGGCCAGCAAAAGATAGGAGCTTCATCCTCAAATTTAAGAGTTAAATATAGTATATATTTGTTGTGTGGTCAAAGGAGATAATTATCTTCCTAAATCATAGACTATAGTTCCCTAGTATATTGCCATATATATTATAGTCAAAGGAAATAATTAGCTTGATAAAAATGATAATTATCTATTTATATTTAGTTGAACCTGAATATGACCTGACTTGGAAATGACCCGACCTGATTGTAACCTGCAAATTATTGACTTGAACATAACCTGACTTGAATCCGAGAATGACCCGACTTGGAAATGACCCAACCTGATTATAACCCGTAAATTATTGACTTGAACCGAATCTGACTCAAACCCGAGAATGACCCGACCTGATTATAAACCACAAATTATTGACTTGAAACGAACTCGACTCGAACCCAAGAATTATCCTAACCCGTTTTAACCTGTGAAAACCCGAATTAAACCCGACCTATTGTTCACCCGACCAGAATGTAACCCGACCCAAACCCGATACGAAGTATGACCCGACGTGACCCGACCCTAACCCGATAAGAAGGATGACCTGACGTGACCCAACTCAAGCATGACCCAACCCAAACTCGACCCGCATAGGTTATGAAATTAATCTGAATTGACCCAACCCGAGTTGACCTGACCCAAACCCGACCCGTTTACCCGAATTGACCGCATATACTTAGCTGCATGCTTGTGCATGTAGAGGTAGATGCAACAACCCAAAACACATGTTTCACTGAATGAAACGCAACAAAACGCAGCCTTGTTCTTCTGAACTCTATCAACGTTCTTCGCGCCAACACATTTCCTTCTTCCCAATTTTTTCTCCTCTTTTCGATCAATAATTTTTGGTTTCCTTCTTACCAATTCTCTCTCTTCTCTTCTCTTTTCTTTTCTTTCCTAATTCTCATCAAAAATTTTGATCAAAAATTTCATTATGATTTTCTTTTCTTCTGTTTTTTTTCCTTCCTTCTTTAATTTCTCTCTCTGTTTTTTTTCTCTTTTGTTTCAATTTTTTGATTCGATTGTTTAATTGAATTTATTATGTGGTGAATGTGTGCTTAATGTCAATTGATTAAGTTTATCTGATTTTTTGAATTCATATAAATTGAATTTTTTTAGATTTGATCAATTTCATCTGTGTATGAATTTCATCTGATTTTCAGCATTTTTTTTAGCAATAAACAGAATCATGCAAAATGTGAACATATGCATAGGTTTCCTTAAATGTGAACATTATCTTTTCAGAATGTGAACATAGGTATAAAAAATATGAATATATGCATTTCAGAAAGTTACATAACAATTCAATTAATGAACGTAAGCATTGGTTTCCTTAAAGAGAATATAAGCATTTAAAAGTTAAACATATGCGTAAAAAATATGAACATATGCATTTAAGAAACAGAACATATGCACAAACAGACTTAATGAGAATATTTCATGAACAACAAATATTTACTATGAATATTTACATTATAAACATATAAAATATTATTATGAATATAAGGCATTTAATTATGAACATAAAAAATTGAAGAAAACAAAATAATATGATTATAAAATATATGCATTATAAGTATTAAAAATATGAACATATGCATTTTAGAAAATGGACATACGTATTCAAAATATGAACATATGCATTGGTTCATTTTTTAATACGTATGAACATAATTAAGCATTTTAGAAGGTGAATGTAAACATAAAAAATATGAACATATGGATTTAGAAAGTGAATATATGCATTTCCAGAAAGTTTACAAAAGGATTCAATATATGAACATAAGCATTTAAGAAAGTGAACATATGCATAAAAAAAATGAACGTATGCATTTCAGAAAGTGAACATAAGTATTCAAAATATGAACATATGCATTTCAAAATGTGAACATAAGGTATCGGTTTGATTTCACTATTTTTTTTGACAATTCCAATAAAAGATTTCGAATCATAGAGTATCGAACAATATTCAAACAAAATTAAGTGATAATCATATGAATTCAAACAAAATTAAGTGAAATTTACATAAAATTGCCTTATGGGGGAGAATCCGTTTAATTTTTCATCTCATCTCAAATATTCATGGTTGTTTTTGAAGAGAAAGAATGAATTGTGTTTGATTGTTAGAGAGAGAAAATCAAAGAGAGGAGTAATAAATTTCAGAAATTTAAACTTAAGAGTAACACTTTTTAAAAAAAATATATTTAAAAAATAATAGTTGTTGAAAGTGATGGTTAAGTGGGCTGTATTTTTAAAATATGTTCAGTTTTTGGGTGGGCTCCTTTGGTTTGAGGCTTTTTTAATAGGGCGCGTTTGAAATTGAGTTTGTGGGCTGGTGTTGCATCTAAAATAGGTGCACAAGTGTGCATCTTAGACCTATTGCGAATTGACATCTCTAATTTTTGGATGGAATATGGTTTTAAAAATAAATAAATAAATAAAATTTTAATAATGATGGATGCAGCCCAAACTTGTATTTAATTTTACACGAAAAAATGCAATCACGGGGTCTCGTGGTGGTTTAATTTGGTGCTTGAACATGCGGGTGTTGTATAATGTGGGTACAAGCCTTTAAATAGTAATGTATGGTGTTCTAGAGGATGAGTGAACCCTAGTTGATACACATACATGCATATAGAGCCTTAGAGGTTAGAGGAGTTCAACATACCAGTTGCTTGCTTGCGAGGATAATATGGAACATGTTGAATGTTTGGTGTGACTTACAAGAACAATGTGGGTTAAAGTGATTAGGTTATAAGGTTTGGGTTACTTTCTACTGTTATCATACTCCTTTCATATTTTAATAAGTGTTATGCTTTGATTTTTTTAATTTTTTTTTACTATTCACATAATGATTTTGACTTGATTATTTTAATAATATATAAAAATTAAAACCAAATATGATTGTATAGTATATTATTGAATTCAATATAAACATACAATGTATACATTCATAATATCAATTTTCCTGAAATTTTATTAACATATAATTTGATAAATTAATGATCAAAGTCGTGTCTCAACATACGTATTTATAATAGAGCCTTCAGTTTAATTGTGATGTCTGGCAATGTGGGTTACTTATCTTATTATCAATTCTATGATTTTAGAATATACATATACAGTATTTTATAATTCTACCAAATTCTTTGATTGATGACAAAAAAGAAATACTTTATAATATAGAAATCAATACATATTGTGGTCACTTATAAGTGTATGTACGCATTAACGTATACACACATTACACATACATACATGACATGTATAAAATATGTTAACAAATTGTTCATAAAGTAAAATAAAATGTACCAAAACAAGGTAAAATATATAACGAGGGAGATCAATCAAAAATTCAAAACAATAATATATGGACTTTAATTTCTTCTTGAGTTGGTTGAGAATTGGGATTATCAACACACAAGATCTAATAACATTCAATCTCTTGAAGGTCTTGATCAATAGGAACGGTGACGTAAACATGTATGCCAGATTTGCCCTTGATTGCTTCCGAAATTACAACCAATACCATTCCTTCAAGGGCATCACAAGAAATCCAATGTGAAGCATCAATTGGCCCATTTCCTCTTTGAAAAGCAACATCATTAATTTTCAAATCTTCCCAACTAGAAGAATTAAGCTCATATTTCAAGTTTTTGGGTGATGTAAAATTGGCTTTTCTTGTAAAAATCTCAACTTTGGTATTTCCATTTGGTTCTTTGGTCATTAGAGTGAAGGGTGAACCCAATTTGCTACCAAATATGTTCTCTGCCTTCTCTAAGCAGTGTTGCACAAAATACTTGCAAATTTCATCTCTTAAATAATGTTTTGTTTCTTCGGTTGAAATGTTGAATATCATGGTTTTGGAAGTTTTTCTTCTAGTATTGCTTGAGTCATGGATCGTACCATATTCGTGTTCGGATCCAAATTTGAAATAAGAGGAGTAGATACACGAGAGTGTTTTTGACATTTCACTTTCGTAGACCATGCTCATATGAATTTTTGCCCATTTGTTGAGGAACTTTGCCATGTACAAAGGGTCAGTCAAGAGAAGGCTACAACTTATCCCAATTGAGTATCCCCCACATTTGAATTTGGTCATCTATATCAGAAAAAAAAAAAAAAAATTTAAGTACTAGTACCAAAAATTCATCACAATAAACTAATATCAATTATATTACTATTAGCATCTTTAAACAAAGAACATATAATGTCCTCAAAAAAAAAAAAAAAAAATAATGATAATATCATCACAATAAACTATTACTAACATTTATATTGTATTTTTTTTTTTTTGGGGGTTGCAATTATTCGCAATTTGAAGGAACCATTTAAATAATTTCAAATGCTATGCATATATTGTCAAATATACTCATGCATTTCAAAAAAAAAAAAAAAAAAGAATAAAAAAAGAAAAAAAAAGTCATGCATAATTCATTCCAGTGTTTAATTTTTTACGATTTAAAGCTAAACTATACTGTACAATGTAATTAGACCGTTGACTATTAATGACTCAATTATGTGCATTAATTGACAAATAATACAGTCAAATCGACTAGGTATATCTTTTAAAATTGAAGGGAGTCATTATTAAATTATTAGCGGTATTAGTATTAATAGAATTTTGAGATCTAATCACTCGATAGATCTTAAAACATTATTCAATTTGCCCAGGATCGCCTATAATTCTTTCATGTAAAGATGAAACAAGTAATATTTCCTTAAAAAAAATATGTAGAAATAATAAATAGTGTGCACGTAATATAATTTACCTGAATGTAGAAGAGTGGAGAAAAAATAGGATTAGATTCATCAACGTTTTTCCAATAAAGCAATTTGCCTTCAACTTCATTCTTCTTCTCCTTGGACAATTCAAGAAAATGTACCAAACTAAGTGAAATTTGTGCATCAATACATCTAATTCCACTATCATTTGACACAATCCTTAAATCTCCATTATCATTTTCAGATCTTCTAAGTCTTCCAGCCAAAATAGGGTGCTCTAACAAGGCCTTTCCTAGGGACTCCTTGATCCTTCCCTTAGCATGCAACCCATAATCTTCACTATCATCACTATGCTTCTTGTAGCATAGCACGGTATGCATCCATTTTTGCAATACTCCGTGATTATGATGATTGTCATTCAATGATTCATCGTTAGAGATCGATATCATGTATGATAATCGTGGGTCGGTTGTCTTCGTTGGTGATGTTGAGTAAGCACCTTCGATGCCAATGGTTAGTTCCAAGGATGTTGCCATCTTCATGCACCTAAGAATAGTAAATATTTATATGTTGGAAATAGATAGTTTAAGGCTAAGTGAACAAAGAAGATATATATAGATATTCTGGCCTGGCGTGTTAAGATCCAATGCCTTGAAATAGTTGAAAACGATATTTGGTGTGACTTGGGTGTTTCATGATCATATTATATTGACCTACGTGGCTACATATTCGTTCCCTAAGGTTAAACACGACGCTTTCACTGGTATAGTAGTATTCCATCACTTACTAGTTAGAACTTGGAGACAAATAGACAAAGGAGTCATGCAAAGAGAATAACTTTTTAAATACATCAAAATAATTAATTTTGAAGAATAGCAAGGTGTGTAATCAAGGTGATTAGGGTCTATTGAGCTGAACTGAATTGAATAGAGCTGAAATGAATATTTTATGATAAAAAAAATTAGGATTTAAACTAAACTGAACTAAACCGATTGGAGCTGAACTGAACTGAAATTAAGCTGAAGTGTGAACATACCCTTAGTTTTGTGAATAGTGCTCATTTGGTTGCTTCAGGGATTATTAGATTCATCAACATATTTTCAAGGAATTCGCTAAAATTATTTGCTTATTACATAAGATTAAAATATACTTTCATATTTCATGTGATTTTTTTATATTTTTTTTAGATTCAAATAATTAATTTTCTGGCGACATTAATATATTGATATGTGGTAAATTGATAACAAAACTCAAAATTTCCTAAGATGTTGCAATTCCTCCAGTTTGCAAATTTTATGTTAATCAAATTAAAACAAGTGCATACATCAAAAAAAAAAAAAAAAAAAATGTACAACCAAGCAAATACTAAAATACAGTAATTGATAAGGTCTTCAGAACCAATCAAAGTTCATAACCATCAACTAAATAGCATTAAGGCTTTCAAACTATATACGCTACATTCAATAACTCCGCGCCGTTAAATATGATAATGACCGTGCATTATATTGTCATCATTATTGTAATTAGTTATTATGTTGGGTTATTTTGTTATTGTTACTAGATTAGTACTTGTGTGATGCATAATTTAAAATAAAATAAAAATCAATAAAGAGTATAAAATAGAAATTCACAAAAGGAGGGTTTTTGGTTAATTGATGTCCACATTTGTAGAGTAATTTTCCTAATATTGAATTTGGAAAGACAAAATTATGGGAAAAAAATGACGTTATAAGCAATTTTGGAGCGAGGGAAATTTTTTTCATAATAAATTGAGATAGGTACAATGGTGATGTAAGTAGTTTTTATTTTAGTTATAGATAAGTGTTACTCGATCAGTGTTATATACATGGGTTGTTTTGTGAATACTATAGGGTTACTCTATAATTGTTTTAAGGTTACTTTGTTCTTTCATGTGGCCAGCAGTAGTACACAAAACGCGTTGTGTAAATATATCTGTACTAATTTTTTTTTTTTAAATTAACAAATGTTGCCAAACAAGTCTATGAATCATGTGACACTATTTATATAGCTGTTTTATTTTATGTCATCCACATACAATTAAATTAAACATGTTTTTGCACAAGATTTCATCCCATAATCTCGAGTTTATGAGTTTAAAACCATAGAACTTAAAAACTACATATCGAATAAAATTAAATCAAATACATTCATGACACGATTAAATGTTTCAATGGTAGAAGAAGATATTTGGGGTGGTTTTCATGACAAAAGTAACCAAATTAAACTCTACTTATCTTGTAATCATTAATTAAGGGGTATATGGTGCATTTTTCTTGTGAAAATTCATGGATTAGAGTATTTTTAAAAGACCAAAGGTATATAATGAATTAACTGAAAATTAGGGGTATATAGGGAAAAATCGTAGATTAAATATTTTCATAAACTATCTTTTTCATTCTCAAACTAAAAAGGTTTTTTTTTTTTCAAATATTAATGATTAATTATCATATTATGAAGTCAAAATTTCCTCACTAGACAAAAATTACAAAAAATAGCAATTGGAAGCATTGTTTGGGGCATTTACTATATTTTAGAAATGAAACGAGCACATGTATTAGTAATAACAAATTCAAAGCTATTAAGTACTTGTATCTATTGTTTGTTAGAAAAATAACATTACCTACATCCAATATATACTTTATGTGTTGTATTTACCACCCAATTAAAGTATAAACCCAAAAAGATTTGACAAAGTAAAATATTTACGAATAAGACAAGTATTTTAAGTTTACAATAAATTGAAATGCAATACATAATTATACGCAGGACAAACTACTTTAATGAATACTAATAATAGAATTGTACGTAATGGGCCGAGTTAGGGCAGGGTGGACAAATTCTTAAAGGGTTAATGGAGGCAGGGGCGGACTTGGCCTTAAGCCTGGTGGGTCAAATGACTCACCAAGGCCCAAAAAAATTTCTAAGTCTTTTTTTTTTTAAAAAAAAAAAAAAAAAATTATTAGTTTGTTAATTTTAGTCTTGTCAATTTTAAGCTTGTTAAATGTTAGTTAGTATTGTAATCTTGTCAATTTTCTATTTGGATTATCTTTGTAAATAATTTTTTTTGGGAATTTTGGTAATTTTTTTTTTTTTTTTACATATTTGGTTATCGATTGTGAGTTTGTGACTCACCGGTCAGAAATTCCTGGATCCGCCACTTATGGAGGGGCGGAACACATTAAAATTTCAGTGGGGCAACTCGGATTGAGACTTATCATATTTATGATTACTCCATACATCTAATTTCTTTCCTTTTGATCGATAAGTTGGTATGTAACTTTTTGTCTTTCTATGTCCGTTATATTCTTCAACCATGAGAGAAAATTTTTTTGGCGTAGATTGATAGAAGTATGCTTCAAAAACTCTAAATCAAGGGTTGTCAATTCTCCTATTCTATCAAAAAAAAAAAAAGGTTAAAAATGTTAGATTTTAAAAGCATCCAATATATTAGATTGAAAAACAAAAATTAGTCGAATTCAAGTTTGATTGGAGAATGAAAATAGAATCGTTTGACTCATAAGTCTTGATATCGCCTTTTTTAATCTCTTCTTTTAAAAATAAAAAATAAAAAATAAAAAATAAAAAATTTTCAAAAATAATATTACAAACATACAATTGATATAAGAATGAAAATAGAACCATTTGACTCATAAGTTTGTAGGGGTTACTCGATCATGTTATAGAGGTTATTTATTTGGCCAGTGTTATCGGGTTTACTCGGTCAATGCTACTGGAAACTCAGCCAAATATTATAGAGATTAATCGGCTAGTGTTATAGGAATTACTTAATTTTTTTTACCGTCAATTACATGGTGTGTGACTAAACACACAAAATACCCCGTTCAAAAAATAAAAGGATACTCCGTAAAAGAGAAATTAATATTTTTGTTGGTAATAGAAGTTGAAGATCTAGCTAATAATAACCCAAAGCGTTAAATAACAATCTAATACTCGCTTTAGGCGTTAATGCATATCAATTGATGAAATTTATGTTCATTTCGAATTACTTGACGCTCTCCAATGAAGCGCATTCTGCATTGACGCACTCCATTGAAGCGCCTTCTAATACTTGAATCCTCCATTGAAGCAGCTTCTGAGGTAAACTGTTGTTTATTTTCGTAATCAATTTCACAATCTAGGGTTTAATTTCGAAAATTTGAAGTAAATACTAAGATTATGAAAAGAAAATTATGAACCTAATTTGATAATTGAATCAAATATCCCTAAAATTATGTGATAATAATTGAATGAAAGTTGATTGGTAAATGCTAATGTATTGCACAATCCTTTCAATAATTAGGATTGAAGTATGAAATTAGAGGTTTTCTCCCTTTTGCCGGATCCTGTTGGCGACTCCATCTTGCTGCTCCAATCTGCCCAACTTGCTCTTCAAACAGGTTTGCTAGACACCTACATTTTTACTAATGTAATATCTTTGTTTGTTCTATTGTTTGACAGTATATATATGTTATGATCAATATTAATGACATGCTTCAATGTTTGGCTAACTGATATTACTAGGTATGTGAATTGACAAATTATCTTAGGAGGAGATTTAGATTGTTTGCTTCACATTAGGAATCCTGGGTTTGCCTTGTTGGTGGTGGATTCGCGACATTTTCATTTTCTTGGATTTGCTAAGGAGGAGGAGTAGAAGTTCTTTGTGCCACAATTTTAATATTTGGAACAAAACTCTTGTGTCTTTCTTGAGCTTCCTTATCTTCTAATTTGGTCTAAGACAAAGTTTCCTATCAATCAATCAATCAAAGGCTTAATCCCATGATTGGGGTCGACTACAAGAACCAGAAGTGATTATTTTGTATAGTCATCCACAAAAATCTTCCTCCTCCATCCCCTATGATCAAGAGCCTCATCCTCATGTAAATCCATTTGCTTTATATCCTTCCTAACCCCTTCCAACCAAGTCATTTTTGACTTTTCCTATACCTTGTTTTAGCTCTCCATGATCCCACTAGCTCCCTGAGGTTTTCGTCTTACATGCCTGAACCAACGCAAGAGACTTTCCCTTGGTTGTCTTCAATGAAATGGGTATATTGAATCATGATTCAATTTATTTAGCTGATGATGTAACATATTTTCTTATCTTCAAAATATAAATTAAAAAAAATGAAGAAACTAGGCTTTTAATAGCAAATCAAGTAAGGCGCAAATGGCAGACAATGCGCTAGAATTAAACTTAAGCTGCAAAATAATTGATCACACACCGCCAGTAGATTTGAAGTTTACCGGGTTTATGCCAATGAAGTTTATGTAGAATGTGTTTTATGCTTGCCCTGCCAATGAGTCTTGTTTGCGTGTTTTCCTTTACTATGAATTGGTTAGCTATCTTTAGAGAAGACTCTTTGTGGTGATATCAAGGAGTCTAGGGTGTGCTGTTCGAACATTCAAGAGTTGTTTCAAATTCCATTTCTGGGTTTTGTTAGGTCAAAGAATTTGTTTTGCCAAAATGCAGTGATGGCAATCTTGTGGTGCTTGGTTGCCTAGAAAGAGATTGTTGTATTTTTAAAGATGTTACTATTCCTCATGAATTGTTGTGGGATTTAGTGACTTTAGGGTTTGAATCCCTCTCTCTCTCTATGTATTGTACTTTTCCTAAATAAACTTGCCAACATTTCTAATTGTAACGGATCAAACAACAAGAAAAACTTTAGAACATAGGAGTTTGATCCTACTTTCCTACTTCTTACACATGCCCTGCGCCCCTGCTACTGAATATCTTTCTCCTAGTCTCCAAAATATGTGTCAGCAGTAACTGTAGTCTATAACCTTCATGACATGGCAAGGATGAAGCTGAATACATCCCAAACAGGGCAAACACCTTGTCTCATCTTGATATGGGGTTTATTTAGGGAAAGTGGAGTAAAGTTGACTGTTGTTGTTGTTGATGCTTCCCTATTTACTTAGAAGTTGCAATGAACACCCCATTATTATTAAGGTTCAGCATGGAAAAATCCTTTGGATTAAAACTTTCATTCATAGTTATGTTATATAAGGCCTTTTTTCTGGCAATTATCTAAGAATCAACTCATAGGTTTTGCTTGGCTTGTTTGACAAGCTTGTAGTATGAGCTGTATGTATTGACTTGTTAGTGTTAGTTGCTCATAAAGATATTTGGTAATATTGGCTGTTAGCAGTTAGAATACATATGAATTGCTTTTGAGCTAAACAATTATTGCATTTATGATAATCCTACTACAACTAAGAGGAAAATCTACTTCAAAATTCCAATAAGCTTTTTCATTTGGCTGAAATGCTTACTCTTCAGTTTTCTAGCATTTCCATAAACAAATAAGTTGCCAAAAATATACTGTTGTTGTTTGACCACATTAATATGCTAAATTGCTAAAGCCAACTAAAAAACCTTTTCCTAAACTAGACATAAGCTGACAAGCAAAAACAATCAGTATGCTCTTTCTAGAATGTCTTGCTCGGCTGCTTTTGTTTCATTTTTCAGCTGTAGATAATACTCTCTGAATTGGAACCCAATTGTGTATGCTAGTTCAGATATTTTTTTAATTTTTTTAATTTTATTTAATTTTATTTTTATTTATATTTATATTTTATATAATTGCTCTCGCCTTTTTCTTCCAACGTTACCTGATGCAACAAGAAGTAGATTAATTATCTTCTAGTTACTAGTCCATGCCATACTGATTAAGGGCTGTGTGCATGGACTAGTAACTAGAAGATAATTAATATGCTATAGTGCAGGTCATACTTGATTTAGCATATGCAACAACATTAACATGAAGCCTTTTCATTGTGTGACTTTTTAAATCAATATCAGATCTATGATGCAGTTTTTAGTACTCTGTAATCAGGAGTTTGCCAGACAATTCTGTCAACACTGTGATATTTTATAATCTTGTACACGTGTTATAAATATCTATATTAACTTTGAAAATTGATTTCCTGGCTTCTGTGTTTGTGTCCTAGTTTGATTCTTCGTTTTTAAATTTCTGTTTCCAATTTCACGTTTTCCTGCCATAAGTGTGATCTGCTAATTGTGAAATATTGCTCTTTTTTTTTTTTTTTTTTTTTTTTTTTTTTCTGGGTTTGGTAGTTGTTTTAGACCTAACTGCCAAACTGCCTTGCACAGCATCTGTTGGAGGTACTATAGTTATTTCTACATTTTATATCTAGCCTGCATTTGATTTTTGCAGAAATTCAGAAATTCGAGGAGATAGGCAAGGGCATTTGTTCGTTGTTTGATGACTCCGACAAGACTAGTGGTGTTTCTGTCCCCTCTGTGCCTGTTGATCCTTTAGTTTACATGGAAAATGCTTCTGATGGTTGTTGGAGTGAGTTTAATCATGCCTATTTGAGCAAGATTGTCCCAACACTTGAAAGACAGCTGAATGAAGCTGAAGGTAGCCTAAAGGAGAAGGAACTGAGGATTGCTGAACTCGAAACCATGACATGTATGGATTCACCTCAAGAACGTGTAAGGAGCACTATTGAGCAGCAAAACAAAAGATGCATAGAAATTGAAGCCGAGCTGCAGGATCTCTTCAAGAAAAAACTTGAAGCTGAAGTTGAGTCAGTTGTGATATCAAGATCTTCCATGGACTTGAGTGATCTCGTTGAAGATAAGTTAAAGCTTTTGAAGGAGCAAATTTCTCTATCTAAGGAGCGAGCGCTGTCTCCAAGAATGACAAACAAGGGTGTCATGCTACAAGGGCAATCTGAGAAGTCAGACGCAATGTATGGTAGTATATTGAGCTGTGAAGAGATTCAGAAGATGCAGAAACGGGTAGTTAAGGTTACAAAATGCCTTATTATGCAATTGGTTTTGTTGGTCTTAGTATTTGCTCTGTTTTTCATGAAACTAGTACCCAATTCAGCGGTGCTTGTACCCACTTAGTACACTATATATGTAGTTAAGTGATTTCTTTCACATCTTGTATTTCTGGGTTAAATCAAGATCGATGATTAATTTTCTTTTGCTTTATTTTTCCGTTATACTTTCATTTTTAGGTCTTTTTAAAAAAGTACATATTTTGCAAAAATATATTAAGTTCGGTCTTGTTAGATTTGTAATAGCGTGTATTTTATTACTCCTATGTAATTTTTTTTACTACTTCCGTTTTACATTATTTGTAACTTTTGCTTAAAAACAACTAATGCACCATATTATTGGTTGTAATTTGTTATTATTTGACTAATGAGGGAATATTTTTATTTATATATAGTAACTGATTTATTTGCAAATCAAATCAAAATTTGAAACTAGTACAAACTTATTAAATTAAGTTCTTCAACATTGTTTGTTTAACGTGGAAAGAACAAGACCTTAGATTTTCCAAAAAAAAAAAAAAAAGAAAAAAGCCCTTAGATTGTTTTTTATCTTTATTTCTCAGCCACTGCTTCAATGTTGGCATCATTCTATGGCCATCTTCCCACAACCCTCTTTTCTCTCTCCTTTGTGCAATTGACTGTGTGTTAACTTCCCCTGCAACACTAAAAAACAATGTCATCAAAAACTATATCATCTCTTCTTCTTGCCAACAAATTTCTCCCACCTTCTTCAACTTCACTTAATCACCAAAAATCAACATACTCACCTAACAAATTCATTCCATATCAACCACAAAAAGGAAACAAATTCTTCTGTTTATCAAAATCAAATTCTGATACCCGGAATGAAGATATAGTCATTGTTGGTGCTGGAATTGCTGGTCTTGCCACCGCTCTCGCCCTTCACAGGTATTTTAGACACCCCGTGTGAATTACCTCTGTTCGAATTTAGTTGTCACGTTAGTAGTTTAAAGTATATTGTTAATGTAATACAAGTACGTAGTATTTAATTCTGAACATACTACACTGGTTTTAGTTGTTTAAGTTATCACGTTACTAGCTCAAATTAAACTATCAATGTAATATGTAATTCCGAACAGACTACATACCTTAGATACTTGTACATACATAAGAAGATTAATAAGAACTTAAATGTTTGGGTTGAAATTTTGTTCTTTTAATTTGTAAATTGGATAGTATGATAATGAAATGTTGATTTTGTTTTATTAAAGGCTTGGAATTCCATCATTAGTTTTGGAGCAATCAGATTTCTTAAGAAAAGGGGGGACATCACTCACCCTCTTTAAGAATGGGTGGAAAGTATTGGATATTCTTGGTGTTGGAAATGAGCTTAGGACCCAATTTCTTCAAATTCAAGGGTAATGCTTTCATATTCTATATGCTCCCTCCGTCCCTTAACTATGTGTCTATTTCTCTCTATTATGTGAGTAATAAATGATAGAAATAGGCATGTAGTTAAGGGATGGAGGGAGTAATAATTATGCAATAATCTTCTTTGATCATTTCATTTCGGTTTACTCGAATATTAAGGTTTTTGTATTGTAAAAGCTAATTTCTCACTGCAATATCTGAAGCACAATATATACAGTACTAAGAGTTTGATCAACATATTGAAAATCGTGACAGAATCCATGAATGTTTCCTTCTAAATCACCACTTAAAAGAATAAGACATTACAATTGATTGAGCAATACTTGGTATGATCTTATGATTCATGGTACTTGTTTTTGCCACTGAATATGTACATGATATCAGCTGCACAGGATGACTATAAAAACAGACGAAGGGAAAGAACTTAGGTCATTTGAGTTCAAAGACGTAGATCCAAGGTATTTAAAGCCATTCTTGAAATTTCCTTCGGATTCAGCCTATACATTTTGATACGGAGTACTAACTCGGTTGATATATTTCGTAACAAATTGTAGTCAAGAGGTACGTGCAGTGGAGAGGAGAGTTCTTCTGCAGACTCTTGCTGATGCACTACCCCCAAATTCTGTGCAATTCTCGTCGAAGTTGGCTAAGATTGAAACAAATCAGGGAACAGGGGAAACTCAGCTAGAGTTAACTAATGGTACTAAATTATCAGCCAAGGTTGTAGCTGTCTTCTGATGTTTTCTTCATAATATGTCAAGGATCAAGGCTAACAGAGTAACAGCACATAACACTAACTACCTCTGATATCATGTTTCATTAGGTTGTAATAGGATGTGATGGAATCCGGTCTCAAATAGCACAGTGGATGGGTTTTCCAGAGCCTAAGTATGCTGGTCATTGTGCTATTCGAGGGCTGGCAGTTTACAGTGAAGGGCAGCCTCATCAACCGCGAGTGAGTTACATCTATGGAAGAGGAGTGAGAGCTGGATTTGTTCCTGTTTCGCCAACAAAAGTTTATTGGTTCATCTGCTTCAACAGAAGCTCTCCAGGTCCAGCAAATTACATTTTGTAGAGCTATATATCTTACCTTATTACATTTGAGTTCTCATAGGGATATCTTCATTCATTCATTTTCATTAAATCGCCTATAAGGGCTATAACACGAAGTTTTTTTGAAATTTTCAGGTCCAAAAATTTCCAATCCACTAGAGGTGAAGAGACAAGCACTCGATTTAGTCAGCAACTGGCCTTCTGAGCTGCGGGACACCATAGATCTTACACCTGAAGAGACAATCAGTCGAGCAGCCCTCGAGGACCGGTGGCTATGGCCCACTCTGACTCCCCCAGTGTCAAAAGGAGGAGTTGTGCTAGCCGGAGATGCCTGGCATCCAATGACTCCCAATCTTGGTCAAGGTGGATGCTGTGCCCTAGAGGATGCAATTGTCTTGGCAAAGAAGCTCTCTAGAGCAATAAATCATGGACAAGGATCTATTATAGATGCAATGAAATCATATGGAGATGAGAGGTGGCCTCGTGTCTTTCCCTTAACCATACGAGCAAATCTTGTTGGCAACCTCCTCCAATGGGAGAATCCTGCAGTTTGTGCAGTGAGAAATAGCATTGTTATACCCAAGGTAGTCCAGATAGGACCTCTGCTGGAGCATACAAATTTTGCTAGTGAACCACTGTAATTGTGACATTGTTAAACAGAATCGGAGTGGTTTTGGGGGGGAAAGAAATAGACATATAGTCAAACTCAATGTGCAAAACTCAGAAGTCGACAATAATATAAATATTATACGATTATAATAAATTAATAAGCTGTCTTTACCATAAATTTATACATTTAGTCTTCCACCTACATATGTATATAGCCTATACTCTCAGCTGCAATATTAGGAAGAGTAGCTGACCACAAAAACTCTCACCTAAAAATAATTTGATTCTACTCTGCATCTCTCTAAACTATCCTTCTGGTCGAAGAATTCAAAAGGATGGAAGCTTGCCTCAACCAAACAGGGCTTCAGTTGGTTCTATAGATCTCCACGAGTGAAAAGAGCGCAACAGCTTTATCCATCTGAATTCAGTTCGAGTGATTCTTATCAATTGTCCGATGCTGGTGCAACAAATCATGTTCTTCAAGCTCCAAGTGCACAGTGTTCTGAGTGCCATCAATGCCAACAGCCCCAGCAGCCTGCAAACCTTCAATTCTTGCAGCTACCAAACCAGGCTTGTTACTTATAACGTCAACTGAAATTTTAGAGAAAAACCAGTGATCATTTAACACAAGGAAATGGATTAGAGGGGAAAACCATTGCGATTACACTCAAATTGGAGGGTATTACTGTTCCCAAAAGAATCATGTCAACATGAATGGAACAGGTAGTAATGAAATGAATCATAAACCAGTATTCCTCAGTCCTTGAAGATCAAGTAGCTTACAAGAACGCATTACCAAAAACAATTGAAGTGACATGGAATCAACATTGACATACAATTACTGTTTTAAAGGGTTCATGGATTCATTTTATAACTATTGCAACATTCTTTTCAAGAGATGAAAATGAATAAAAAAGAAAAACTTTGTCCAACTAATAATGATTTTAATAGTCCTACAACTAAACAACCTCGGATCAAATCATATCTACATCATTGCCCATTGTTTGTAACTCTATATACACAAAAACACACACAAAAAAAGAAGTAAAAGAGATTATCTTTAACTCCTAAATAACCAACAATGGTAAGAAATCCCAAAACAACAAGGGTATATTGGTTTTAGTTCCTATCAAGGACACAAATCATTGAACTAATAATTCATGCTCCGTAGCATACAAACATATACTCAAAAACACCAATTATTCGTGTCATCATAACATAATTTCTAATTTTAGTGCAAGCCATAGAGAACAATGATATAGACGGGATTCGATTCGACCTCGTGTCTGGCCTAAAACACCAATTATTCGTGTGTGTTTTTGTGTATATAGAGTTACAAACAATGGGCAATGATGTAGATATGATTTGATCCGAGGTTGTTTAGTTCCTATCAAGGACACAAATCATTGAACTAATAATTCATGCTCCGTAGCATACAAACATATACTCAAAAACACCAATTATTCGTGTCATCATAACATAATTTCTAATTTTAGTGCAAGCCATAGAGAACAATGATATAGACGGGATTCGATTCGACCTCGTGTCTGGCCTAACCCAACTAAAAATTAGCCAGCATTTCTTCCCCATAGGCTAATTGACCAGATTGGTAAATAAAAAAGACCCTTAGTGACAAATTGGTAAAAAAAACTTATTTCGGCGACAATTTGGTAAAAAAAACTAACTATATGCGACAATTTGGTAAAAACAATAAACTCCGACGACATTTAGCCCAAAAATTCTTATTTTTGTCGACAAACTCTTTAAAAATCTTAATTTAATTTGTTTTTGGTGTTTTAAATTTATTTTTCCCATTTAAGATTTTGAATTATTATTAATTACATCCCCTTTTTATTTTGCTAAATCCCAATACCAAATTTATTTTCAACCCCTTTTTAAAAGAATTTCGTTAATAAGAGTTATGAAACTTAAGTGAAATTGATACTTCAACAATTTTTATCTTGAAATTGTTATATCCATTAAAAGGGTTGATAAAAAAAAACCAAGAAAAACGAACTAAATTAAGCATTTGGGAGTACTTTGTCGGAAATTTTTGTATTTTGTGGGTTAATTGTCGCCTGATATTATTTTATTTAACAAATTGTCGCTTACAGTGGCGTCACCAGAATTTTCGAAGTGTGGGTTCGAAACTTCCGAAATTTGAAATCATAATTAACAAAGGAATAAAAATACAATAATTAAATATTCAGTACATAAATAAGTTCAAACTATGGATTACAAATAGATTACACATAGAAAAATGAAAAAAAAAAAAGACTACAGAAGCATTCTTCGAGTCTTCATACTTTGGAAGCGTTCCAATACATCATCATCACTAACTCTTGAAAATAAATCTCTTTCAAGAAAAGTGACTAAATTATCATTCAATAGTTGATCACCCATACTATTTCGCAACTTATTTTTTACGTATGTCATTGAGGAAAACACTCGTTCCACGCTTGCAGTTGCAACCGGAAGGATCAATGCTAGTCTTATAAGCAAGTAAACTAAGTTGTAAGTAGTATGCTTATTTGTTTCAACAAGCATCATAGAAAGCTCATGAATACCCTTCAAGTCTCCAAACCTTGCATCTTGGCGCACATCATTAATATAAAATTGAAGCTCATGACGAAGTGCAGTCATCGTCATATCATTAGTTGGAAACTCTTTGGGATATAACTCAGCAAGTCTCAACAACTTTTGCATATCAAATGCCGCAAATGAATTGATCGGGTTTAAGCATGACACACAAATAAGTAACTCCATATTTTCTTCATCAAATCTACTATTGAGCTCTTGGAGTTGTAAATCAATGACACTTATAAATATTTCTACCCGAAATCGATGAAGATTTGAAACTTTGGCAAAGAAGCGTCTTGACCTTCCACGAGGAACATACATATCATCCATAGTAGGAACTTCTACATCATGTTTAACACAAAAACAAACCACAAGATGTAAAAAGTCTTCCAACCCATGGTCCCTCATTTGTTGTAATCCCTCCTTAGTCAATTTAACATATGTCATGGCATTAACAATATCTTGGTCCCCCTTTTGCAGAGCTCGACACAATTTATCAGTAATCCCAAATATTTCGGACATCAAGTGTATCATAAATACAAATTCAAATGATTCAAATGTAGACATGACAGTGATAGCCTTCACGCGATCATCCTTATTAATCTTATTTGATCCAATCTTCTCAAGAACTTTAACAATAGTAGCATACAATGCGGTAACATTTGAAACAGTTTTGTAATGTGATCCCCACCTAGTATCACCAGGCCTACCTAAGCCATGTTCTTGGTTTAAACCTTGCCCACTTTCAATTTCTCCTAGTTCTAATGCTTGTAGAATATGTTGAGATTGTATTTCTCTTATCATTTCCCTTCGCTTACAAGAAACACCAATAATATTCAACAAAATAGCAAGTTGATCAAACAACCAAATACAATCATCATTATCCTTAGCAACAGCAACAAGGGTTAATTGAAGTTGGTGAGCAAAACAATGAATATAATAGGCTTGTTTTGTTTCATTCATGATCAAAGTCTTGAGACCATTTATCTCCCCCCTCATATTACTAGCACCGTCATAACCTTGTCCACGAACTCTAGACAAACTCAATGAATATTCCATAAGCAAAGACTCAATTGCACTCTTTAGTGACAAAGCAGTAGTATCCTTAACATGTACAATTCCAAGAAACCTCTCATTTATCTTCCCTTTATTATTGACATAACGCAAGCAAAGGGCCATTTGTTCCTTTTAAGATACATCACTTGATTCATCAGCCATTATTCTAAAATAGTCATCTCCAATATCATCAATAAGAAGTCTAGTGGTTTCTTTGGCACAACAATTAATAAGTTCTTTTTGAATTGAAGGACTAGTCATTCGATTATTTCCCAGGGCATTACCTAGAACAACTTTTGCTACCTCACTATTATTTTCTGAAAACCATGTTAAGAGTGCAAGAAAATTACCCCTATTCCAAGATTCTTCACTTTCATTATGCCCACGACAAGCTAAACCTTGATTTAAAAGAAATCTAATACATTTCAATGAATAAGTCAAGCGAGATTTGTATTGTAGTTTAGCTTCCTTAGAATAAGTGCAAAGAGATTCAGCAACTGATGTCTTTGAGTTGATAAACATACTATATTTCTCATTAGCCTGATTATGGAAACTACCAATACCACCCACATGAACATCAAATCTACCAGTCTTATTCCATCCTCTAAATCCCCCTTTAATAAAGGAATCATTAACAGCCAAAGAATAATCAACTTTATCAGTGAACAAATAGCACACAAAACAAAAAGCCGCATCTTTCTCAACACTATATTCAAGCCACTCATATTTATCAAACCAAGTAACATTAAAACGGCGCATACCTCCAACTTTTCTTTGAGGAAAATTATGTGTGCGTGGATCACAACGTTTCTTTGTAATATAGCCTCTCCTTACGACATCTCGATCATTAGGAGGATACTCCATAATTGGAATTCTTTTTCCAGGGTCATGTGGAAGAAGATCAACATCATAAATGCGAGTATCATCGGAGTCAACAGTAGTATTTGGAACACTTGGACCTGTGTTCTCAGGTGGTGGAATTGTTGCAGCAATAGGAACCTCATCATCATTAGGAGACACATGTTCTTCTATTGGAGGATCCCTTGAACTAGGTGAAGAACAAGTTGAAGACTTTTGTGACTTCCCGGCACGTTTCCAAAATGACTCTAAACTCATGGTATAATAGGTATATACTGCTAGTCTGCTACACACACATGATAAATGCAGAATGAAATCAATGAATGAATGATAAATCTAGAAAGCTAATTAAAACTATCGTAATTAAAGATTACAGTCAGTTACTCAATTAGTAAACGAAATCTAGATGACAGAAAACGAAATAGCATATGAAATTATGAAAACTAGAAGGCAGAAAACGAAATACAGAAAATAGCATATGAAATTCAACAATGTAACAAAAAAAAATCCCCAAATTGAGAACTTGAGAAGTAAATTAGATAATTATAACCAAACTTCAGCAATTTACAAAAAATTGGCAATTCGTAATGTATATTAGCAATTTAGCATATGAATTTCAAGTATTCAATGATTTAGCAAAAAAAAATCCCCAAATTGAGAAGTAAATTACATTTGCAAAAAAAATCCCCAAATTCACTTACCTACATACACCGATACACGGCTGTGAGGCTGTCAGTGTTGTGACGGACGACGGTGGGTCTGCTGGCCTGTTGGGTGAGTGGCTGGTGCGCAGCCACTGCCACCGTGTTCTGGCGTTCTGCTGACTGCTGCCGTGTTGCGCCGGGAAGAGAAGGAGGAAGAACGGGAAGAGAAGGACTGAAGGAGGAAGAACGGGAAGAGATTAAGAGAAGGAGGAAGAAGTTAGGGTTTTGCAATTTGGGGGAATGAGGAAGAGGAAAGCTGGAAGCAGGGAAAGCTCAGGAAACAAAATTAAAAAAAAAAAAAGTGTGAGTTATGGGTTTTGAACCCACAAACTCTTAGTGTGATGGGAGGTAAAAATAACCACTAGGCTACAACTTTACTTGTTGTCATATAATACACAAATATTCTATTTAAATCTATTTTGATTTTTTTTTTTTTTTTAAAAAAGTTTTTAATTTTTTTCAAAAAATCACCACTTGAACCCACCCTAGCTCCGCCACTGGTCGCTTAGGGTTAATTTTTTTAACAAATTGTCGCTAAGGGTCTTTTTTATTTACTGGTCAATTGGCCCTTCTTCATATCTCCATGAGCTCATAACTCATAACTCATAAGTAATAATCATATAATACAATCATAAACCCACTTTCATAAACAAATGGACTCAACACCATATATTATACCTTCAAAATAAATTTAATTCCAATTACATTATTCCATCTAATAACAAAACAATCAAAATTCATAATTAACGTAAGAATACCAACAAAACCCAGATGATAAAATTAACAGGGCAATTAGTATAAGACATAAAAACAGGACATAAATAATTTAAACTCAAGATATAAGAAAAACAAAATTCAAACCTGGGTTGGAGAAAAACCAAAGGATTACAGCACAGAGAAGAAGAACAAGAGGAATAAGATGAATAGCATTTTCAGCGGATCTAAGGCGAGATTTCTCCTTCTTAGCGGGATGAGATCCAGGATTATAAACTGGAAAGATTTGCATTGGTGTTCCCATTTGCATCACCATCAATTGGTAATGGAGAAGATGAAAAGAAGGAAGATGAATTTCTGTAATATTCATCTGCTACTCTTGTATTGCTCGATGATCTATGCATTTTTTGGGGTGATTGATTGATTTTGTCTACGAATTTTGTGAATTTGAATTGGTTTATTGTTGAGAGATTTAAGGAATTTGATGAAGTTTTTGGGAAGAGAGGATGAAAGGAGAGAAAAAGGGAAAGTGGGGTGGCGGGGGAAAGAAGAGAGATGGGGATTTTGGGGAGGGAAATGGGGATTGGAAGGAAACCTTACGTTCTCGAATCTTGGCCCTTTATATTATTTTATACTCCGTACTTCCTCCGTGTTGCGTTACATTTATCAAATACGATCATGTTTTGTTAAGTGTCTATTTTGAAGGAAAAAAAAAATTTATATATAAAGTATATTTTAATATTATACCTTTGTTATGATCTCCACCCAAATGTTATATACATGATATATTATTTTTTTAATTATTTCTTTCATCTTGTATTTATTTAATAAATTATTAACATCACTATCTTTCTTTTACATTTATTTTAGCTTTCGAATATTAATCTAACTAGATCATTTATATTTCCTTTTTGAAGTAATTTGCTGAAATTAGAAAATGAGGTGGGATGGATCGATCCTAGAGTTATAAAAGTTTTATTAACCATGATATCTGTAGTTAGTCTCAAGAATGAGATTATTATTGATTTAATGATATGACAAACTTAATTTGATTAAATGATATGATTGATAATGAGTTTAATTCATCAAAAATTAACATACTTTATGATTTGATGATTTTAGATATTAGGGAAATTATATAGAAGAAGTATAGAGAGAAAAGGGGAAGAGGGAGGCAAGGGAATGAAATTAGAGATTTTGGGGAGGGAAATGGAGATGACAAGAAATCTTTAGTTCTCTAATAATCTTAACCCTTTAAATAATTTAATATACCAATTAACTTGATTTTATTGTGATTATTATACTTTATGATATTACACATTTTTTTTATTAAAATTTTATACAAATATATATTGAATAGGTGAATTCACGGCGAAACAAGTAACCCAATACTTCATGGTAATGCTTTACATGTTGGAGAGTAAAGGGTATCAATGTAGCAACAAGCATCATGCATCATTCATTCCACACATCATGATGTATATAAGTGCACAATGTGCACATTTAACTCATAATATTTTTTTATAATACTCCATATTGTTAGTGACACTTGAATGGGAAATTGATATCCTAATATTATAGCCATGTAAACAAAGCAACCTCTTACCACTAAATAACATTTGAATAGATAATTTAACCTATTAGCCCACAAATTAATTTTTAACATTTATAATTTTTCTTGCATATTTTAATCAAGAAAATAAATCTACACTTTTTATTTCCAATACAAAAATAACCAAAAACAACAAAAGGAAGAAGAGTTGCTTATATAAGAAATTCATGATTGGGTGGAGATCCCAATTTCCCTCCAAAAAAAATTGACCAAATAAATAAAATCACACATTTATCAAACAATTTTTAACCAAGATCTATGACACGTGGCGACTCCTCGCCGCAGTTCCGACGTCATAAATTCACGCCTCTCCTTCATTTCCCATATATAAAAGGCCGACACTTTCGGTTCAATTTAAAACTTTGAACCACTTTCATTTTCTCTCTCTATTTTTCTTTGATTATTTTTAATTATTTGATCAAAAAAACAGGTGGTGTTCTCCATTAATTTCAGTCATGAATTCTGAATAGTAAGTTTAATTCATCAGTTTTAGCTTACATTTTATGTAATTTTTGAATTATGTTTCCATCAATTCATAATTTAATGTTGTTACTTTATAATTCGTTTGATTATCTTTTATACAGACCTAGTTTGAAATTGACTGCAAATTTTTACATGCATTTGGTATATTTGATCTGATTATATGATTTTAGTAATTTTTATTTATTTATGGATTAATCGATTCTTTAAGGCATTGATCTTTGATGAATTTTGAATTTTTTTTTTTAATTGGCAAAATGAGATAATTATATGTAAGTGATAAATTCTTCATATTTTTAGGTTTAGGTTTCTGGATTAGAATTCTCTTTTTTTCATGTGTTAGTAGCAGAATTATAGATATGTTATCATGCTAAGGTAGTATGTTAATTCAAATGTAAGACAAATATAATAATTTAAGAGGAGCAATGGTTGAATCAATTCAATGTAATGCAATAATATGAAGCAATTTTATTAATTTTGCAGCCTGTGTGTGGCGGTCGCATTCTACTCTGGATGATTTCAATTTTTATTGTAATGATCTTGATTATTGATCTATTTTGTCAATTGTTAATCATTCCCCTTATTAGACTTATTAATGTCAGAAATTCAGAATATGAGGGGGTATATTGAGATGTTATAATGTAATATGTGGGGATAAGCTTTGTTTTTATACGGTCAATGTTGATTTGGGATGTGCTAGCAGGCATCAACTTGGCTGCCATAATCTTATATGAAACCAGCAATTTAAATGAATTATATCAAAATTAGGAAGTGTGACCTATGGGGTAACGCGAACCTGAGTGATCCTTTTGATAGCTTAATAGCTTGCCAAAGCTTTTGGATGCGTTATGGAAAATTGTTGTAATAATGGATTCTGCGAACTCATATTTGTACATATCATAGGTATGTTATTAAGGTTAGAACAACTGAAAGTCGTATTAAGTTGTATGACGAAGAACTTTACTTTTCCATGTTTTGTGCTGTTGTGTGAAACTGTGAACCTACATTACCCGTCATTCTGATTTCTTTGAATATTTCCTTTTAAAACAATTTAACTATTGTTATAATGATGCTTTAATATACTTCATAATTTACTTCATAATTTATTTGAAGAGTACTAAGATTAAAAGAGTCCTTTTTTTGAAATCAATAAAGTCAGTTGATGAATTTACTTCATAATTTTATGCAGTGATTACTTGTTCAAACTTTTGCTCATTGGAGATTCTGGTGTTGGCAAGTCTTGTCTTCTGTTGAGGTTTGCTGTGAGTTTCCGAACCTTAAAATTCTTTTCTTTTTGTTCTTAAATCATTTGCATGGCTCGGTGGCTCCTTCACTTGACTTTGTGTGGATGATATCATTGCTTAGCTTTAATGAATTGGTTACAGAATTCCTCTTTTATGGATAGTCACTCAAGGGTAATTTATTCGGTGTGAACTTTTATCTTAGCCTCATTATTAATTTTTTCTACATCCTGATTCATTTAGTACGGATGACTTCTGAATTTAAATTGGCTAGAGATTTTGCATTAATTTAGTGATATATATAAGTACTTTTTCCAGAGAGTTGGATTTTAAAAAAAATGGGGCTCATTTCTAAGTGTATTTGAGTATTGGAAGGTTTAAGATTGTGGTGCCCTCGGTGACTCTATAGTTGTTTTTGTTGGTGTTTGCCTTCCCAAACGTTAAATGTATAGTCTTTTACAGTTTGTTTGGATAAAGAAAGGGGAAGGAAAAGAAGGGGAGGGAGGAGAAGAGGAGGGGAAGGAAAGGGAGGGGAGGGAAGAATGGTGAGTTTTCCTTCCAAATCTCTCCATTGTTGGAGGGATTAATTTTCTACAATTTAATCCTTCCATTTCTCTCCCCTCCAATTCTCTCCCTTCCTCATTTGCTATCCAAATGGAAGATACTCCATCTTTCCATTTCTCTTCCCTTCCTTTCCCTCCATTTCCTTCTATCCAAACATACTGTTAGGCAATATGCTTGAGTGCTATAGCTTAGGTGAACTGGACATAATCTATGCTGAGCTGGGCTGAATCTCTGATTCTTGTAGAAACAGTTGCAAGTGAGTGTGTTAGCTTTCTTTGTCACCTTTTAGCATCTTCATCTCTGTATGTAGATGCTTATGTATGTGTGATTTTTGAGTTAAGTCTGCTTCTCCCTTTTGTTTGATTGGATTTTGTCAACAATCTTTCATGATTTGAGTAAAGTTAATAAAGCAAATCATGAGAAGAATTTTGGAATAGACATCACTATGTTGCTCCTCCCAACACTTCCATTACTCGTGTGTGCCTGTGTGGTACTGTGGTGTGTTGGCTCCTTGAACACTACCTTATTACATTTGCCTGACATTAGATGGTTTTATGATAACAGGATGATGCCTATCTTGAGAGCTACATCAGCACCATTGGAGTTGACTTTGTAAGTTTATGGCTCTAACTTACTTTTCAATCCTTCCCCTCCAACAAATGGGGATGGTTTAAGTAATATCTAATATAATGACCATGATCTATCTACAGAAAATCCGCACTGTTGAACAAGATGGGAAGAGTGTCAAGCTCCAGATTGTAAGTATTTTATGACCTTATAGTTTAGATTCTTAAAGCTTATTCCAAAGGCACTGATACAAAATAGGCTGAAAGAAAAACAGTGCCAGCAGGGCCCAGAAGGGCCAATCAAGGACTTAGGGTCATGTTTGTAACATTTTAAATCAATCCTTATCAATTTAAAATGAGAGTGTAAATAAAAAGTGGATGAATGTTGGTTATGCCCTTTCAACACATATATAAGTTAAGCAGGAAGGACATTTATCTGAATCAGAGTAGGGATTGTTTTGTGAATATCATAGAAACTTTTGTAATTTAAGAGTGTATTTAAAACCACTAAAAGTCGATTCATTTATGTTTTTAGTGGGACACTCCATGTCTGAATTAACACTATGCGCCAATGTGGTGTAAATCTTTTGGAAGTACTTTCCATTTACACGGTTTGTTATTGTTCAGTGGGATACTGCAGGGCAAGAACGTTTCAGAACAATCACCAGTAGCTACTACCGTGGGGCTCATGGGATCATTGTGAGTAGGTTAAATAATGTTCATTGTATTGAATATATCTTCATTTTTTATACTGTTCGTTGTAGAATAATAGCTGCTTGCTTATCTGCAGGTGGTTTATGATGTGACTGACCAAGAGAGCTTTGACAACGTGAAGCAATGGCTCAATGAGATTGATCGTTATGCAAGTGATAATGTAAACAAACTTCTAGTTGGAAACAAGTGCGACTTAACAGCGAATAAAGTTGTCTCCTATGAGACGGGTAAGGTGAGTGATTCAACTTGAATTTTCATCTACGTTATATATGCGTATCTTCTATTTGGTTCTTGATTTTCCCCCTCTAGTTCTAAACTTATGCTTGCGTTTATACAGGCGTTTGCAGATGAAATTGGGATCCCCTTTATGGAAACCAGTGCAAAGAGTGCCACCAATGTGGAACAAGCTTTTATGGCTATGACTGGTTCAATCAAGAATAGGTAAATTAAATCATATCTTCGTCTTTGGACATTGAACTTATAGTATAGTTATAAACTTTTACTTATGAGATTTAGAATTGAGAAATGGCACTACAGATGAGACTAGCTTAATTCCTTACAGAGACAACTATGGTTTTGTTTACAGTATAATGTTTTAGGCTTACAACTCTATCTAAAATTTTGGTTTGCAACTGCAGGATGGCTAGCCAACCTGCTATGAATGCTAAGGCGCCGACTGTTCAACTTAAAGGACAGCCATTGAATCAGAAGGCTGGCTGCTGCTCATCATGAAGTGGCATCATTATGGTCTCATTTTTAAATGGTTATTCAGTAGTTCTATTGTTGTAAACATAGTTTTCTATGAACGCAATCTTGCTGAGGAATATACAAATTTTGCTTCAGCTGGTTCACTAATGTTTTATCTTTACTCCGCAATTGTTTTTGTTTAGCAAGCATATGTACAGTATTTGAAACTATAGTCCTTGTTGTCTCACAAAGAAGTTTTAGCAAGGTTGCAAATTGCAATGCTATCTAAGTTGGTGCTCGCCTGGATTTTAGGTTTCAGCCCGACTTGGGGTCTGAGACCTAACCCTCCTCTCACCCACCCTCAGCATACACAATGTAAGCCCTAATTTAAGGCATGATGTTGATAATGGGGGTATGTTAAACCCATATTTGCTGTAAGTGTTGCGAGCATCACTGTGTAGTATTATCTTTTTTCATCGGGAATAACACTTAACCAAAGCCCGAACTGACAAATTGTAAACCGATAAATTGGTCGTTTAAAGGAAAGTTGGATGGTTTCACCCACCCAATTGGACTTCTAAAGGGTATTAGGGAGTAGGGACCATGGTAAACATTTCGGCAATTTTTATTTTAGGGAGAAAAAATAAATCAAAAATTTTCAAAATTGAAGGCTAATATCCACGCTTTTTGAGAAATTTTGCAGGTTTCGGGGCCCCGGTGTAGATTAGTATTAATATTTTAGGGGATACATCTCGGGGTCGTATAATGTCGTTTGGAACCATATATGATCATTATATGTTGTCATAAATGTTCGCAGTAGCTTGAGTTAATGAAATCCGCGCAAGTTGTAAATCGGTAATTAAATTGGCCGTTTAAAGGCAAAGTGTATAGTTCCACCAACCCAATTGGACTCCCGGGGGGTATTAAGGACCATGCTAAACATTTCGGCAATTTTTATTTCCGGCGAAAAAAGTCAAAAATTTCCAAAATTGGAGACTAATATCCACACTTTTTAAGAAATTTAGAAGGTTTCAAGGTCCGACGTCGAAAAGTCTTGAAATTTAAGGGGATACATCTCAGGGTCATATAATGTCGTTTGGAACCATATATGATCATTATATGTTGTCATAAATGTTCGTGATAGGCTTGAATTTATGAAATCGGTGCAAGTTGTAAACCAGTAAATTGGTCGTTTAAAGGCAAATTGGATGGTTCCACCTACCTAATGGGACTCCCGGACGGTATTGAGGACAATGGTAAACATTTAGGCAATTTTTATTTCCGGGCGAAAAAAAAGTCAAAATTTTCAAAATTGAAGGCTAATTATCCACGCTTTTTGAGAAATCTTGGAGTTTTCGGGGTCCAGTGTCTAAAAGTCTCGAAATTCTACGGAATACATCTCGGGGTCATTTAATGTCATTTGGAACCATATATGATCATTATTTGTTGTCATAAATGTTCGTGGTAGGCTTTAGTTAATGAAATCGGTGCAAGTTATAAACCAGTAAATACGTCGTTTAAAGGCAAATTGGATGGTTCTACCCACCCAATTGGACTCCCGAAGGACATTAGGGACCATGGTAAACATTTCGGCAATTATTATTTCCGGGGAAAAAAAATCTAAAAATTTAAAAATTAAAGGCTAATTACCCACGCTTTTTGAGAAATTTTGGAGGTTTCGTACCCGGTATCGAAAAGCTTTGAAATTCTAGGGAATACATCTGGGGGGTCATATATATAATGTCGTTTGGAACCATATATGATCATTATATGTTTTCATAGATGTTAGTGGTATGCTTGAGTTAATGAAATCAGTGCAAGTTTGTAGGCGTCGTTTGAAGTTCGTTTGAAGTGCGCCTACATTAAAGCATGTTGTAAATATGCTTGGCACTCATAGGAAGTGGGAATTGACATAATACGATTAGGGACAAGGAAAGTAAGAAGCCGCCAACAAGTTTATAAGGACCTTGTAAACCGTTCACGGATCATTTAAGGCAACCACGATAAAGGAACAACGAAAGGTAATAACGATTGACCCGTGAAGGTTACACCTCATTCATAATCCATGAGATTACTAACTCCATATGGTTCGAAACCACAAAAGGAGGATCGGGGATGATGGTACGAAGTGAGTCATGGAGTCACATTCGCCCGTATTGGCCTCTACTCGATTCTTATAGTGAAAAGTGATTCCTGCGATCTCAAAGGCATGCAAACAATTAAAGATTCAATTTGCTCCAAACTATTATTAGGCTAAATTGGTTGAATATTAATGCAACACATAATTCTAAAATTTGTGATCATTTGATTAAAAAACAAGATTAGAAATTAAAGGAACCTAAACCGGTCGTCCAAATTATCTTAATAGGCGTGATTTTCGATTATATATTCCCTTTAAACATGCAATATGGTGATCAATAAATATATAATAGAACAAACATTAATATTGGAAACAATTTAACAATAATAGCGTTAGTCAAATCAAATCATAATAAATCGAATCATGATATTAGCAACAAGAATAAAAATAAAGAGTAATTAAGTAATTAATTACTCACTTTCCGTGTTTTCTTGAATTGCTACATCATGAATAAACTGTTAGTAACTTCAATAAATATAAAAATCAAATTGAAACAATTAAATTAAATAAAAATTAGAATTGATTTGGTCCAAACCCTCGGTTAATTATACCTTTCACGCCTTGGTTCAAGGACGGAACTTCGGGTTGATTATGGGTTCCTTGGAGTGCTTAGGGGAAGTATTATGGAAGAATAGGGAGGCTAGTGTTTAGGCTAAAGAGGGAAAAGAGAATGATTTGATGATCAAGCTTTTTGAGATTGAAAAGGGGTGATATGACCTCTATTTATAAGGAAAAAAAGAAGGGTCGAAGAATTAAGATAAAATCCAAATTAAATCGGAATAAAACTCGATAGACAACAATTTTAGCGGTTTTTGTTTTTTATCATATTTTTTTATCCAGAAATCGGAATAAGATAAATAATATGTCGTTGGAAATATGTTGAATTCTACTTTCTATTAAAAAATTTTGTATAATAAAAGATATGGACGAAATAGTGAGACGGTGTCAGTCTTGGATTGAGTTTGGTATTTCAATCATATTTTTTCTGTTATAACTCGGAATTAATATTATAATATATCAATGGAAAGATAATTTCAAGGGCTATCCAACCATCAAGATTTAGATAAAAACTATGAGGCACAAAAATAATATCTGACTATCTTTGGACGTCTTTCAATTTGAATATAAATAGGATTTAAAAAAAAAGTTTTATTAAATGTCACTCTTTAATTTTATCTTTTCAAAGAGGATAATTAAGATATTTTAGAAACTTATATAAGCTTCCAATTAATCCAAAATTGGTTTAGGAATGGGATAAAATCTTTTGGACCCTCCACATGATCATTGGGTCATAGGTAAGGTGCGCTTAGGTTCGGTTTGGGCTCAGTTTAGTATTTTGGCCACAGCTTATTCGTTATAACTCGGATTTGAGCTTGTAAAATATCGTTGGAAAGCTCTTTTCAAGTCCCATCCGACTATTTAATCATTGGCCCAGATTATGGACCAAAATAAACTGTACTAAACGTTTTTATAAAAAGGACACGAAATGAATTATTTTGGGTTTAAAGGCATGAAAAGAGGAAAATAAGTTATGTTTTGGGAAAATGAGCTAGGAATTGGGTTGTTTATGAAATGTATTGGGATTGAATATGGATTTAAGCAATCCAAGATTAAATACTCAACCCGACCAATAATGGCGGTGAAAGGTTGTTTATCATCGGGTTTGGTTTTGGGGAGACATTTTTAGATGTCTACAAAGTTGTAAAGCGGTAAATTAAATGTTTAAAGGAAAATTGGATGGTTCCACCCACCCAACTGGACTCTTTTTTGGTATTAGGGACGATGGTAAACATTTCGGCAATTTTATTTTCTAGGGAAAAAAAGTAAAAAAAATCCAAAATTGAATGTTAGGGTTGATGCTTTTTGAGAAATTTTGGAGGTTTCGAGGCCCGGTGTCGAAAAGCCTTGAAATTTTAGGGAATACATCTCGGGATCATATAATGCCGTTTGGAACCATTTATGATCATTATATCTTGTCTTAAATGTTCGTGGCAGGCATTTAATGAAATCGGTGCAAGTTGTAAACCGGTAAATTGGTCGTTTAAAGGCAAATTGGATGGATACGTCCACCCAATTGGACTCCGGAAGGATATTAGGGACCATGGTAAACATTTCGACAATTTTTGTTTATGGCGAAAAAAAGTAAAAAAAAAATCAAAAATTGAAGGCTATCCACGTTTTTTGAGAAATTTCGAAGATTTCGGAGCCAGGTGTCGAAAAGAAATGAGATTTTATTAGATACATCGCGGAGTCATATAATGAAATTTGAAACCATAAATGACCATTTTAAGTTTTCATAAATGTTCGTGGTAGGGTTGAGTTAAAGAAATAAGTGCAAGTTGTAAACCGGTAAATTGGTCGTTTAAATGCAAATTGGATGGTTCCACCCATCTAATTGGACTTTCGGAGGGTATTAGGAACCAAGGTAAACATTTTGGCAATTTTTTTTTACAAGCGAAAAAAAAAGGTCAAAAAATTCCAAAAATTAAGGTTAATATCCACGCTTTTTGAGAAGTTTTGAAGGTTTCGAGGCTCGGTGTCGAAAATCCTTGAGATTTTGGGGGATACTATTCAGGGTCATATAATTCCGTTTGGAACTATATATGATCATTATATATTGTCATAAATGTTCGTGGTAGGCTTGAGTTAAAGAAATCAGTGCAAGTTGTAAATTGGTAAATTGGTCGTTTAAATGAAAATTGAATGGTTCCACCCATCCAATTGGACTTCCGGAGGGTATTAGGGACCATGGTAAAAATTTCGGATTACGGGCAAAAAAAAAGTCAAAAAATTCCAAAATTGAAGGCTAATAATATCCACATTTTTTGAGAAAATTTGGAGGTTTCGGGACCCGGTGTCGAAAAGACTTGAGATTTTAAAAAATATATCTTGGAGTCATATAATGTCGTTTGGAACCATTTATGATCTTTATTTGTTGTCATAAATGTTTGTGGTAGGCTTTAGTTAAAAATCGGTGCAAGTTGTAAAGCGGTAAATTTGTCGTTTAGAGGCAAATTGGTGGTTCCACCCACCCAATTGGAATATCAAAGGGTATTAGGGACCATGGTTACACATTTCGGCAATTTTTATTTTCGGACGAAAAAAAGTTAAAAAATTCTAAAATTGAAGGCTAATATCCATGCGTTTAGAAAAAAAATTTAGGTTTTGGAGCCCAGTGTCGAAAAGATTTGAGTTTTTAGGTGATACTTCTCGGGGTCATATAATATTGTTTTAAACCATAAATGATCATTATATGTTGTCATAAATGTTCGTGGTAGGCTCGAGTTAATGAAATCGGTGCAAGTTGTAAACTGATAAATTCGTCATTCAAAGACAAATTGGATGGTTCCACCCACTTAGTTGGACTCCCAGATTGTATTAGGGTTCATGGTAAACATTTCGGCAATTTATATTTACAGGCGAAAAAAAGTCAAAAAATTCGAAAATTTAAGGTAATCCACGCTTTTTGAGAAATTTTGGAGGTTTCAGGGCCTTTAGATTTCAGGGGATATATCTCGGGGTCATATAACGCCGTTTGGAACCATATATGTTCATTATATGTTATCATAAATGTTCGTGGCAGGCTTGAATTAAAGAAATCGACGCAAGTTGTAAATTGGTAAATTGGTCGTTTAAAGGCAAATTGGATAATTCAACCAACCCAATTGGACTCCCGGAGGGTATTAGGGACCACGGTAAACATTTCGTTAATTTTTATTTTAAAGCGAAAAAAGTAAAAAAAAATACAAAATTGAAGGTTAATATCCACGATTTTTGTGAAATTTTGGAGGTTTCGGGGCCCGGTGTCGAAAAGGCTTGATATTTAAGGGGATACATATCGGGGTCATATAATGTCGTTTAGAACCATATACGATCATTATATATTATCATAATTGTTCGTAGTAGGCTTGAGTTAATTTAATCGGTACAAGTTGTAAACCGGTAAATTGGTCGTTTTAAGGCAAATAGGATGTTTCCACCCACCCAATTGGACTCCCGGAGGATATTAGAGAACCATGCTAAACATTTTGGCAATTTTTATTTCCGGGAAAAGAAAAGTAAAAAAATTCCAAAATTGAAGGCTTATATCCACGGTTTTTGAGAAATTTTGGAGGTTTCGGAGCCCGATGTCCAAAAGCCTTCAGATTTTAGGGGATACATCTCGGGTTCATATAATGTCGTTTGGAACCATATATGATCATTATATGTTGTCATAAATGTTTGCGGTAGGCTTGAGTTAATGAAATCAGCGCTAGTTGTAAACCGGTAAAATGGTCGTTTAAAGGCAAATTAGATAATTCCACCCACCCAATTTGACTCACAGAGGGTATTAAGGACCATGGTAAACATTTCGGAAATTTTTAGTTCCAGACGAAAAAAAGTCAAAAAATTCAAAAATTGAAGTCTGTATCCACGCTTTTTGAGAATTTTAGAGTCTTCGGGGCCCGGTGTCGAAAAGTCTTGAAATTCTAGGGAATACATCTCGGGGTCATATAATGTCGTTTGGAACCATAAATGATCATTATTTGTTATCATTAATTTTCGTGGTAGGGTTGAATTAATGAAATCGGCGCAAGTTGTAAACCGGTAAATTGGTCATTTGAAGGCAAATTGGATGGTTCCATCCACCCAACTGGACTATCGGAGGGTATTTGGGACCATGGTAAACATTTCGACAATTTTTATATCCGGGCGAAAAAATGTTAAAAAAATCCAAAATTGAAGGCTAATAACCTCGTTTTTTGAGAAATTCCGAATGTTTTGAAGCCCGGGGTCGAAAAGCATTGAGATTCTAGGGGATACATCTCGGGGTCATATAATGTCGATTGGATCCATATATGATCATTATATGTTGTCATAAAGGTTCGTGGTAAGCTTGAGTTAATGAAATCGGTGCAAGTTGTAACTTACAAACCAGTAAATTGGTCGTTTAAAGGAAAATTGGATGGTTCCTCCCAGCCAATTGGACTCCCGGGGGTTTTTGGGACCATGGTAAACATTTTGACAATTTTTATTTGCAAGTGAAATAAAGTCAAAAAATTCCAAAATTAAAGACTAATATCCACTTTTTTGAGAAATTATGGAGGTTTCGGGTAGAGATGTCAATTCGGGTAAACGGATCGGGTTTCGGTCGATAAGAGTGGGTCGAGTCAACTCCGGTCGGGTCAATCCGGATTATTTCCACAACCTATGCGGGTCGGATTTGGGTTGGGTCATGCTTGAGTCGAGTCACGTCGGGTCATACTTCTTATCGGGTTAGGGTCGGGTTTAGGCTTGGACCGACCTGGTCTCCCTAGACAAAATGCTTTGATCAACAATAATAAGGTAGTCTAAATTGCATCTAAGGTGATTTGAAATCGTATCAGGAACAATTTGGGTTGAATTTAGGTCGGGTCGATAACAAATCGTGTTGATTTCGAGTCGGGTTAGCACATATCGGGTTGAATTTTTGGGTCGGGTTAGTAATAGGTCTGGTAAAATTCGGGTCGGTCAATAACAAGTCGGGTTGAATTTTGGGCAGGTCAATAACAAGTCGGGTTGATTTCGGGTCGGGTTTGTAACAGGTTGGATTAAATTCGAGCCGGGTTTGGAACGGGTCAGGTAGAATTCAGGTAGGGTTAGTAACAAGTCGGGTTAAATTCGGGTTTTGACGGGTTAAAACGGGTTTGGGTCAATTTCGGTTCAAGTCGGGTTTGGTTCAGGTCAATAAATTACGGGTTACATTCGGGTCGGGTCATCTCTAGGCCAGTTCATGTTCGCATTCGGATCTCACATACTCGGGTCTATGGTCGGTTTCAGATCGAGTCAGGTCGGGTTTGGGTCACCATTTTTTGGGTTCAGATGAATTGTTAATAATCAAGTTTGAGTCGGTATTTCTGGACGGGTCAACTTTTGACAGGTCTAGTTGTGTAGATTATACCAAGTAAAGAATGAATCAAGCCAACACACAACACATATTGGTTACTTGGTGATTGTTGAGTCAAATCATTTTATTCCATTCAAGTGTTCATAATCAGATCTAGAAAATCAATTCACCTTTTAAAATCGCCAAACTATTATCAGACATTTAATCAACTTTGGGCAATTAATTCACCAGTTCATCTTGCAAAATTGTCAAACGCACTTTAGTGCTGATATTAATTGTCGGCCACGCATGTTTTCGAACTATCGTAAGAGCTTTAAACACACCAAATGTTAGGTTTATGCACTAAACCTAGAACAATATGTAACAATTAGATCATTAGATTTTGGCTTAACAAACTAAATCTACATCTGCATCTGAACAAATCTTCCCAAAAAAAAGTTGAAACTTTCCAGCAGTACTACCTACCAGCCATTCATAGATTCCAAAATTGAAGTTCAAAACTAATACCAAAGTTACACTCTTGCTATCAAACCTAATGATTTGGAAAAAGATGAAGACACAACAGACAACAAAGAAAAATTTGCAAGGTGACAAATCTACGGGATTTACACTCTTAATACAGGAAAAAACACAATTATTCCTGTCAAATCTTTCTGCAACTGTTGAGCTTCTGAACATCATAAATAAGTCTCAAATTTAAGAGCGCCAAAAATAACCAAGACAACGGTGGACAAAATCTCAGTTTCCACCCAAGGATGGGAACTGGTTGGGATCTTCAATTTTAGGAGCAGAAGCATGATTCATGCCATATCCTCCTCCATTGCCACCCCTACCACCACGGCCTCTTCCTCTTCCACCACGCCTATAGTATGAGTCACCACCTTCGGCAGGCTTCAGAAATTCATTAATGCTCACAGACTGAAAAAAAAACAAACAAAAGAACACATTCAACACAATTACACGAGAATATTAATATAACTTGATACTATTGTACTTCAACCTTCAGTTACATTTCATTTCAACTCGACTGCTAAAACTCTTAGATACCTAACTTGATAAATTTTCCTTTAAATTATATGAACTTGCAGACTACTACAGAATTTAAATTGGACCAAAAGAACCCACGAGAAACATTTATCCCAAACCTCTTAACAAAATTTGTAATCATAACCCACTACAACCCAAAAATCTACAAATCAATCAGAAACTGGGAGCCACAAAAAAAAAGAACACACACCAGGGAAATGAACTAAAGGAGGATTGCCAACATAAATGTAAAAAATGTAAAAAACTAACAAGGCAACTTTGATAAACAAGAGAACAGAAAAGACACTTCCATTGGGGTCAAAAGGTAAACCAAGGTTTTTTTTTCCTCATTCACTGAGCAAAAGTTAACAAAATATCCTGGGTAAAACTAGACTTCAATGTAATCGGCTGCACATGTCAAATGTTCAGGTGTAATATTTGTAAGATTCACTTAAAACATATACTAAGCAATAAAGAGACGATACCTTCTTAGCCCTTTCTTCTTTCTCGGCAGCATCTTTTCTCTTGTCCTTGTCAGAACCCTGATGACAAGAAAACATATTATATTGAATATGGTATAGCATATAGGACACACTTCAAAATAATAAAACCTTGACATGAAATCTGCTTAAATGAGTGAAGTCGAAATTGGTGGTAGTTTGGTAGGAAATTTTTATTCCAAAATTCCTCTTCTTAAATAATTAGTAACCATAATAAGAGGGAGCTTACCAATTTTATGAAGACCTCGTCATCAATTTTCTTCTTTGAAACCAACTGCATAGATTCAAATTCCTTGTCCACATCAACCTTCCTTTCCTCAGCCTTCAATGCTAGCAAAGCCTTCCTCTTCTCCTCCAAGACCTTCTCATATTCCTCAAGTGTCATTTGCTGACAATGATAAACACCCACATAAGTACGAAATATTGGCCCATGTTTATATGGAAACATGAAGAATTAACATTTTTACAACAGATTAAATGTACGAGAACTAGGCCAAAGGCCCAAAACGACTTGTCAAAGTGCAGTAACTAATACAAACCACCAAAAAATGAATAAAAAATTTAGTCAAACATCAACTTTACAGTAACTTTTAACATACATAACTCTTCTGTAAAATACTTCGTAGTATTTTCAGTCATTTAACAATAACCCAAGAAATGTTGCCAGCATTGAATAAATCCTACAGATTAACAGAACAGTTGAGTTTCTGAACTTCAACTTGAAAGACTCATTAGATTGGCAATTACAAGGCAGAATAAACAAAAACCATCCTACATTATATTCAATTGAACCATTAAAGTTCTAACATAATTTTATGACGCGTGTATATGAATATAGATCTTTAAGTAGTACTAAGTTCAACTGTTCAGGAGTTGCATAGCCTGCCAAATCTAGTACATGTTGCACTCAATTCCGTGAAATTTCTAGACCTAATCAGGCCCAAGCATATAATCAAGGACATTAGCATTATTTTGGCAGTTGAATAACTTGTAAGGAAATCTCATGGTGACTAAATTAATAGTACAGGTATTTATATGCCAGCAGAAATCTGTAGCAATAAAGAGGAAATAGAAAATTATAATAAAACCCACCTTTTCTTCAGGCTCAACTTCTTCAGCCTCTTTTTCTGGATTCTCCTTCTCAGCATCAACAACTTCTTCTCCTGCCGGCTTCTCAGCTGCAGCTGCCTCATTTTCCACAGAAGGTTCCTCAGTCTCCCTAAAATAGAGTTTTAAATTAGCATGTTTGCCTGAAAGAGTATTACAATTATTGACAAACAGAAAGAGTATTTTCACTCACGGAGCAATTTCATCAGTAGGAGTTCCCCAGTTTCCGCGACCAGCACCCTCACGTTTAATGTCACCGCCTCTGCTCAAGAGAATCAATTGATGTAAATATGTGATTCAATCACTCTTAAATTGACATAGCACACAAACAATAATAGCTAATGTAACAGTATAACTCACCCACGACCAGTGCCACTACGGCGCTCAAATGTCCTCCTGGGTCGTTCTCCTTCAGAAATTTCTCCATTGCCAAATCCTCCACGGCGCCCTCCACGGTAAACACCGCGAGAACCAACATACCCTCCACGTCTTTCAGTTTGCCCTCTTTCCTCCTTGTATGCCATTGAAGCTCCATTTTCATTAGCAAATGCTTCATCATTATTGGCAGCAAAATCCCTGTTAGCTCCACCTGGACCACGTCCACGGCCACCGCCACCACGACCACCACGGCCACCTCCACCACGACCACCTTCATTCCTTGCTTCTCTCACTGTAAACACTCAATATATACTCATCAGCAATTTAGCAGTAAGACTAGAATGCTGCTAACCTAAATGATGCATCAAAAGGTATGGAGCTTGTGGGACTTGCAAATTAATAATCCATTATAGTAAAGGTTTCAAAGAATACCTCCTATTCGTCCACTAAATCATGTCTAAACTACCATTCAATAAACTGAGAGAATGAGACACAACTGATGCAATCAATATTTACATAATGTAATGTAACCAATTGCTTAATATTCTCACTGCAAGTTCAATATGAAAATTGTAAATAGATGGAATGAATCATTGGAAATAGGAAAACTTGGGAAACCTTGGGGAAAATAATTAACATTATTAGGAAAGCAAAACACGTCATATAACATAATTAACATCGTTAACAAACTAACCACCAGAGTTGGGAAATAAAACTTCGGATGATCAGATTAGTCATGTTCTGATTGGAAGGGAATCTAACATTATTAGAAAAGCAAAATACAGTTTAGGCAGTGATAAAAAAATTTATGTTCTTAAGCATAAAGCCAGTAGCTAGGAGTGAGTTTCAGAGAATTAAACTATGCCAATTCCAACGATGGAAAAACTCCAAAGTATTGGAGAAAGATTCAAATGATAGATACGGACATTATCAACCTATAGGACTTTGATTGATTTCTAAATTTTCGGGTCTAATTGGTCAATACAAAAACTTTAAATTCACAAGTGCTATGCTCGAAACAAAAATCTACTCGTAACTGATTTCAAGCTAAATCAGCTCAAAATAAAAAGCCAAAAAGGTAACATCGAAATTACTAAATCCTATACAGCTTACATTAGTTATAGCCTTATTTGGGAAGTTTCATCTAATGACTAGAGTCAACTAAACTCCTATTTGACATATAGGAGTACAAAATAAACGCAAAATAAAATTAAAATAATATAAATACATAATGATTTAACAAAAAAGCCATTTTGATTATTCTTTAGTGATTTCCAGCCAACCCTAAATGAAACCAATTTGAAAAACTAACTTTTTTAATTAAATAACTAAATCATACCCAAAAAATACCAATATAACAGCATTCATTTAGCATCAAAAGCAGTTCAATCAATCAATGATTATAAAAAATAATCAACAGAGAAAAGCTCAATGAAACTACAATAAACAAAATGAAATTAAAATTAAAAAAAATCAGACTTTACATTCATTTATCATCCAATACTAATTAAAAAAAGCCAGATTAATCAGTTTAATAAAAAAAAGGGAGGAGAGAGAAAATGACCAGCTTGAGTAGGAGGAAGAGGCTTGGACGGGAGTTTGGCGGGCTTAGCAGCGGGTGCGGCAGCAGCCGGAGCCTTCTTATCAACGGCAACAGCCTTCTGCTCCTGCGCAGCAATGAGGAGGGCGGGATCCTCGGCATCATCATCCAACAAATTGAAGGGGTTTGTTGTTGCCATTTTCTCACTTGAAAAACCCTCGGAAAAACCCTAACCTCTCAGAATTAAATTAAACCCAGAAAAATTGAAGAGAAACCCTAGTTTAAGGATAAAGAATCCATGGAAATGAGTACAAAATTGGGGAAGAAGAGCAAATTGAGTGAGTATTAGGGAGCGAGTGATAGAGAGAGAGTGAGAGAGTAGAGAGAGAAAAACCCTAAGTATAGCGGCAGGAAAATGGGGGCTGATGGTTCAACCTCATCTTAAAAACCCTACTTCCGAATGGGATGTTATGCTGTGATTGGCCTCACTGTAAGCTTGATTATCATACAATCTTTTATTATTGTAAAAAACAAATTAAAGCTATTTTTGATAATTTTATTTTTAATCCTTTTGATGGGTTGTTTGATATGAATGAGATTTTTCTAATACCAATATAGTGAATTATTGACCTCATCGATTAAAAAATTATATAAAATAAAAATAATAATGATAATAATAAACTATATATTGTACATACTTTTTGTAAAATATATTAACTATTACTAACACAAAATGTTGTTGATGTCATCATAATCCACATGTCACTCTCATAATAAATATTTCCCGCCTAAATGTAAGGATGATGTGTGTGTGTATATATATATATATATATATATATATATATATATATATATATATATATATATATATATATATATATATATATATATATATATTTAAGTTATCATATTTAATAATTTTGAAATTTGAATATTGAAAGCTTCTACATTATAAATACAACTAAAACGAATCGTTCAGGTAGGGCACAAGTCGATTAATTCAAGTCAATCAATATAGCAAATGGGTTGTTCAGGTCGGGTCGGGTCAATTTTGGGTCAATCAATATTCGGGCGGGGTTTGGGTATGGTTGGGTAAATTCGGGTTTCGAGGTCAGTTTCAGGTTAATGGTAATTTTGGTCGGGTCAAGTATTGGGTCAACACTTTGGGTCGGGTCAGTCGTCGGGTCCAATTATCGAGTCAAGTTTGGGTCGGGTTAATCTTTGTCTATGTCGATATAGAAATTTGACCAATAATATATTATAATTATCAATAACTATATAGTATAACAATTGAGTTTTAATAATATTTTCATTAGACAGTCCAGCAGTACTGTATACACAAGATTATATTGTTTTATATGTATGATCACTATCATTAATTAATTGGTCAAAAATTCAAATAAGATAAAGTGAATAGTGGGGAAAAAAAATCAATTTAACACTTAAAAGATGAAGCTAAGAGTAGTAGTAATAATAACAATAACAAGTGTTCCTAATCAAATGGAACTCTTTATGAATTACCAACACTAAATTACACGCATATTTGATATTTCAACAGTATTATACACACAATGTTATACTGATAAAGTAATTAAGCCCTAAATCAGTTAGGTCATTTTCAGTATTTGTTAATTTTCGGGGGTCAGGTCCTTTCGGATCAGGTTCGAGTTAATCAATTCGGGTCAAAATCGAGTCGGATCACTTCGGGTCGGGTCACTTCGAGTATCAGGTAATTTCAAGCCGAGCCAATTCGGGTATCGGGTCAAGTTCAGGTCGGGTCAATTCGGGTATCGGATCAAGTTCAGGTCGGGTCAATTCGGGTATCGGGTCAAATTCGAGTCAATTTTACTTCGGGTTGGGTATGGGATGGGTTGAGTCAGCTTTGTGTTCGGGTCGAGTCAGAATTGCCAGGTCTCTATCAATTTATCATTAAAAAATGAAATAATTTTAAGCAGCTCACTAATAAATTGACTCCTACATTAATAATTTAATATATGTATTAGACATAGTTGAACAAGTATTAGAACTAAATTTTAAAAGTATAAATATTTTTGTACAAAGTGCATAATTCTTGTTTATATTCATCCATTTTTTTTTAAAAAAAAATATACAAATTATAACAATAGATTTTACAAAAAAATTTGTATACATCCGGTTTACACTAATATTAGTGTACATCAAGCAGTATAAGGGTAACTTTTAGCTAATTTTAGGGTAACTTTTTGTCTTTTTTTGGGTAACTTTAAACATAATACAATTTTTATATAAATCAACAACAAGAAAAGTTTTATAAAGGTAATTTAATTACATTCAATCACTAATAATTGATTTTTAGTCATTTAAAATTTGATTCTTTACTAATAAAGCATAGATAATTTTTATTTGAATTGGGTTACTTTAACTCATATTGGGGTAACTTTTATTCATTTCATGGGTAACTTTTAATCACTTTAGGTTATCTTTATAATGGATGTACAATAATTATTGTACACCCGATTTTTTTAAAAGTTTGAATAGATTTTATATAAATTGGCCAACTTATATAATTCATTTTTTGGCAAACATCTCTAACTACACAGAGTACCTTGTAATAAAATGTCTACCTATTTTTTCCCAAAAAAAGAAATCTACAATATTTATACCTTTCCACTAAATCTTTTTTACTTAACTCAAAGCAATTATGAAGTACTCCCTCCGTTGAAACGGATGTAGTATGTATGCTCCAACTCTAGCCCCTCCCATTTATAGATTATACTAGTACTGAACAGAAATACAGATTGACGTAAAATAAAAAGGAACTAAAAAGATACTGGTAAATAGAATACGTTAACACTTATCTATAACCATTATAAAACATGCAAAAGTATTCACTGTAGCTGGTGAATAGTTCTTTTGCGTGTTATTACATACACACCCCTAGAATGCCTTTGTTTGCCTGACAGCTAAGGTCCTTGTTGCTTGTACAGGTAGCTTTGTGTGTTGAATTTCTGATTCAGTTTTGCTTACTTGCTTTGGTTTGGGTCTTTTGCTAGCTTTTTTGCTTGATGGCCAGGTCTGGAATGGAGTTTTCTTTCTGTGGGTGGATGTTTCAGAATGGCTGGTATGTTTCCGTCGCTCTTTTTGCTATCTAGCCAGTATTTTGGTTTGTTTCTTGCATTGGAATGCCTTACTTGGGCGCCACTGCAATGTCTGTGTCAAAGGGGAAAAAAATTATGACTTTCCTAGGGTTCTTGATGTCGGTGCGGTTGTTGACCATAGTCTATATATATAGCTTGAAGGTGTTCTTTTCTTTGGACATGGCAAGCGATCCATGCGCAGTAACAGTTTCTTTTTGGCGGTGGGTGATCTGATTTCCCTGTGCGGAATTGTTTGTGTGAAAGGTGGTGCTTTGTTATGGATGATATTACATTACTTATAGTACAGGCTTCATTTGTCCATATGGTTTCTGTTTCGGATTCTCTAGCAAATTGAGCCTTAATTTACTAACAGATTATTATGTGTATTGTGATACAATGACTAATATTGAATATACAATTCTACAATGTGTTGGAAGCCTGTTATAATTCCCTATACAGATGTGTCTATGCTCATTGAATGTTCATGATAGTGGTCTCGGGTTTGTTTTTGTACTGCAGCCTCTGAGAAATGGTGATAAAATTGTCTTCATAAAATGGTTTATATAGTGTTAGTATTGTGGATATGAATGCACTAGGTAGATGGGTTAAATTGTTGTGGTAATAGGAATATCGACAAATAAATTGATTCATTTCCATGTTCTTATTTCATTTTTTTGGGGGGGTTACAGGTTTGCTGATATCATTGTTTGTGGTGGTGTTGTTGGACATTTGTTAAGGTACTTTTTCTGCTTCTTTTTATGTATTGGATGTTGGATAGTTAAGACCCTTTTTTTTATATGTGGTGCTTTACTGGTAGCTTGGCTGCATATAATAATTTTTGGGTTTATTAATTAAGTGTTTATGTAGTCTATTTCATGTCCGATTTTAGTAGAAATAGTACCTGTTAACTATTGTATGTAGAGGCAAAGTAATATTTGTTTGGTTGTTTTTATATGGCATAGCTCTTCAATGTTAGCTAATGATAGAGTATGATTGAGTGTTCAGCAATGGTTACCTTTAATTGAGTACACAGGGGTAGGGATCAGACATGGACTGGAACAAAGTTGTACATTTTGTTGGACTTATCGAGTTGTTTTCTATATATGCCTCTTCAGATTTAGAGTTTATTTTTGTTATAGAGCACCAATGGCATGATTGTTCTTTGGTGGAGTGTTTGTAATTTTAAGAATACTTATTTACGTGTATGTGTGTTTAGTACAAGATATCTGTGCTCTACTTCTAGATTTCTTATATGATTTGGCTTTGTTTCCATTGTAGCTTTCCTTTTCTAATTAGGTTTCTATTAGTGGAATTTAGTTCTATTTTTACGGTTTGGTGTGCGTAGGGTTTAGTAGTTTTGTTTAGGAGAGAAAGCCCTTTCCTCTTGTTAGATGATTTTTGGTTGAATATCGTTTTTGCCATTATAGGTTATGGCTAGACGGTCAAACAGAGTTTTTGTCCCTTTTCAGCCTCTTTTGGAAAAGGTTGTTGCTTGGCTGCAGTTCCCATCGCCGGTTTATGGATTTATAGATGCTGCTAAGAATAATGTCTTTGTGCGAGTTAGTAAGCCAAACTCTCGTGCAAGGTTCATTTCCTATGGTGGAGATGCTAGTTCAGTTGAAGAGTCTCGTGAAAGAGCGGCCCACAAAGCTGTGAAGAGATTGATGTGTCGGTTTAGTGTGCGCGTGTCTGATTTCACTTATGAGCGCATTAAGATGTATCGATTGTGTGTGAAGTTGTATAAGAATAGATGTGCTGAGTTAGTGCAGGACAGAGAAGATTTAAGTCGTATACGTGCAGAATGCAGTACAAGGGAGGATGCATCGTTTCATGATGTTCATGTGTCATTGGATTTTGCACAGTTTTTGGGAGTTTTAGTTAGGAAGTCTGGTGTTTCTGTGACTGGCATTGAAACCACTAGATTAGAAGGCCATGGCTATATGTCTTGATTAACGGTGACCTGCCTTCGTAATAGTATTTCCATGGAGTGCATTTTCAATGACCCCTGTCCTGAAGTGTACATTGCTGAGCAGCGAGTTGCAAAGAAAGCATGTTTCTTTGTAGCTTCTGTTTGCAATCTAGAAATAATTGATGCTAACTATGGTGTTGCAGCAAAGATTAGTGGAGAATGTTCTTTGATACGGGAGAATTATTTGGTTTTGAAGGACCATCTTGAATGCTTGGAGAGCAGTTCAAAGCAAACTGATTCTGTTAATGGATTAGGTACTGATGTATGTGTGACGTCGACTGATGAAGCAAATCAAATTCCAGTTTTAGCCCTCCCACCAAGTCTAATTATTATTAGAGTCTAGATTATTTTTAATTTTTTTTTAATTTTTAATTTTATTTATTTATTTTTTTATGAGTTGAAAATATCCATGCTTACGCCACTACAAGAATTATATAAATTTTATGCAGCGCCTAACTACTGTAGTTGTCAATGTCTTTGTCATGAAAATCATGAATGCCCTTATAGTGAGTTTTTTGTGCGTGCTCCGGATGATTTTAGAGTCTTTCCATATACATATGATCATATTCGGAAACGATTAGTTGCTAATGAAAGTTATTGGAAGGCTCTTGATGAAAAAGTCTATGGACACTATAATAATGTGAATGTTATTGAGGATGAAGAACCATCGGTTATAGAATTTGTGGTTGAAACATCATTGGTTGACGAACCGGTGATTGAAAAATCATTAGTTGTAGAAACGGTGGTTGAAAATTCCTTTGTTGATGATGAAGTTATGCGTAAGGGTGGAATTTTCAAGTCATTATTGGATGATAAGGACAATGACTACCTCCATGTTCGTTCTATTAATTCTAAATTTTTAACGGAGGAAGTAGAAGGTTGTGGTGTATTTTCATCTTCCTCTTTTTATTTTTCCTTCTACCTTGAGTTCTCTTTATGTGCTATATAGTGCTTAATGAAATGTTTGCAGGAGCGTTTGATAAGTTACTCAAGGCATTGAATTCTTCCGATTGAGAGAAGGAGTATGGTCGAGCGGGACCTTGATAAACTAGCGCTTTGCGGGAGGCAACCCGTATTTTGTTGCTTTTTATTTAGTTTTTTTTATTTGTTTGTGTGTTTTCTTTTTGTTTTGTTTTAGAGAGGTAGAGGAGAGTATATCTTATATTTGTGGGAGTGTGATTTTGTGCAGAGATACTAGAAAAGTCGAGAAAAGATCGAAGGGCTAAAGGAATCCCGGGGCAAATAGCAGCAGCAAGCTGCCCCGTCAAATCAGTAGCACGGGCCCGATCGGGCAGAGCTCACGTCAGCAAACTTTGTCAACTTCGACATGCCATAACTTTTGCGTTTCTTATCCGATTTTTTTGTGGGACCTGTCGTTGGAAAGCTCTTCAAGTCTAGTTTCCAATTCAATTGGAATCACTGTATTATCATTTATATATAAAAAGTTATGATCAGAATAGTGCACCTGACTCAAATTTGAACTTTTTCCCACTAACACTTTGTTTCTTTCTTGCCTAATTTTGTTCCAAAGAGATGCATTGCAATCCTCGAGGCTTTGGTGACATTGATGTGGTGATGATGAAGAGTAGTCACCTTGACTACTAGCTTCCCTTTAAGACAATGAGGACATTGTCTAATTTAGCTTGGGGGGAGGTTCTCGTGTGCGCTTGGTATATCTTTCACTCTCTCTCTTCTCTTTTTATTTTTATTTTTCTTAGTATAGATTTTATTACTTTCTTAGGTTATTTTTGTTCCAATGAATTGTAAATTATGCTTCCCTGTGCCCCTTACTTGAGAAAATTGTTTTGATTCTTAGTATTTCATGATAGGCATTGTGGATTAGTTGATCATGATTTGATGTTTGATTGCCTTGAAACCATTAACATGCGTCAATTTTGTCCAACTACTTGTGAATATAGTGCTTGACTAGTTGATTTGGTTAGGAAATGTATGATAGTTCCATAATTCCTGATATGTCAATGAATTTGAGTATTGGTTTGCAACTATTAGTAATGTTTATATGATTCATCATTATGCACATTGAGGAGGATGAAGGCATTTGTTCTTTTAGGTAGCCTCCAGATATTGTAGATACATTTGTTCCCTTCTTGCTACCCATGTTGTTGCCTTGACTTTTTGTTGTTTATTAGCCACATTACAAGCCTATTTTGCCCCATTGGTTACTAGTCCCAAGCTTGGCTTGGGGGAGCTATTAGTGAGTGAGGTAAGGGAGTTTGTAGTGTGCTTATTATTTGCACAGCTTGGGTGGGTTTTGAGAAGTTGTTTGTTTTTTATCATGTTTATTTTTGATGAGTTTGAGAGTTATATTTTCTTGAAAAAATAAAGCATGATGTTATGAAGAAAAAAAAGAGAAGTTCAAGAAAAAAAAGAGAAGAGAAAAATAAGTGAACTTCAAAAGAAAAGGAAAAAAGTGTTCAATGTTCAAATGTTCCAATTGGAGGTTGATAAAAAAAAAAATATAGTGCTTCAATAAAAAAATTCAAGTTTGGAAATAAAGTTTGTTTATTCAATCTACTTCTTCATTATTATATTTTTATGAGTGAAATTGTAAGTGTTGGGATTGTTTATATTGTTTGGAGTATATTTGGTTGATGTTAGAGTTGGTTATGTAGGAGATGTTGATCATTATTTATTTTGATCATGGGTTTTGATAGGATTTTCTCCCTTAAGCATAGCTTTTCTCTCACTTGTTCCCAAATTTATCCTACCCTTTACCCTAGCCTTACATTACAAGCTTTAAAAACCTTCCGACCTTGTGCATAGAAGTTATGTAAATGTGAAAGTGTTGTTTGTCAATGCAAGTTATGACTTGGCATATTTCGAGTCGACTAGTATGTTGAGCGTTCATTGTTCTTATACACACGAGAGTGTGAGTTGGGAGGGCATTGTTCACATAAAGGGGTTGGATGGAGAGCGATCGAGTACATCTTTTACTCGCCACAAAAATGAGAGTTGAGTGCGTGAGCACTAGTCTTGAATTCTATATGCTCTTGTGGTTTACTCTACTTGACAATTGTTAGGGAAAATTGGTAATTAGATGGATTTGATTGGTTGATTTTGAAGCATGTTTATTTGATTTACCCTGAATCGTTTGCGTTTGATTTTTACTTTTGGGGTGAAGCATATTTATTGATTCATTGATGAGATCTTTGCTTAGGGACAAGCAAAGGTTTGGCTTGGGGGAGTTTGATGTGTCTATTTTATATAGCATTTTACCCCCGTTCCTTAGTCGTAATTAGTAGTATTTTTGGCTCTTTAGAGCCATTTTTATTACTAATTGGTGTTTTCGTAGATTTGGTTGACTTTTGCAGGGATTTATGCTTTTGGAGTATTTTCCCGAGTTATTTTGGGAGCAATCGCGAGCATTGGAGAAATACGACCATCTTTGAAGCCCAAGGCCGGTTAGAGTCATCAAGCCGGTGATTAAGGGCTTGGTAATTGGGATTCCGAGGTATTTGGACCGAGTATTCAAGACCGGAAGAGGAAACCCATATTGGCCCGAAGAATTGGAGCCCAATCGTAGTCCAAATAGTGGCCCAAGAGAGCCGCCCGGCCAAAGAGGTTGGCGCCCGGAGGTGCGCCCGGCCGGGCGGGAGAAGCTAAGGCTGGCGCCCGATGACGCGCCCAGCCGAGCGCGAGATTAGTATTAGAGATAAAAAGGCGCGCCCGATCGGGCGGTGCCTCGCCCGATCGGGCGCGTGTATTTATTAGTTGACGATTAGCGTCGTTTTAGTTTGTTTTAGTTTAGGATTTGTACGGAGTATAAATACTCCTCCGTAATACGATTTTAAGAGATCTTTTTCCTCTCCCTCTTTTTACTCTTTCTTGACTCTCTTAATTGTTCTCTTAGATTTCTTTCTCCAAAACCTTTGTTCTTAATCTACTCTTAATTCCAGATTTATTTTGATAACGATCTCTCTTCTCTTAATCTTAGTTGTTTATTTTATTCCTTTCATCATGACTTATTTTATTGCTTTGATTAGTTTAGTTATTAATATGTGTGAGTAGTTTTAATTCTAGGGTTTAAGGGGATCCATAAATAATATGAAAGGGTTATTTGTTGTTGTTGATTGTCAATGCTAGATTAATTTCCTATTGATTAATTTAATGCTCTGTGACTAGATTAGGCCTATCTTTTATGCATGAGTTTGACAACATTGATTCGAGATTCGAGAGATGAGAGTTGATGTTTAGGTCTAGTTTCAATAGGCAGATTAATTTATAAATGGTTAAGTCGAGATTCGAGAGATGAGATTTAATACCGGTAAATTAATTGTGTGATTGTAATACGTAGCGAAAGCCCTTAACAATCTGGTTAATTGATGCATTAATGATTGACTATTATTGATTATTGGTATTGCATGATAATTTATTATTGAATTGTTTTAACGTTTTACAATTACGGCTTGTAAAAGTATAGCAATATTGAATTGATGAATCGAGCAGATGTTAATTTGATATTAAAGGCTATTTTCAATAAGAGATCAGATCTAGTAAATTACGAGAGCCTGTTAGATCTATGTTGATTAATAAATTGCGAGAGCCTGTTAATCATGTTATTTATGCAATGTCAATGATTGATTATTATGTTTTACCCTGGAGTATTATTTATTGGTGAACCTATGCCCTAGATACTTTTATATATTGTTTTCTCCCTATTCTCATTCTTTGTAGTTTAGTTTCATACTCAAATATAAATATTGGTTACTTCATAATCTAGATTATTTTAGTTAATTAGGAATAGAAAGACTTGTTTCCCTGTGGAGATCGACCCTACTTCCCTATCTACATTAGTTAGAGGATTTAGGCATTACTTTTGATTAGGGGATACGACTTTACCCTATCAGCTATCAACAACTGTCCTGAGAAATTCAATGTTGTAGGATTTACTGCATTCAAAACCCGTCACACAAGAGGTACAATTAGTAGCATTAGTGTAGATATCACACTCATCATCACTTACCAGATATCAAATTAATTTACTGCTTCTTCACAGGGTTCACTTTGAATACAACAATTTCAACTAGAATAATCATGAATCCTAAGGGAGCAAGGGCAGACATGCTTCGAGAATGGTACTTAGTATTTTATTTATTATTTATTATAAATGTAAAATTAAGCCACAAACAAATATTCGCATAACTGAGTCCATTTTGTTGTTTCAGGGTTAAATTATATTAGCATGTCCTGCTAGACAGACAAGAAAGAATTCTGAACGTAAGATATCCAAGCGCAGAAAAGAAAGTAGTGACGATAGCTGAACTAAGAAGCAAAAAGGTCAAGGCTTTTAAAATCCACTTCTAATTTTACATTTTCTTCCTTTACAGTGCATTATTCTTTTCAAATATAGCAGTTAATTCCTAGCTAATGTATGATTACTTGCATTAATGCAGACAGCTAATGCAACTCCCGATGAAGTTGCTTGGATCGAAGTTACAATATCAGAAGCTGATCTGCAGAGAGTGAATGCCTATGTAGGTTGCCTTGGTTGTGGAAAACGGACACATCTTGCACTTGGGACTCGGTTCCCTTGCATTTCTTGCAAGAAAGGAGACACCGTAGCTGTACACAAGTACAGTGTTAACACCTTGCCTCGTATTATTTTTCTTACAATAAAATATAATGCAAGACTTAGATTTATTTTTCTGTATGCATCTGCAGAGTTACATTCAAGTTTGAAGCTGTTGATCACAGTGGAACGATGTCATTTACAACTTTTAGTGATGATACGAAAAAGATTTTCCGAAAGACAGCAGCAGAAATTTGGGATATCAAAGCCACTGTAAGAATTTTTGCTAATACTATCTTCTTTGCATTTTTGCAAGTTCAGTTCAAGTGTGTCTACACTTATATACAATATCACGGGTAGATACGCTGTACATTTCGCATTCAATACACTTATCTGTATCAGGCAAAACCTACAGTGCTCATCACAGTTGCTTATGAAAGATATACATTTTTATTAGTTCATGTTTCAATTATTAGATTACATAATGTCTACATTGCTCATAGTATACCTAATACTTACATAATACCTTTACTTTTGTAGGGGAATGTCGAAGCTTTTAAGGTTGTCCAGACTATACTAGCAACAAAGCCTTTCTTGATTCAGGTAACTCCGACTCTGGATTTAGCCAGGAACATCGTTCTCTTATGGACTCTGAAGACTGTTGAAATAGATGATGCAGAACCACATGTCCAGGTTCTAAGCTCACCGTCTTTGCAGCCTAACAAAGAACAGCCTGCCTTTGGAACAGATAAAAGGCACACAACAGACCGACTACTGATGCATGGGAGTCCAGCTTCTCCCTGCACTAAGGCTCATAGCAAAGGAATTGTTGTTTCTGACCCAGAGCTAACTGCTGATTACAGTCAAGAAAACACAGAGGCAAGTTATGAGGTCCTTGCTGAAATTGCTCAGTTCCATGAATTCAGTCTAGCTTCTCAAACATTCGATGCAGACTGCTTTGATGTTCCAGTGCAGCCACCGAGCAAAGGGATTACAATTTCAGAACCAGCGGCATCATATGCTCAGCTCCCTACTTGGAACAAGCTTGCTCGCACCCGCAGCAATGTCAAGAACAAACAGCCAGCGCTTGTTGAGGAGATGTTGGAATCAGATGACGAAGATCAGGTTCCGAGGAAGAAACTCAGAACAACCCTTTTCAAAGACACTTCAGAGAAAGACAGGGCAGAGAGCAAAGAGACTCCTTGAAGCCTCCTTGATGAACCATGAACTAAGTGAACTTTAAAAATATTAGAGTACATTAGCTGTTGCAATTTAAATAGTGGTAGTAATCTAGTATTATGGTGTCATGCCTTACTTAGTCTAAAGTACCTTTTGAATGTTTAGAAGGAACATTTTGGGCATCTTTTGTTCCCTATAAACATCAAGTATCGTACAGAGTGCTAGGAATATGCAGTAATGGCTACTTTATGATAGTATCTAAGGAATAGTATTGTAGTAGAACTGGAATCTTTTGGTGTGTATATAGAAATGCTAAGGTACCTATGATGTAGCACATTGTATCCTTAAATCAGGATACTTATCTATAATATAACCTATGTTATTATAACTTCCTGCTTTAAGTGTTGCAAAATATACTCTTCAGTACAGCTTAAAGCTTTGCAAAAATGGTTTTTTCCCTTTTTAACATCTGAACACTTATCAAATTATATACACTCTTTAGATTTTAACTTGAAGTTTTTGAAAAGAAAAAAAAATTGCAGCATGGTCTACTTCTGTTCATCAGAGGTAGTGCTATTTCTCATATTAGTAGCCTTGATAATTATACTATCCATGGTCCCTTTGGTAAAAGAGTAACCCTGCACGTGTAAATTCAAGTTCGTGCAAAAACGAGGGTATCAAACAGCTATAACAAACAAAGAACAAGGAAGCTTTTACTCCTCTGCAGGACATGAAATCAGTCTGTCTCGGCTTAAGGTATATTCTGCTTTCTTCTACATGAACCATTTTTCAGTCTGAAACTACTATGCTTATATACTTGCATTTTTTTTGGCATACATACTTACCAATAGCTATATTGAACTTATAATGCTTTAAATGCATGCCCTCTCTAATGATACAAATCAGACACTGTTATATACGTGCTGCCTATATCAGTAATATCTTATTTGCTAACTATGGACTAATGGTTCATGTTTGTGACCCCTCTTCTCGAAGCTGGCAGATTGCTCTAATTTCAATAGGTTGCAGTTTGTGACCCCTCTTCTCCAAGAAAGTCCTCCTTCCTATGGGGAAGTTCAATGTGCTCCCCGTCAATCACAATCACATTCTCATATAGGACTACATTCGGAATTAGCTGCAGAACATCAATTTTCACTTAAGAGGTTGGCCATTGCAATTCAGTAAAAATTATACACATTATTTTGGATTCAATCAGTTGTTGCAAGGAAAAAGAGAAAAATAAAACCTTATGGTAGACTCTTTCATTTTGGACAGCAGTGAGAGGATCCATTCCCAAAACAAAATGGTTTAGGAAAACCTGGGTTACTGCTGGAATTATGTTCATCCCACCACTACCACCTATAACTCCTGCCAGTTGATCATCCTGTCAATTAACCAAAATAGGAAACATGATCAAACTTCTCAAAAGACAATAAGGGTAGAGAATATTAATTTAATGTTTTCCTTTTATCTTACCTTGAGAATAATGAGGGGAGTCATCGAAGACAAGGGTCGTTTTCCTGGTTGTATAAAATTTGCAGGATCAGGAGGAGGACTGTCAGGACTTACTTCTGCAGGAGTTGAAAAATCACCCATTTCGTTATGTAACACGATCCCAGTAGAAGGGGATAACACCCCGCCTCCAAATGGATAGTTGACTGTTGTTGTTACTGACACTGCATTTCTCTCTGCATCAACGATGTAGAAATGACTCGTTCCATTATCTTGTAGCTGACTCCACCTACATAATTCAAGCATTTGGTAAATTTTACTGTAAAACCTTCCCACTTTAATTTCCTTTCCCTTTATCAGTCTATCTTAAGGTAGTTAATGAATCCTTCCTTTATATACCTGCTCAGGTAATATTCAGGAGGGAAAGTTGTGTTATCATATATCTTATGCCAAATTTCCTTCGCAAAAGATGTGGAAGTCATGTCGGACATATACTTGGTAATATTAACATAAGCAGGATCACCAAAGTTCATTCTGACAGCAAACATATGTTTCATTTGCTAACTGATGCTAAGACCTTATAAATACATGTTTACAATAGACACAAACATTACTTTGTTAGCTACATTACAATTTCATTACATGATTAGATGTGGCATAGACAACATTAGTCATTCTCCTAAACCACTTATCAATATCAACCAAGTATACAACATAGCAAATTGTAGTCATAAGCAATAAACAACAAATTCAACAGAAAAAACACAAAAAATTTATTAAAAAAACCGGAAGAAACTCAAGCATTATATATATACTTCATGTCTTGATACATTATTTAATTACAACTACGGGTGGGACTTCGGTCTGGCAGTTCGGTTTGACCTCAGTTTGAAACGGTTTCGGTTTGAAACGGTTCGGGTTAAAACGGTTTCATTTAGACGGCGGGTCGGTTCAGTTCGGTTTTGATTAGTCACAGGTCGGTTCGGTTTCGGTTTATTTTTGTACGATTTAAATTCGGTTCGGGTCATAAACGGTTCGGTTTATAAACAGTTCGGGTCATAATCAGATCGGTTAGAAACGGGTTGCTTCAGGGGCGGATTTACTCGGGTCAATGCCGGTTCGGTTTTTAAACGGTTCGGTTAATAATCGGGTCGGTTTGAAACAGGTCGGTTCAGGGGCGGGTTTACCCGGGTCAATGCCCGTTCGGTTTATAAACGGTTTGGGTCATGATCTGACCGGTTTGAAACGGATCGGTTCAGGGGCGGTTTTACCGGGTCAACGTCGGTCCGGGTTCATATCGGTTCGGGTCATGAACGGATTATTTTAAAATGGGTCGGTTCAGGGACGGGTTTACCCGGGTTAATGCTAGTTCGATTCATATCGGTTCGGTTTATACTCGGTTTGGTGCTAAAATCGTTCGGGTTAGTTTGGTAATCGGTTAAATTGGATCGGGTTGAAATCGAGTTCTAAAAAGTGGTTTCGACCAGTTAGCGCGTTTTGTTTTATATCAAGTTGGGACTAGTATTTCCATTTCATTAGCGGGTCGGCATAGGTTGGTGAAAAAAATAATGGATCGAGTAGAAATTGGGTTTTAAGAGATTTTTGACCGGTTAGCTATTTTCGTTTTATATAAAGTTGGGACTTCGTCACTTTATTTTCAGACATCGGATTATATACAATTACACAAATCTTCATTTATTCAATTATTCTATATCATGTTAATATGTTATGTTTCAAGTTTGGTTATACTCTTGTTGTTGTTTATTCGATATTATCATATTAGTCTATTACAAATTTATAATGTATTAATGTATTATTGTTTCATTATTAAATATATATTATTAGGTTATTAGCTTCTTGTTGGATTGTTTTAGATATCGTGTCATGACCATGTTTTGATGAGTTGCTACTTTGAATACGATAAATCGATTCAGATATCAGATTATATAGAATTACAGAAATTCTCATTCATTCTATATCATGTTAATGTGTTATGTTTCAAATTTGGTTATAGTCTTGTTGTTGTTTATTAAATATTAGTCTATTACAAATTTATAAGGTATTAATGTATTATTGTTTCATTATCAAATATTATCAGGCTATCAGCTTCTTGTTTTAAAGATCGCGTCATAACCATGATTTGATGAATTGGTACTTTGAATACGATAAATCGATAATTGATATTGTAATAAACTAATAATTTAATGTTACGGAACTATATTTGGATGTTTAATTAAAATCACGATTATTCAATTTCCCATTAGTCTAATAAAGTAATAATTGACAATTGTTTGTAACTATTCCATAATTTTGGTGTTAAAGTTATATTGCTGAATTACTTTGTTGTCTTACCCTCTCTAATCACCTTTTAAGATTACGTGCCTACAAGGCTGCAACATATATATGTTGCAACTTGCAAGTTAAAGAAAACGGGTGGGGAAGTAGAAGTATTCAATTAGATCGATCATCAACTGTTTTAAGTTTTAATAATCAGATACATTTATCGATTATCTATACATACCAATGATAGTATGACACCAATCGTACCATACATTATTATTTATTACATATACTGATATACATATAACTAATATACATTAAATATGTCATATTGAATCAATTCCAATTTCCAAACATTTGTGTTTCTTACAATTTATAAGTTACATAAAGTTAAGAGTACAGTAGTGTTTTTATTAGTACGTAGCTATGAATAAAAAAAAAATATTATCCAAATCCATTATCCCATGATCCGTGTCACCGTCTTATATTAAATATCAGCCATTGATTTGCATGTCATCTAACGACCTATCATCGCACACATTCCAATTCACGATCCGTGTGTTTTCTTTTCCACCAATCAGATCACTCTTACCATCGTCTCTTTAGTACTCTTTTTGATTTCTCTCTCGTTTTCTTAATCCTCTTCTGTAATATTATCAATTTTTTGAAGCCATGGCTGCTAATATGCCCACTGCTCTCTCGTTTTCTCTCTCATCTCCTCTTCCTTCTTCCTTTCTTCTTCTTCCTTCTTCTCCCTTCTTCCGTCTATGTTCTCCTTTCTTCCATCTCGTTTCTCCGTCTCCGTCCACCGGCACCACGCACGACGGTTTTTATGGTCAAATTCGACCACGAAACTCTAGATCTAGTTGTTTCATGATCGAATTTGGCCTTTTAAAACCAAATTCGAGGCCAAATTCAGGATTAATATATAAGGTGTTTTCGTTCTTCCTTTTTTTATTTTCTGTTTTTCTTTTTAATTTTTTTTCAAGTTGTGGGCAACGGAGGGGGCCGAGTTAAGGTGGGTGCGGCGGCGGTTAGACTGGGTTCGGGTGGGTGGGGAGGGAGGATTTTTCGAGGGAGGGAGGGAGTTTTATGGTGGGTGAGCAATTAGAGTGGGTTGGGGGGTTTCGAGGATGTTGGGTTTCGTGGGGGTGGGTGGGGTGGGGTTACGGTGGGTTTGGGTTTTTTTTCGATTTTTTTGTATGGGGTGGGGTGGGGTGTGTTACGGCGACGGTGGTGGGTGTGGTTGGGGTTGGGTCTGGTTTTTTTTTTTTTTTTTTTTTTTTTTTTTTTTTTTACAGTGACGGTGGTGGGTGGGGTGGGGTGGGGTTTGTTAAGGGGGTGGGGTGGAGTACGTTACGGTGATGGTGGTAGGTGGGGTGGGGTATGGGTCTGGGTTTTTATTATTTACGGTGACGGTGGTGGATGGGGTGGGGTAAGGTTTGGGTCTGGGTTTTTTTATTTATGGTGGGTGGTGGGGTGGGGTGGGGTGGGTTACGGTAATTATGGTGGGTGCGGGGGTGGTGTTAGGGTGGGTCTGGGTTGACGTTGGTGGGGTGGGGGTGGGTTACGGTAACGGTGGTGGGGTGGGGGTGGGTTACGGTAACGGTGGTGGGTGGGGGGTAGTGTTAGGGTGGGTCTGGGGTGACGGCGGGGGTGGTGTTAGGGTGGGTTACGGTGGTGGGTGGGTGGAGGGTGGTTGGATTGGGTGGGTGGCCAAATTTTTTCATTTTTTATTTAATTTATAACTCCTAATTTAGTTATACAAGAATATAATTTTAATTTTATAATAGCAAAAAAATTTACAAATTTAAATCAATAATTATATGTAAAAAAAATTGTACTGTTAAATTACATTAAACATCAAATATATTTCGTGGAATTCTAACAAATTGTTAAAGGCTGTAAATAGTTCAATTTGAATGGAACGGGTTGTAAACGGTTCGGTTTAAATAGTTTGTAATCGGATCGGTTTAAACGGGTTGCGGTTTGAAAATAGTTCGGTTTAAACGGTTTAATGGGTTATAACAGTTCGGTTTAAACGGTTAGCGGGTTGTAAATGGTTCGATTTAAACGGTTTTTTCCTACGGTTTAAACGGTTTCGGTTTATAAACGGTTCGGTTTAATTAGTTAGCGGGTTAACATTAATCGGTTCAAACGGTTTCGGTTTATAAACGGTTTGGTTTGTTATTGGTTTACGGTTCGTAACGGGTTAACATTAATTGGTTCGGTTCGGTTTCGGTTTGACATTATACGGTTCAATTCGGTTTTCGGTTTAAAATTAGCGGGTTATAAACGGTTCGGTCCGTGATGGTTCGGTTCGGTAACGGACGGTTTTACGGTTCGGTTTGAAAAGTCCCACCCCTAATTACAACTTAGCAGACTATCTTTATACCTACAGATACCCCCATCATCCTACCATAATAGTTTGCTTCTTAAATCTAATACCAAAAGAACCCTAAATATAAGGCCCTACCTACATATTATCACTTCATTAGAACCACAAAAAATAACCTTACAAAAGCCAATAAACACTACAAAAGCAAAAGCCACTATTCTACCAGCCAATTACGGACTTCTCCTTCTATACATGTCAGAATCTTCACTTGATTCCTGATCTCCACCATAATAATTGCCAGAATCAGAATCAAAACCACTATCATTAGCAGCGTCAGAGTAGTCACTGCGATCAGGACCACTATCTGATTCAAGTAGTCCAGATGATTCCGGGACATAATCTTCGTCATCTTCATTATATGAGTCAGAAATCAAAGCACTTTCTAACTCTACACCACTCTCATGGTCTTCCTCAGTCTCGTCCTCTTCACCACTATCACGATCTTCCTCGGTCTTGTCCTCTCCAGCAGGCTCAGCTACTATCTGAATTTCATCTTTGTCATGCTCACTGTCAATTTCAATAACAATCACTTTCAATTGCCGCTCATCTTGTTCCACTTCCCGCTTCCTCTTATTGATGTGTTCGCCTTCTTGCGCCTTCCCCTTTCTGTTTCGTCTCCCTTGTTGTAGTACTTAAAGGTGCCTGTTCATTTTCTCTTTAACATCCGCACAGTAAGAAAGGAAACTAGCAATGTTTTCATCTTCTGACTTATTTGAGTTCGGCTTCCAGACAGGTGGTGTAAATCCTTTACCGGAGCTAGCAGTACTATCCACACTCCCCATTTCCTTCAACCAAAACAAAGACCCAGTGAAGAAGGAACAAAAAGCAGAAGCTGAACAGAACAGAACAGTAACGCTTAATATTTGACCCTCCCAAAAAAATATAGCCTGTATTATATACCCACAGTCAAACGTCCCTTTTCATATTCCACTAATAGACATAATTAGCTATAAATGCAATCACCAGAAAATCTAACAATAGAATGTCCCTTTTCATATAGTACTTTCTTTTTAGCATGATATCTAACCACACGTGTACTAAATACGGTTAGAAGCTTTCTCTTGTCTATTTTAGACACGCTATAATTCTAACACAACAAATCCTTGCGTAAAATCGGAAACGTATCATTTAGATATACATAAATAGCAAACATACCCGTAATTTTAAAATTTGTTACTCGATACAACATTCACAATAGGAACACTAACACTAATGAATAAAATTATGTACTACACAATTATATTGTTTCCCCCTAATACCGCAAGAGGTATTTGTTATCTCATACTGTAAAAGAACCACGAATATCGCAATTGCAATACAACTCAACGAATATTGCTTATCTTGCCGTCGGGGGGCACGCGCACTCCAACGACTAGTCTATTACAAATTTACAATGGTACATATCTAATCCTGTTCGATTAAGATTTTGTTTTTTCCCAACAATGGCCAACCAGCACTTTTCAGCCTCAACGCACCAGTCTCAAAGCTTCTGTTCATTAGTAGATTTATAAGCATAGAACCTGTTAATAATATTTCGGCTCTAGTGAAAACCGGCAAGATTTCATCGTTTGAGTTCTTGACATCAAACCAAACACAGCGAATCCTGCCACCAAACGATGCTTCCTTATGGTACAGCTACTGATCAGTTGGGGAAAGAAGGGGGGGGGGAAAGAGAAATTTGCTAGAAAGCAACTTGAAGCCATATGCAACAAAACAGTGTCAGCCACAAAATGGTAAACATTGCAAAGACTAAGTTTCTTTATATACAAAGTATATACTCCTAAGATATATGTACATATACACCAGGCATCACAGCAGTAGCAACCTGCAAAAAATGTAGTCATACAAAAAACAAGGGAAGAACTCCCTCTGTTCTTGGAAGTTGCTGAGCCGAACATTCCCCAAAATCATTACATCATCATATACACTGAAGAGCAAAATTCATCCATCATGATTAGCATTTTAACTTTCATATCCCTTGCCGAAGCAGCACACTAGGACCTCTAGCATGGACTCCTAATCCAGAAATTTCTGTAGTACACACCGATTATGAAAACATGGAAATTGTCAGACCACCCTTATTTAAAAGAAGGAAATGAAGGGAAAAAATGAAAAGAAAAGAAAAGAAATGAACAATTTTAAACAGGAAGGGCATAACAGGAGAGATATATAGACCAACAACGAACTACTTAATGCTTGAGCTTTTAAAATTCACTTGTTTGATTCTAAAACAGTAGAAATATCAAGTTATTACCAATACAGTGATTTGATCACTTTGACTGCAGCTTCGTCTTCAAACTTTCAATTTCTTCTATTTGTTTCTACAGATAGGGAAACAGACAAATTTGAGGAAATGATCACAAATATTCTTCTTGGAAAAAAAAAAAAATCACTTTACAGATGCATGTAACCTTATGCAATGTATTCCACCACGCGTTCGATCTCTCTTGAAGCATTCGCCAATCTAGTGCCATCTCATACTCAAGGTTGTTAGGTTGAGAAGTATGAGAAGTAGAAACTGCTTCTCTCTGATAGAAAAAGTCAGAAACATCAATATAGAGAAGACTAGGCAACTTCAAAGTAGGAAACAAAAGCAAGATGCTAATAAAAGTACTACAAGACGAAGCCAAAAACATAAACCAGCAAATTAACGTTACCAATTCTCGTGACATTTGGTTTCTAAGCTTATCAATGACCAGATGCCCAGGAAATGAAGACTTCTTTCCAAAGAAGGTTAGAACTTTAAAGACACCTACAAGAGCCCTGAAAGCATATGTAAGTTACGCTCTGAACAAATAGTAAAGATTTATAGATTCATATAGCATGGAAAGGGGTTCCCTTAAAAACTCATCAAGATTATATTCATGAAAATATTGGCAAGCTACAAAATAACAGAAAAAGGCTTCTCTTGGAAACAACAAAACTCCCCTTAAAATCTCTTGGACATCCACCGATACTTAATTTCTAACCTCGCATATATCATAGCACAAGAAATACTACATTCAACAAAAAGTCATCACAGAAAAGGTAATTCCCCAACAAGACAATAACCCATCTACACCTCCCAAGTCCCAAAAGAGAGGATTCTAGGCTTTGACAAAATCATTAACCAAATAATTCAATTTCACAACACATTGGAGTATGGACTACTTCTGGTGCAAGCACAGTAAATTAGACTAAAAAAAAAAGGCCAAGGACCATGAAGCAGATGAAGAAGCTTCTTCTCCAAGATCTGGGAACAAGATATTGACCTCACTGCCTGGAAATGATGTCCTGAAAAGAATTTCCACCATTTATTTGCAAAACTAAACAACCAAGACATACTGCACAATACACAAAGAAAAAGGAACGTACCAATTCTTGAATAGAAATAAGTTAAATAGCAGCACATTTAACAATTAACCCCTAAGATAGGACAGTTGAGCATGTCTTATGAGTATTTATCTCACTTCCAGGCTACACAGACGTCTACAGATTCAAACAATCATTCAGTTTCACCACTTAACTGCCAGAAAAAGGCTCATTGGTGTCTGGCCCAACTCATTATACCCATTCCCTATTTACAACAGCAGTAAACAGCGGCTCGGAACCTTGCCTACAGATATCAACTTTAGAATTGGAAGTGGAGGATGAAGTTCAATGAAAGATGATCTTGCACGATGTATCAAAGTTGCAATCACATTCATGCACATAATAATCAAAGATCTAGCACAATGTATCTAAGAAGTTACAATCACAGGCACAGTTATGAATGATTAATAAAACACCCTTTTTCCCTTCTCAACTCTACCCCTCTCCTCTCCCACCCCACCTACCATAGCAAGCAAGAACACACACACACACACAATATATAGTTGCACAAACCTTCCATTAGGGAGAATTAAGCACTCCTCATCAAGCTTCCTAACAATCTTCTTTGCAGCTTCCGGAGTTTTAAAAATAGCAAAAGCTTGTCCTACAAGCAGGATATTCAACATAACTCAACATCATAACAAACTAAAGATTTAAGGTTATGTAAAAAAATTCTTAGTAGTATAGGGTGACTTGCCAGAATGTGGGCTAGATAAGGCAGTATGAGGCACCATTTTTGCTGTGCAACCGTATCCAAGACCATGCCATACTATGTTCTGACATAAAATGCAGGCATTCCCAATATTAAAGGTATGCTCCAGAAACAGACAAATTCAAGCAAAATATTATCCTGCAGCCAATTTTCTTTCTTCTTTATTTGTGCTGGCGTGTGTTTTGGGCATGGAAGAGCAATAAATCAACACTACATAAATAGCTCAACAAGAAGGATCAACTTTTGTATGTGCAGGGAAGAAAAAGAAAATAGGTTCCATAACTCTAGGTAGATCACTTCTCGAATCTCATGACTATAAAGCATGCACGTGATTTTATTTCTTTTAGCGAGGTCTTTCATTAATCCTGAATCCTGATAAGTTTCAATTTCCAATCACATATGTATAGAAATCCAAAAATGGATATGCAACACAAAAAGCAAAATAAAATGACAAGACCACATTGTTTATAAAATCAACCATTTAAAAAAAAAAAAAAAGCAGACCTTTAGAGACATTAACAGTAAAGACTGAAACAGAAAATATTGGTTATTACAACATGCTTGGAATTTATCCTAGAGCTCATTGACAAGAAGACAAACTTAAACTTGTTACAGAAGCCAAATACATAAACAAACACATTACTCCTTATTTAATAAATAATAAAATCCAAAAGGTCATTACCTCAACTTCGTGTGAGGTGTATGTGGGATCCAAATTCAAGAGCAGAACAAGAGTTTTCCGATCATGGGCTTCCTTCATTCTTTCTTCCCAAGGCTGGAACACATGTTTCGTAAACTCGTTGGAAGGCATTTAAAATAAATAACCTCATTCAAAATAATAATAAAAAGTTTAATTGAGCTTCCTTGGTGTAAAAATAAAGAGCTTGTTTCCACTAAAAGTCTAAAAATGACTAAAAGTCTAAAAAAAAAAAAAAGCATGTTAAGTCCTATATGCTCTCTAAGAGTCATCATCTTCAGTTTGTAATATTTTTTACAAGTTCATTTATTTCTCTACAAATTTAATTCAGGTATATTTTTAATATTTATAAAAGGGACACTTAACACATCGATCAAGAAAGGATTGATCTACATTCATGCATACATTGGCTATCTTAGGCTTTGTTTAATTCACCTTATTTTTGCTTACATGATCTGAACTTATTTTTTCCTAATCTAATCTAACTGTCTAATTTGAGTAAAATTGGACCTTATGTGTACGCTAATCTACAAGGAAAATAAATATCAATTGAATTTATTGTTGGTTTGTTGTATTCTCTTTGTTTAGGTTAGGCTTTGTTGGTGTACTTGAGGGCTTGCCCTGATCCTGCTTTAAATTTAGTTTATTAGTAATATATTCTTACTTGCTTACCAAAAATTTTAAGAAAATAATAAAAATGATTAGCATTACATAACTCACATATCAAATCTTCAAATAAATGCCTCAAATAGTATAGGAGATATTCTAGTGTATCTAGGATATTATATTATTGTGATATTATTGTGCATATCTTAGGAAATATATCTTGTGAAAAGATATGATAGAATATTGAGGATATTATTATCCTAAGTGTTATATATTCATGTATTGTGACCATTGTTATGAGAAGGAATACAGAAAGTATTTTGATGAATTGTGCTAGATTTAACATGGTATCAAGAGCCTAGTTAAGGTCTAAATTTTTTTTTTACGTACGTTCGATTTCCATAATTGATGTACGATAGTCTGTGAGCAGGTTTTTTTCTTGTTCAATTTTTTTGGTTTTTGTTCGTTTAGTGTTCTGTTTTCTTACCTCTGCTACGTCGTGACTGATGACGGGTGGTGCTGGCGGCTCTGGTGGTGACGGTGGGAAAACTAAGGTGGACATGACTTATCACCTAGGTTCGAGTGATGGACCCGGGAATGTTATCACTCCGATACAACTTCGGGGTGAAAACTACAATGAGTGGGCGAGGGCTATTCGTACCTCGTTGAAGGCTAAACGTAAGTATGGTTTTGTTGATGGAAGTATCAAGAAACCTACTGATAAAGAGAAATTGGAGGATTGGGAGGCTATTCATTCAATGTTAGTCTCGTGGATCACAAATACGTTGGACCCTTCGGTAAGGGCAACGATTGGAGAGTATGATGATGCTCTTCTCTTGTGGAACAATTTAAAGAACCGCTTTGTGTGGTTAATGGCACTCGAATTTGTCAATTGAAGATGTCCTTGAGTTATTGCAAGCAAGGAAAGACGGATTCAGTGGCTGTTTATTTTGGTCGAATTACCAAAATTTGGGATGAACTCAACACCTACATCACTGTCCCATCTTGCTCTTGCGGTGCATGTACATGTAATATTGTGGCTCAAGTTGAAAAATTGAGGCAGGAAGATTTTGTTCATCATTTTTTAATCGGGTTGGATGATGTTTAAGGCTCGATTAGGGGTCAATTATTGGCTCAAGATCCTTTACCATCGGTTGATAGAGCTTATCAACAAATCATCCAGGCGGAGCGCTTGAAAGGAGGAGAGGTGCGTGAAAGTCCTATGGCTTTCAAACTTCAGCATGACACTAATGCTAAACCGCAACGATCAATGGGTGGCTCCGACAAAATTTGCGCTCATTGCAATCGCTCCGGCCATGATGAGACGGACTGTTATCAGCTTAATGGTTATCCGTCTTGGTGGGGAGACCGTCCCCGTGGAGGTAGGGGCCGAGGTCGAGGGGACTCGGGCTCTGGCAGAGGGGGAGGTCGTTCAGGGGGTCGAGGCGCTGCTGGTCAGCAGGTGCGTGCCAACAAGACGGTTGGACAGTCGTCCTCTAATCCCACGCAAGGAGGAGGTGCTACGGCCAACGATGGAGCTGCTCTTGTGGGTGTTTCTCCCACCCAAATTCAGCAACTTATTGATCACTTGAACAGTATGAAACCAAAATTACAGGGTAAAGATCACCTAGGTTGGATCGTTGACACCGGCGCATCCAATCATGTAACTAGTGACTTGACTTTGATGACAAATGTGACTGATGTGCAACATTGTCGTCCAGTTGGCCTTCCGGATGGAAAGAGTGCTAATGCATCTAAAATTGGCACTGTTATTTTACAAGGGGGATTGAACATTAATAATGTTTTATTTGTGCCCCAATTGAATTGCAACTTGATTTCTGCAACTCAATTATGTGATGAATTAAATTGTACTCTGCAATTTACTAACAAAATTTGTGTTACACAGGACCTAACGACGAGGAAGGTGATTGGAGCGGGTGAACGTGTGGATGGACTTTATTATTTCCGTGGTGTTCCTGTGGTGAAGGCTTTGAAGGTTGTTCAAGTCGACAGAGTTGTGGCATCAACGAATGAGACATCCGTCGGAAAAAATATTGCAACATCTTTCCGTTGTGAGTAGTTCTACTAGAAATTCTAAAAATAAATCTTGTGATGTATGCCCTAGAGCAAAACAACATAGGAGTAGTTTTCCCATTAGCAATAATAAAGCTAGTCGTATTTTTGAACTTATTCATGTAGATTTATGGGGACCCTACAAGACTCAATCGACTTGTGGTTCTCATTATTTCTTAACTATAGTTGATGATTTTTCAAGAGGAGTGTGGACGTATTTAATACGGAATAAAACTGAGGTTGAATACATGTTTCTCAATTTTGTTGCTTTGGTGAAACGTCAATTTGATAGTGAAATCAAAGTGGTTCGTAGTGATAATGGCACTGAATTTAACTCCTTGAAAAATTATTTTTTTGCTAATGGGATTATCTTTGAAACCTCGTGTGTGGGAACGCCTCAACAAAATGGGCGTGTAGAACGAAAACATCAACATATTCTTAATGCAGCTCGTGCCTTGCGGTTTCAAGCTAACTTACCTCGGAAATTTTGGGGGGAATGTGTGCAAGCAGCATGTTATTTGATTAATAGACTTCCTCCTAGATTGCTTGATTACAAAACTCCGTTTGAGATTTTGTTTGGAAAACAACCCTTGTATGACTCCATTAAGGTGTTTGGGTGTTTGTGTTATGCTCACAATCAACGAAGCAAGGGTGACAAGTTTGATAGTCGGAGTAGAAGGTGCGTGTTTTTGGGATATCCGTTTGGTAAGAAAGGATGGAAGGTGTATGATTTGGAGACTAAGGAGAGTTTTGTTTCTCGTGATGTGCAATTTATTGAGGATGAATTTCCTTGGAATAGGCATGATGTGTACTATGTTCGAAGCTCTACAATGGTGCACCCTTCGGAATTTGTGGGGAGTGAAGATGAGGGGGGCAGCGAGGTGGAGAGTGAGTGCGAGGGACGTAATGTGTGCCCTCGGAAGAGACCGCAGGTGGCTTGCGGCAGGAACAGCAGCACAGCAGCGAACCTGCGGCACGGACTGCTGAGGAGCACTAGAAGAGACCGCAGGTGGCTTGCGGCAGGAACAGCAGCACCGCAGCCAACCTGCGGCAGGGACTGCCGAGGAGCCTAGCACGTCTGCTGAGGCTGCTGGAGTTCCAGCGGCAGCCGGGTGTACTCACCATAGCAACGAGCAGACAACAGCTACGGAGGATCCGAGTGCGGGTGATCTCGAGGTCTTCGAGCATGCTGACAATGCAAACACCATGGGTAAAGGCAAGCGCCAAAAATTTCCGTCGGTCAAATTTCGCGATTATGTGACACACACCATACGGAATAAAAGTACATCACCGCCTCACCGCTCGTCTAAGACACCTTCCTCAGGTACTGTTTATCCCATAACACATTTTGTTGATTCTCACCGTTTTTCTGTGCAACATAGAAAATATATTGCAGCTATCACAGGAAGCAATGAGCCAAGAAATTTTAAAGAGGCTATGAAGCATGAAGGTTGGAGGAAGGCAATGGCCGATGAGATTCAAGCTCTTGAAGAACAAGGCACCTGGGTCTTAGAAGATTTACCTCGTGGTAAAAAGGCACTCGGTAGCAAATGGGTTTACAAAGAAAAGTATGATGAGTATGGGAATCTTCAACGATTGAAGGCTAGACTTGTCATATTCGGCAATCATCAGGTTAAAGGCCTAGATTATAACGAGACATTTGCTCCCGTGGCAAAAATGGTGACGGTTAGAACATTTCTTGCAGTTGCAGCAGTGAAAAATTGGGAGGTCCATCAAATGGATGTTCATAATGCCTTTTTACATGGTGACTTAGAGGAAGAGGTATACATGAAAATTCCCCCTGGCTTTGACAAAAATAATTCTGGTAAAGTTTGCAGGATGAAGAAGTCATTGTATGGCTTAAAGCAAGCTCAACGGTGTTGGTTTGCAAAACTGACAACGGCTTTGAAGAAGTATGGCTTTAAACAGTCATACTATGATTATTCCCTTTTTACTCTGACAAGGGGGAACATGCAACTTAATGTGTTGGTATATGTTGATGATTAAATTGTTGCAGAGAATGATAAATCTGCTTTATTGTCATTCAAAAAATATTTGGGGGACTGCTTCAAGATGAAAGACTTGGGGGTTCTGAAATATTTTTTGGGGCTAGAAATAGCCAGAAGCAAGCAGGGAATTTCATGTGTCAGAGAAAGTATGCCTTGGATATTATTACAGAAACAGGCTTGCTTGATGCAAAACCTACAGATTTTCCCATGGAGCAAAACTACAGGCTAGCTCTGGCAAATGGGGAATTTTTTGGTGATGTTGAAAAGTATAGACGTCTAGTAGGGCGTCTAATATATTTGGCAGTTACAAGGCCGGATTTGGCATACTCTGTGCATATCTTATCTCAATTTATGCAGGGATGCAGCTTTGCGAGTTGTAAGGTATCTGAAGAAGAATCCAGGTCAAGGGATCTTGTTACGATCTGA